CAAGCGTGTATTAAATAGCCTACTTTCAAGTACGTTTTTGCCGACATATAAATTAGAGCCAGTATACTGCGAAGCACGAAAAGGCCTTGCCATGGGATATACTGCACAAAACGAAACTAGCGGGACTAATAAGTTATTACATCTGGCATATTCCAAAAGTCTAGGGTCTGACGACTTTCGGTTCTTGCTTGTTGTAACCCTCGTTAGCAGCTTTCTAAAGACGTATTATTGTGTCTTCAATTGATCATTTTAAGGTTCATTTTGACCAACATATAGAGAGCCAGTTTTTCGCGGCGCTGGCAGGCTTTGCTATGGGATTTACTGCAGAAAGAGGAGTCATGAAATATCATTTTCTCCAAGACTCAAGAGTTCCTGTCCTTCATGCCGACCTCTTTAAGTTGATTTCTTCGCCTATCTGCGAACCAAATAAAACTTAGTGCATTTTTAAGTTGTTGACGATCACGACAACACCGCATTGAACGTGCATTTTATGCCAATTTTATTGCAAATACCTTTGCAAATATATGCGAAAATATTTGCAATGTCGCTAATTTAACAATAATAATAATAATGATAATAAATATTACCGGTAATGGGGTAATAGGGAGACTTTCCCATAGACTTGTGCACACAAATTTTCCGACTTAAAATATGCCCTAACCCGATATTCCCTGGTCTTTTTTCCACGAATTTCGGTATGTTTACTAATTAGACCACGAGCAACAAATATTACCCAAATGCGATGACAAAAATTTTGTCTCTAAAGGGGGGCTGCGCCAATAGGGAGACACCTAGGTGTCTCCCTATTAAGCCCGTGTCTCCCTACTACCGAATTTTCTACGCTATAATAGTACATTTGTAGGAATAAGGTCAAACTTATACAGCGCAAAACATAATCTAAGGAAATCTCGATGCGCTTTACAAAACAAACTATGCTAGAAACAAAACTATTATGCGAGGTCATAATAAGCCTGATCAAAATACATGAGATTTGAGAGTAGTTTTGAACCAGTGCAATGTGTCCACTGTGAATAGGAAAGGCCTTTCACAGCCTTTAGTGCAGCGTATGAGAATGCCTTGGAGCCATATGACTTGGTTCTGTGTGTTGTTGTAGTGAGGAGTCCCTGATGAGATGACCGGAGCGCTCGTGCAGGTTCGTATGGAAGGATGAGCAGGTCGCAGACGTAGCTTGGAGCTTGTCCCTTGAGGGCCTTAAAGTTGAGAAGGAGAATTTTGTATTGTATGCGCTGTTTAATGGGTAACCAATGAAGGTTTTTGAGGATGGGTGTGATATGATTACATTTCTTGCAAAGAGAGACCAGGCGGCGGGCGGCAGAATTTTGGATCTGTTTATTCACATCTTTGTCGGAGAGGCCAGTAAGTAGACAGTTGCAGTTATCGAGGAGAGAGGTGACAAAAGCATGAACTAACGCTTGTTGAGGTAATGACGAATTTTACCAATTTTCCTCAGAGCAAAGGAAGCCTTACGCCACGCGTTGACTTGTGGGCGCATGGTGAGGTGACTATCAAAAATCACGCCTAGGTCACGAACCTCTGAGGCTTGAGCTCGAATTTCTTAAGAAATCGTTTTACCAAAATAATGTCAAAAACACCGACTAATTATACAAGTCAATTTTCCTATTTGAGGGGTCAGGAAGCGCGCCACCAGGGTTCAACTTTTAGGCTCTATAAACTCTGCGTGTTGAGCCTGCTTTGGCATGATGCATAGGCTACTGAGTTCCTAACTTGATTGAGTTCCTATAGCTTCACAATGAAATGAGGTACCCCTATTTCGCGCCCTTTCCCCAAGGGCGGATCCAGGGGGGGGGGGGCCCAAAGGGGGCCATGCCCCCCCCCCAAAAAAAAAAACCGAAACCATTTTTGTTTTATGTGACATCGCAATAAAGGCAGGCAATGAGTACACCACCATCTTTTCCTCAAAAAAACATTGGTTTATAAAGTGGTCAGAAATTGCCTCAGATCGCACCACAGAGCATCTAGAATCCAAAAAAATTTGGGGGCCCTTAAGCGGGCCCTGAACCCCACGCCGTAATTTTTTTAACCACTTTTTCGGGGGACCAAATTTTTTGGGGGCCCCCCCCCCCAAAAAAAATTGTGTTCTGGATCCGCCCTTGCCTTTCCCACAGTTAAGCCAAATAATTTCAACAAACGTTAATCAAAGATGTGAACAATTATATCTATGCTATGAAAACCATGTCCTTGGAAAGCGCAGTACGTCTCTTCAATCTTCGTCCTAGTTTGATGTAAATAAGTTTCTGACTCATTTAGAATGTGATTAACATTATGATTATGATTAGGCTATTTGTCTAATTTTAGTTTCAAATGTTTTCTTTGATGCAGACATGCGTTTGGCTGCAACTTCAATTCAAGGCAGACAAAACAATGGCGGTAATTTAAGCATAAGAAATCCACGTGAACCCGAATTCAAACTAATTAAGTTTGGATGCTGTACAACGTTATTTTCATATTTTTTCCTTAGTTTGAATATTTTCACACCCAAAACGGTTTGCTTCTTACCTTGATGAAGCCCTCTGCCTTTCAAGTTGCCCGAATTACGAAGAAGTTGCAGAACAGGCGTAAAACTTGGTTCCTCCATGATTGTCTATCAATACTCCACGGCTCTCCACGTACGCCCTGGCATACAACCATTTAATAGCTCAGGCTGCTGCATAAGCCTTTTAGTTGCTATCGCCCTCTACTATCGAAGGCGCGCGCGCATTCCACACGTGCTTCAAAAGTATACATTCTATTCTTTGTTCTTTTGGGCATGTTTTTCCATGCACCGGGCGGAGAGATACCGAGCATGTATGGCGACAGCTTATTCTCACACAAAAAAAAGGAAAGAAAAAGGAAACACCTCATAATACTGTTTTTATTTCGGGAATAGGTCGCACGGCGCATAAAGGTCACATTGAATGCCGAATGTTAAAACTAATGTCACTTATGAGACTCAACTGTAAGCTTTCTATTTAGAGGGACAGACGATATTTTTTACTTAATGTAGGCTATATTTTCTTCTTCTATATTATGTTGTACCTTAAAATAGCTAAGGTCCATTAACAGTACAGTTTCGTTTACAATTTCCTATTTTAAGGTACCTTTTGATCGGCATATAGTGAACTAAGACTTGGTTTTTCGCATGTTGTAGCCCTATTCAGCAGCTTTCTTACAACACAAAGCGTGTATTAAATAGCCTTCAAGTACGTTTTTGCCGACATATAAATTAGAGCCAGTATACTGCGAAGCACGAAAAGGCCTTGCTATGGGATATACTTCACAAAACGAAACTAGCGTGACTAATAAGTTATAACATCTGGCATATTCTCCAAAAGTCTAGGGTCTGACGACTTTCGGTTCTTGCTTGTTGTAACCCTCGATAGCAGCTTTCTAAAGACGTATTATTGTGTTTTCAATTGAGGGCCTTAAAGTTGAGCAGGAGAATTTTGTATTGTATGCGCTGTTTAATGGGTAACCAATGAAGGTCTTTGAGGATCGGTGTGATATGATTCCATTTCTTGCAAAGAGAGACCAGGCGGCGGGCGGCAGAATTTTGGATCTGTTGAAGTTTATTCACATCTTTGTCGGAGAGGCCAGTAATTAGTAGACAGTTGCAGTTATCGAGGAGAGAGGTGACAAAAGCATGAAGTAACGCTTGTTGAGGTAATGACGAATTTTACCAATTGTCCTCAGAGCAATAAGGAAGCCTTACGTCACGCGTTGACTTGTGGGTGCATGGTGAGGTGACTATCAAAAATCACGCCTAGGTCACGAACCTCCGAGGCTTGAGCTCGAATTTCTTAAGAAATCGTTTTACCAAAATAATGTCAAAAACACCGACTAATTATACAAGTCAATTTTCCTGTTCGAGGGGTCAGGAAGCGCGCCACCAGGGTTCAACTTTTAGGCTCTATAAACTCTGCGTGTTGAGCCTGCTTTGGCATGATGCATAGGTACTGAGTTCCTAACTTGATGGAGTTCCTATAGCTTCACAATGAAATGAGGTACCCCTAGTTCGTGCCCTTTCCCACAGTTAAGCCACATAATTTCAACAAACGTTAATCAAACCATGGAGGTAGAATTAGATGTGAACAATTATATCTATATGCTCATTAGAGACACACTCTTGGAAAAAAATGGTCCGGTTATCTTATTCCTTATGATGGGACTTGCGGTTTGGCCGAATTCAATTTAGCGTGATCGGCTGACTAATAAGGTTTACGCACAAAACCCCGAGCCAACGAGGTTTTTGTATAGAAAACTGCCGAACCACATTTTGCGAGTGTGTCCGTAATGGGGTTGAAGCCTGCCGGTAATGCTGAGCCATACTGCCAAAGTTACTAATGGCATCCCTACATTTTCTCGTGCAAATAGGACCCATTTTTGGACCCTAATTTTATCAAATCTGCTCTTAGATAATAGCCCAAAATCTAGGGAGATAATCCGATCCTCGGCTATATTCGCACGAATCCATCGATTTTTAAACTAGACGGTCTCGTTTTTCACAAAAAAATGTGGGTGCACTTTTTGCACAAATTAACGACTCGCGTAGAAATTTTCGAAACCCTTATCAAAATTAATGCGCCCGCTCTCGGTTTTATTGCGCCACATCTGATATATCTTCTGTCTAGCCCCCCCCCCCCAGCCCCCCCCCCCCCCATGGGGGCATGCAAATTGTGATTTGGTTGGCGTATGCAAATTCGGGTCTTTTTATTGGACAATCTTAAAAGGTAGAACCTAGGAGCCTAGGAGATTTTTTTTTATTTCCGTTTAAGAGTACTAGTGAAGATTTCCCTTACAAAAACACCTAATTATTTTATATTCCCTGACGTGCCTTTATGTGCGCACCCCGCCCCCAATCACCCAGAAATAATAAAACGTCATTTCAGTTGGGTTTTGTTACTTTTGTTGTAGCTTGACCTCCCCCGCCAACAACTTAAACAAAAATAGGCAAAATACCGACAACTTTCCAAGGATATCAAATGTCTCACATCTTTCAAGTTTTATTTATTTTGTTTAATTCCTTAGTCTTTTTGACATACAAATATTTAAACCAATTCATACAAACAAATACAACGATTCCAAATGAGGAAAAAAGTTGGGCAGAAGGCCAATAAATTTTAGAAATTAATAATCACTTTATATCATAGATGATTATTACATAAGCAACGACTACATGACTGTACACGGTAAAGCCAGGTTTTTGTATTTCGCCATTTTGTGAATAAGATTTTTAAAAGGGAAGATAAAACTTGGGAATGCCCCCCCCCCCACCAAATAAAATCCTAGATTATTTTGAAACATTTCAGGACTATAGTTTATCTAATTTAGCTATTATGTGAAAAAAATATTTGATGCGAAGCAAGTTCAACACTCGATATATATTGCGTTTATCCTTTTGTGAGGTTAGTTAATTATTAATAAGAAAATGAAAAGACATGCAAAACCACCAAAAAAAACAATTGTGCATACGAAGTAAAAAAATATAACAAGTGAAAAAAGTGCAATGAAATAAATCACAAAAGGACAAACACAAGTGTAATTTGAGTGTCACTTATACCTGTTGCAATGCATTTTGATGGATAGAAGTTCCTGAACAGTTTATTCTTTAAATTTTCCTAAAAATTAAACGTTCTTGTGTTTTCTAATAAATATACAATGGAAAGAAAGTCACGTTTTAGTTAAACCGACGTCTTGTTAAAGACGTTACATTTAAATAAAGTTTGTTACATTTCTTCAGTTTTTAAACAATAAATAAATCCTTTTTGAAATCTTTCAAAACTCTTATGACTTAAATTGGTTTTCTTAAAAATGCACTTTTAATATCAAATTAAATTGATAGAGCAAAATTCTCCATTGTCAACTAAACAAAAAGCAAATAGAAAGCCTTAGGCGAGACCTCGTTTATAATTTACCGAGAAGATCCAATTGAATGCATTAAAGGTAAGGAGTATGAAATTATTAACATATTGATGCAATAATTTTGGATGACCAAGGACAGATCAAAGGAACATCCCTTCTCCCAGACATGTCACTGCTAAAAAGCCAGTGACAAATTATTACCCTTACAATAATTTTTTCAGCAAGTTTCCATTATTGTCCATTGTTAACTGTCTGTTGCAGTGTCCGGTTAAAGATTATTTTAGAGGCATAAATAATTTAATGAAATCAAAATTACTTTTCATTTTATTTTAGTGTTGTTGCCTTAGTGTATAACATTAATGACGTTGCATTATGCAGTCTAATTTATCATTTCATATTGTGCAAGCTAGTTTTGTCTCGGTTCCTCGAGTTTATGTGTGATGAGGCTGTTGGAGCCTTGGAGGGTTCATTTTCGTCCAGACAAAGCAGCCTAGCTTATCCAGTCTGTCTCAACTTTTAGATCATCAGTTTCTTTGATGAAAGCTGCAACTCTTTCCTAAGTGGACAGGGGTACGAAAACACTGGGCCTAGTAGCCCATTTGTTACTGAAGTGAAACATTGCAAATGTAGCCAATAATTATGTCTAAGCCTACCTATAACCAGGTCATGGGTAGGATCCAATGGAAACCAAACGATTCTACCCATGTTTCCATTATTTCACGATTACGATTACTTTGTCATAATGTGCTGACGCTGATAATGGCAGGTTGCTTTGGAAACTGCATATAACTCGCACACTATAAACAACCATTAAAAGAAATTCACGTGACATTAAGATGACAAAATGCCATCTTAATCCTTGCCGATCCCTTCCAAATCAGACTTACATTGAACATAGTACTATACGGAAGGAGGGTTACACGTAGGCTAAAATCAACAAGGAAATAGTAGTTTTCTATGTTACTTTAAACCTGTCGCATATCTTGAAATGCTTTCTTTTGAAATTTTCGTTAAGTACGGTATACTCGTAGCCCACAAAGATTTGATCGTGAAAGTCTATATTAGACCGATCTCTTTAACTACTGCAACGCTTTTTCCGTTATGGTTTTCGTGTTCTCCCCTTCAATAAAACAGCACTGTCGGCCTTATACGTTATCAAAGGTCAAAATAAGACAACCAAATGAGTAACTCAAAGGAGAAATATATACTTGATAAAAACATGTATCCCTGCCGATCTTTCCAAATCGGACTCACATAAATGATGTAGATTAAGTTTAAACATTTACAAAAACACGAAGAAATGTCGTATGCGATAGTAAATATGTCGCATGTCTTATACAGCCATTTTCCCTATCGCTTTGTTGATTACACTTAAGTTGTACCCTTTCACATGCATAACCTGGCTATTTCTGGCTTTTTTGAAGGCAAACATCTTGACAATGTCACAAATTGCAGTTATTTTTGCTGACGAATAATACTTAAAAGATGTGGTGTAGGCCTAGAACTCGGGGGGAATGCCTTTAATATTGTTGCTTTAATTGAAATTCAGTAATTTTCTTTACATCGATATAATGGAGTTTTTCCTTAATTTCCGTCATTTTCCCCACCATTTATCAAAATTCGCTTTCCGACTTTTTTAAGCAGTGTAGTACCGTACCAGAAGTGGCTGCCGATTATAATTGGAAAGTTTTTTGTTAACATTATTTCGGTCATTTTTCCTTAGCAAATTTTTGCATGACATAGGGCCTAGAAGTTTAGAAAATTACCGATTTCAAATATTTATTTCTTTCGCTGCCTCTGTTAATCTTTTTACCGCAATTTTCGTCTCTTTGATTTCATTCTTCCGCAATCGAATTTTTTTTACTTTGTAGGTAAGAAAAATAACACTGATATCAAGTATTATTTCTCTCACTAACGCTGTGATTTTTTAGCCGTGTAAACTATGTTTCGTCACTTCACTTATATGCCGCGTTGATTTTCGGTGTAATTTTCGTAATTTTCCTGTAGCTACCTGTAGAAACAGAGTGCCGTGCCGCGAGAAGAAACTCCACGTACTATGTGATTTTCGTTGTAATTTAATTTGGACTGATTTGATTTTGTTTCCACGTTTCGTCACACGCGTTTAGTCAAATATTTCGGGTAGGTATCGCAGTAAAGGTAAAAACAACACTGATTTTAGTTATTTTCGGCGTAAATTTCATCATTTTCTCAGCCACTTATTGGAAGCGGAGAAGCATTTCTGTGAGAAGAAAATCCGCTCATGATTTGATTTTCACTGCAATGTATTTTACACACATTTGACTTTTTTCCTTCAATTTTCGTCGTACTCGTTGTCAAATATTTCAGGTATAGGTATCTCAGTAAAGTTAACAAGTAACAGTGATTTAAGCTATTATTTCTTCCAATTATAGCGGTAACTTGGCGTAAGAATTCGTATTTTCGTCGTTTTTATGTTTTATAATAATGCAAAATAATATGCAGTCTGATTTTGGATCCAATATTCCGCAAATTGGAAAGTGTCTAATGAGGGCATCCTTGTCCACATAGAGCAGCTTCGTAATTTTCCAGTCTCATCCAAGCTTGGCGGTCCTCATCTTCTAAAACATGTCAAAAAGAGTAAACTAGCATAATTTAGAATTAATATTTAAAGAGGAAACCAAGCATCGTAAGAGGTGACATAGTATTAAAGGAATAACAAATTTAAGTGTAGGCCTATATATCCCTGGTCTCTTTTCAAGTAAACCTACCTCAAGAATCGGTAATGGCCAACCAAGCAGGCAGGGTCAGTCAACCGTCGGTCCTCCCAGCTTATGGCAGCTTGAGACAGGCTCATCCATCATAGGGCAAATTCCCTCACCAGTCAGTGGTCCTCATGTCTGTAAAAAGATTCAAATGACGAAAGAAAATATCCGAATTATTAAGGAATATCTGAAAGGTAGAGCAAGGGGGGGGGGGGAGAAATGTTCGAATTAACCCTGAAAAGCAGTGCCCCATTACCAGCACTCTTTATTTGTGGGAGAACATAGAAGAGCGCCAATTCACCCATTTTGATTACTTGTTTCTGCTTATTCTTTAGGTACATGTAACTAAAAACTAACCTAATAATCAGGAATGGGAAGCCCAGCAAGCAGGTCATCCGTTCATCTGTCGGTCCTCCTCCCTGCTTCCGGTTCCTCGGGTTTCTGTTTGATGAGGCTGTTGGAGCCCTGACGATGTCTTGAGGCAGGCTCATCAATCCCAGTAGGGCAATTCCCTCATCAGTCAGTGGTCCTCATTTTTCTGAAAGGATTCAAATGACGAAAGAAAACATTTGATTTATTGAGCTGTAATTGTGCCAGGGCTAGAAAGGGGTAAGATAACATCGAATAACCCCACAAAGCAAAGCCCTGCTACCAGAACTCGTTTGTGGACGAACATAATAACAGAGTCAGATCTCCCATTTAAATTAGTTCTGTGACTTGATTGTTCCTGTTAAGAGGAGGCCTGCATGTAAACTAACCTAATAATCAGGAATGGGAAGCCCAGCAAGCAGGTCATCCGTTCATCTGTCGGTCCTCCTCCCTGCTTCCGGTTCCTCGGGTTTCTGTTTCATGAGGCTGTCGGAGCCCAGACGATGTCTTGAGGCAGGCTCATCCTCATCTCAGTAGAGCAATTCCCTCATCAGTCAGTGGTCCTCATTTTTCTGAAAGGATTTAAATGACGAAAGAAAACATTTGATTTATTGAGCTGTAATTGTGCCAGGGCTAGAAAGGGGTAAGATAACATTGAATAACCCCACAAAGCAAAGCCCCGCTACCAGAACTCGTTGTTTGTGGACGAACATAGAAGAGCGCCAGATCGCCCATTTTGGTTAGTTCTTGATTGTTTCTGTTTAAGTAGGCTACATGTATACAAACCTGATAGTAAGTAATGGGAAGCCCAGCAAGCAGGTCATCCGTTCATCTGTCGGTCCTCCTCCCCGCTTCCGGTTCCTCGAGTTTCTGTGTGATAAGGCTGTTGGAGCCCTGACGATGTCTTGAGGCAGGCTCATCAATCTCAGTGAAGCAATTCCCTCATCAGTCAGTGGTCCTCATTTCTCTGTAAGGATACGAAAAAACACATTTGAATTATTGAGCTGTTTTCGTGCCAGGGCTAGAAAGAGGAAAGAAAACATTGAATTAACCCCACAACGCAAAGCCGATTCCACTACTCGTTGTTTGTGGAAGAACATTATAACAGAGTCAGATCGCCCATTTTGATGAGTTCTGTGACTTGATTAATTCCGCGAAGAGGAGGCCAGCATGTAAACTAACCTCAAGAATCAGTAATGGGTAGCCCAGCAAGCAGGTCATCCGTTCATCTGTCGGTCCTCCTCCCTGCTTCCGGTTCCTCGAGTTTCTGTGTGATGAGGCTGTTGGAGCCTTTGAAGGTCGATTTTCGTCCAGACAAATTGCAGCCTAGCTCATCCATGCAGTCTCAACTTTTAGATCATCAGTTTCTTTGATGAAAGCCGCAACTCTTTCCTAAGTGAACAGGGTTACGAAAACACTGGGCCTAGCCCATGTGTTACTGAAGTGAAACATTCCTAAGCATTATGTCTAAGCCTACCTGTAATAAGGCCACCTGTTACCAAATAACTAAACGATTCTACCCATGTTTCCACTATTTACTTTTAAAAACGGACATGATCTTTTTTGTCATAATGCACACGATCATGTGCCGACACCGATAACGGCAGGTTGCCAATAAGTTGTACCCTTTCACAATGTACTTTTTTGGCTGGGGGGGGGGGGAGGGCAATTAGGTCTTTTTGAAGGCACTTCTCGACAATGCCAACAATTTTGATGTTTTTGAAATGCCGCTGTATACAACTGAAATTCAGTCATTTTCTAAACAGATATTTTAATCATCATGGTGTGATTTTTTTCTCGTAATTTCGTCAATTTCATTTTCTTTTGCTGCCGTCATTTTCCCACCGTTTGCCGAAATTCGCTTTCCGAAAACACTTTTATTTACTTCTCTCGTTGCGGATGATTAATTTTTATGCCGTTATTTTCGTCATTTTGAATTGTTATTTCCATTACCCATTTTGTTTACTTTGTGGCAAGAAAAATAATACTGATTTCGGGTATTTTTTACTCTCACTAACGCCGTGATGTTTTCCTCGCGTTATTTTCATCATTTTCCTAGCGTGTAGGCCTACACGTGGAAAGCGGAGTGATTTTTTTTTCGGAAAAAAATTTCGCTTACGATGTGATTTTCGCTACCATTTATTTTGCACCGATTTGAATTTTGTTTTCAGTTTTCGTCATACGCGTAGTCAAGTAAATATCCGGGTAGGTATTTTCATTCCAATACTGCCTAACATTTTAAAGTTGATTTCGTATTTTCGTCAATTTGAGGTTTGCCTCTTCAAAACCGTAACATTTTTTTGCCCGACGTATTGCAGTTGAGAAAAAAATAACACTTTTCAACATCTGCTTCGATTTTGCTTAACGATTTGACATTTTCGTAGCCGCAACAATTAATTTGATTTATTTTTTTTAAATTTTGTCTATTGTCAGAGACAACAGACGGATACCATTTAAAAAATCACACCACACAGAAAGCAATGCACACAAAGGCAAAATATCAAACATGCAACATTTAGAATGAAACAAAATACAATCTACTTTTGAGTTTTTTCCCCCAAAAGTCATTCTCTCTGTAAGCATGTTTTTACTCACAGATAAGTTTATCTTTAAATACTTAATAATGATCCGAGCTTAAGAGCTCTTCACAGAATAAAAATGTCTTTTATATAAATTTATGCAAAGTATAATTAACCAAAGTTATGACTTTTGATTTTACTACGATCATTAAAATATGGTCAACTGTGCCCTCACTGCTCACAGACTAGCGAAGTATAGACAATGCGGCGCTTTTAGAGACGCTGTTAATCCCAGATTTTTTTGACCTTTTAGTGTTACTATAAGAGCGTATATGTCACCTTAACAGAGAGCTCATTTAGGAATTAGTGTTAATTATTAACCAACAGTTTTCTCTGTATGGCTAAACGTAACGTTAGTAACGTCCTTTCGTGTTTTTGTTAAATGGTTTAAGTTTTAATGTTCAAGTTCTTCTGAAGGAAGGGGCCTCTTGGAAATCGGCGCTACTAATACGCACCGAAGAGGGTATCCCTTACAAGTGACACTGCACCAGGCATGGTCACTGTCAATTGCCGATGGCCTAGATTTTATGAATCTATTTTATACAATTATAAAGATATTATATCGTCGTTGGTGGACAACGCACCAGGCATTGCCACTTTCTGTAGTTGTTTTACTAACTTTGTTTAATTATTGTTTTGAGTTGGGCAAAGTACCAGCCAATGTCTGTATAGAGGGCAGCATTCCAGTTGATCGATAAAACATCACAAATGACTCTCAATCAATAACAAAGTCGCCTATAAATTTGCGAGTGAAGTTTCTTAATAGCGAAAATAAAATAAGATACACCAGTACTTTCAAGTTTAGGGGGACAGTGTTTTTCATTAGACTGATTTTGATTTTCGTTTGCATAAAGTTAGTGTTATTTTTATATTTTTTTTTTTACTTTTTTTTTTATAGAAAACTTCTAAAATCCCCATCGCACTGCGTGCAGGCTCAATGTGCGCATGCTCGCAGCGGGCTATGCTGGCTCCCTAATTTTCGTTTGCTTCATTTTCCCTAACACTGTTCATTGCACTTTGCTCAACAGTTCCCTAGATTTTATCACTTCGAAGTATGGTACACGAAATCGCGCAATTACGCATGTACGCGGATATGCGGATATGCAGATACGTGGGTACGAAGACCAAGAAGAGATGAACATAGGCCTATTGTTCATTTAGGGCCTACTACTATACACATGACAATCACAACGTACGTACGTGATACATTTAATTTATCACATACGCACATGATAATATAATATTACGTACTAACGCAATATTAGTATCATTATTGCGTACATACCTGATAAATAAGTACATATTACGTACGTACATGTATTGCACATGTAAGTGATAATACGTGTATCCTTAAACGAGTATATGTTGTGCATACGTACTTAATAATTATCACGTGGGCCCTACGTACGTAATAATTATCACGTGGGCCCTACGTGATAATATTACCTACGTACGTGATAATATTCAAGTACGTGCGTGAGTTACGTACGTACGTGACAATAACACATACGTAATAGTATTATGAACATGAAAAAAAAAATAATTCCCATGTCCCTTCACGGTCTTCGTACCAATTGAAACCGTCTCCGGTCTAGCCAAAAAAAACCAAAAAAAAACCCACGAGTTTGCCGAACATTACGTATGAATATGCCTTATTGTCGAACGGAAAAGCGATAGAACGCGGTGCGGAGGTTTCTAAACGCGTATGAGAATATTTCGCCGAATTTAAATGCCTATAACATTATCCTAACACTCCTACAGATCCAGCAGCTGCTTTGCTTTGCGGATGCTGCATAATGCACGCCTGCAGCGTCTGCACCGTCCTCCCAACTTGACCTACAAAAAACCTAATTAATTGTTTGCATCACTTACACCAACGTTTTGCCCAGAATGTTGATTAGGTTTTATATTGTTTCAATTTATTTTTTAGTTTCTGAGACTAAGGTGGAGAACGTCTTTTAACCTTCTCCAGAAAGGGAGTTACATAAAACCTGCAAGTCAATGTGACAATGAAGGAGACACTGTCACAGGTTTATCATTGAAAATACTGGTGTAAATTAGCGAGTTTAATTATTCAGGGACAACAATTTGAAAAAAAAAATCCACTGGAATGCTACCCTTCAACTGTTCCACGTGCGAACGCAATGTCACTGCACGTATCAAATTCCTATGCAAATTAACTCACGTGCGAACACAATGTCACTGCACGTATCTAACGAATTCTTTCGAAATTGTATTTTCTCTCCACGTGCGAACACAATGTCATTGCACATTTCAGACGAATTTCTGTGCAAATGTTATACTCAACGTGCGAACGCAATGTCACTGCACGTATTTTATAAATTCCTATATGCAAATTAACACACGTTGGAACACAATGTCACTGCACGTGACAAATTCCTATTGGCATTGCATTATTATTGAATAAAATAATCATTTTCGTTCCACCTGAATTCTGCTGTAATTTATCTTCCATGTAAACTTTTTTTAACATCCAATGCAATTTAAGCAGTTCTCTGTTTCAGGTGACAAAACTCTCTACTTTTACCAGAGCTTAAACACCTTATACACATTAATCAGAGACATGTAACGTACCTCTTTCTACTCTTGAAGACATTGCCCCTCTTGGTGTTGATCTTGGAATAAATGGTAACGATGTCTTTGTTCATACAATATAAACTGGACACAATGTGCACGTTCAATTAGAATAAACAATTTTATACCGAGCCAAAATGATAATTTTGAACAGTGTAATGAGTTGCATGCAGTGAGCGTGAGGAGCACAACGACAGTAATGAAGGCCTAGCCCAGCACCGAAACAACAGCTTAAGATAAAGCCCGTGCACGCTAGGTCGCTGTACCATGGTGATCAGCGAGGCATGAATGTAACAATAGGGCTGGAGTCTGAGCGGAAATCTTCTAAAACACGTTATTTGCATAATGTGCATTCAGCACAAGCCTGGATTAGAAATGAGAATCGGATAGAATGCTAATGACGTAATCCCGATGGGCGATTACCTTTTGGTCACGAGACTTACTTAGAGGGGTGGCACAGTTTCATAATGATCAACTTCAGTTGAAAACAATTGCCTGTTTAAATAAATTTGTGAAGGACGAAAACAAAATGTACTGCACCCACTTTTGGGGGTTGAATTTTTGGACTGACCGGTTACAGTCGCATCACCAGTATATAAGTGCTGCTCCACTAGCAGTATCTCATTCTGTTTCAATTCTGTTTCAATTCCAATTCTGTTCCATTTCTATTCTAGTCTATTTCAGTTCACCCAGTTCTCTTTGTCTCAGTTCACTGTAACCAGTTCAATCAATCAATGTGTATTAAAATATTGTTGTGGAATAAACAGTCACGGTAAACACAGTCCTCAACCAAATTGTGTATCGACCTATCCATTCCCCAACAAAGTGGGCCCCCTGATGATGTCATCTATGGGAGACAGAAATTCTGACTTGAAAATTCCAATGCTTGGTGCTTGACGTATTTCCGGTTGAAATTTATAATGTGCCCATTTTCAAGGCCCATTGTAGAGGTTTAAGGGCTCGGGTTTTCATATTCCCCGCTCATGCAGGCTATACCATTTTGGGAAAACAAATTATCCGAAATTTTAGAGCAAGTTTTGTTTTTATCACGAGGGGGCCGGCACATTTTATGCTCAAGGGGGGGGGGGGGGGCACATTTATGTCCGCAGGAGGGGCACTTGGGAAAATCTGGGGGGGGGGGGATGGAGTGTTACCCCGGATTCGCCGCCCCTGGGCCCGAACTTGGGACAACTAAGACGTACTAAATAATTTATTCCACGACACTGGCGATGATAGCAATTTTTTTCTAGACAATGAAGTTCTACAACATCGTTTTTTTTCGCGACATGAAATTCACGATAAATGTATGGTGGTGTACGATAATGATCATCGGGAATGCAACGAAATAAACGGAGTTTTTTTTCTAATAAAGGTATACGGTGTGTGGGTGGACTATGATTGACTGATCCAGTAAGCACCGCCCCATGGTGTTCTGACCAATCACAGCCGTGACTTATATGTCCAACGTGCTCGCACAAAAGTCACGCGCGTATGATGCGCGCGGCAGGAAAATGCAGTGTGGCATTGGATAGGAGCACGTGTTAATTTGCCCAGTGCGCAGTGGGCGGGGTTTACTGGATCGGTCAATTAATCCGGTTCGCCGAAAACGTCATACACCATTAGAGACACACTCTTGAAAAAAATTGTCTGATTAGGCCCCCCCCAAAAAAGTCTCCGGTTTCTTGTATTGAGCTTGCCCAAAAAGTGGTGCGGCGACGCGGCTTTTTTGTTTTATTTACCTGACTTTTTTGCTTCAAATGTCGGCTGATGACTGCAAATGGTGCCCAACTAAACTTAGTGCAAATATTTGGGAGTCCAGAGAGGCCACATAAAGCTTATTCTCGATCATAACCCCATCTGAAAACACGTTAAAATTGTGCAGCAGCAGAATTCCAGTCAAACCAGTGAATTTGGCGGTTTTAAGACATCATCTTTCATTGAAAAAAAAACTTTTTCACTTTGCCGACGCGCATGGCTACGGCGACGCGCGCACAAACCAGAAACCGGAGACTTTTTTTTTTTGGCCTTAGGCCAAAAAAAAAAAGTCGGTCTCTGGTCTGCGCGCGCGTCGATTTTAATCATGCGCGTCAATCTTTTTTTTCAAAATGTTCCGCGGTGGCTCAAACAGCGCCCTCTATTGCCGCACCTCCTCAATTTTTTTTTTTACCAAAGAGCACCAAGGAATGGGAAATTGCACCAAGGCAAATGATCGAAAGCACCAAGGCAAATTATGGAGGACACCAATGTACATGAAAACACCAAAAAGCAAAATAGTACCCACCTTGTCTGTACAGTCCAAGCTTGAAGAAAAAAAAATACAAAAAAAAACAAAGCCGCATCGCCGCGTCAATTCCGGAACTTTGGTCTGACCAGAGACCAAATATTTAAAAAAAAATTTGGCCTATGGTTAACTAATTCCTTATGATGGGACTTGCGGTTTGGCCGAAGTCAATTGAGCGTGATCGGCTGACTAATAAGGTTCACGCACAAAACCCCGAGCCAACGAGGTTTTTGTACAGAAAGCCGCCGAACTACATTTTGCGAGAGTGTGCCCGTAATCTTCGTCCTAATTTGATGTAATTAAGTTTCTGACTCATATATAATGTAATTATCATTATGATTATTTTTTTACCAAAGAGCACCAAGGAATGGGAAATTGCACCAAGGCAAATGATCGAAAGCACCAAGGCAAATTATGGAGGACACCAATGTACATGAAAACACCAAAAAGCAAAATAGTACCCACCTTGTCTGTACAGTCCAAGCTTGAAGAAAAAAAAATACAAAAAAAAACAAAGCCGCATCGCCGCGTCAATTCCGGAACTTTGGTCTGACCAGAGACCAAATATTTAAAAAAAAATTTGGCCTATGGTTAACTAATTCCTTTTGATGGGACTTGCGGTTTGGCCGAAGTCAATTGAGCGTGATCGGCTGACTAATAAGGTTCACGCACAAAACCCCGAGCCAACGAGGTTTTTGTACAGAAAGCCGCCGAACTACATTTTGCGAGAGTGTGCCCGTAATCTTCGTCCTAATTTGATGTAATTAAGTTTCTGACTCATATATAATGTAATTATCATTATGATTATTTTTTTACCAAAGAGCACCAAGGAATGGGAAATTGCACCAAGGCAAATGATCGAAAGCACCAAGGCAAATTATGGAGGACACCAATGTACATGAAAACACCAAAAAGCAAAATAGTACCCACCTTGTCTGTACAGTCCAAGCTTGAAGAAAAAAAAATACAAAAAAAAACAAAGCCGCATCGCCGCGTCAATTCCGGAACTTTGGTCTGACCAGAGACCAAATATTTAAAAAAAAATTTGGCCTATGGTTAACTAATTCCTTATGATGGGACTTGCGGTTTGGCCGAAGTCAATTGAGCGTGATCGGCTGACTAATAAGGTTCACGCACAAAACCCCGAGCCAACGAGGTTTTTGTACAGAAAGCCGCCGAACCACATTTTGCGAGAGTGTGCCCGTAATCTTCGTCCTAATTTGATGTAATTAAGTTTCTGACTCATATATAATGTAATTATCATTATGATTATGATTAGATAGGCTATTTGTCTAATTTCAGTTTCAAATGTTTTCTTTGATACAGACATGCGTTTGCCTGCAACTTCAATTCAAGGCAGACAAAACAATGGCGGTTTAAGCATAAGAAATCCACGTGAACCCGAATTCAAACTAAGTTTGGATGCTGTACAACGTTATTTTCACATTTTTTTCCCTTAGTTTGAATATTGTTAGACCAAAAACTGTTTGCTTCTTTACCTTGGTGAAGCCATCTGCCTTTCAAGTTGCCCAAATTACGAAGAAGTTGCAGAACAGGCGTAAAACATGGTTCCTCCATGACGGTCTATCAATAGTCCACGGCTCTCCAGTACGCCCTGCGCATACAGCCATAGCTGCTGCATAAGGCCTTTTAGTTGCTATCGCCCTCTACTATCGAAGGCGCGCGCGCATTCCACACGCGCTTCAAAAGTATACATTCTATCCTTTGTTCTTTTGGGCATGTTTTAATTCCATGCACCGGGCGGAGATCGAGATAAATATGGCGACAGCTTCAATTATTCTCACACAAAAATCAAAAACACGTAACTAGGTCCTCATAATACTGTTTTTATTTCGTGAACAGGTCGCACGGCGCATAAAGTCACATTGAATCCCAAATATTAAACTAATGTCATGAGACTCAACTGTAAGCTTTCTATTTAGAGGGACCGTGAGACGATATTTTTTACTTAATGTAGGCTATATTTTTTTCTGCTATTATGTTGTACCTTAAAATAGCTAAGGTCCATTAACAGTACAGTTTGGCTTAGTTTGATATTATTGTTGTTTTATATATTGAAACAGTTTATTGTTGAAACTAAGACGCAATGTTAAGAATTTTTTTGATACAGTTTTTTTTCAGATTTATTTGGTTCTTTAATTCAGATTCATATACTGAATGAAAATATCAGAAAAAGATCTAACTGAAGGATTTAAAGAGAGTGTTTATTCGTGTATAATTACTGTATATAGTCCGTGATAAATGAATTAACTAATTGTTAGGGGAAAAAAGGAAGTTTGTTAGTTTGTTAAAATAGCTTAAATTCAAATTAGTAAATTGGGGTCCCATCAGTAATTTTTGCCGGTATTTTGCTATGTGTCCAGACTCCCCGGCCGGCCGGGGCCGAGCGGTTGACCCATTTTTTGACCGAACCAGAACAGCGCCCCCATGTGTCAAAAGTTAAACTACGCATATTGTGCAGCATTCAGCAGCAAGATCCAGTGCCCCAGTGGTCGAAAAACATGCCCAAACAAGGCTTTCTCACCCCAAAGGCGATTGCCAATAGGATCAAGTCTAAGGGTCTACAAAAGCTGCGATGGTTTTGTCAAATGTGCCAGAAACAATGCCGAGACGAGGTAACTTATGACGTGTTAACATTACAAGTAAATGGCTGTCCTACATGTATACAACCATTGATCTCCATATACACAGACTGGATAGGACATCGCGCCGTGTTTGTGCACGAATGCGCGGCCGAACAATGGCGGCGCGTTTACTGTCAGACGGGTAAACGCGCATTGTGCTTTCACTTTGTTTACTTTGGAAAATGGATTGTTTAGTGAAATTTTTCTTACAGGAGGGAGTTCAAGCGCTCCTCCAAAACAATCTTTAAAAAAAACCCTGAACGATGAAGAGTTACCCTCCAAACAGTTTTTCCACACTTTCTTGATATACACTTTCTTATTATGCATTTTCGAAATTCAAGAACCCCCCATTTCCTTTTCCCTTATTTTTTTTAAATCCCTTCTCCTCCCAAAAATGATTGTAAGTAAATTGCCATTTCATTTTTGGCACATTGGTCATTAGAGCACACTGAATTACTCCATCAACGAAATGAATAATTGTATTAATAATATGCTGAAATGACATCATATTTTTTAACTGAACACTCACACGAGAAATTGTATGGAGATTCATTCAAATGATTGATATATTTATTAAAAAACCTGAACATGAACCAATTACAATCTAAAAGGTAAAAAAACTTTAATTTTACAAAGTAATCAGTAAAAACTTCTTCCCGTCCCTAGATTGATCAGGGAATGACATCGTTTACCTCTTTGTGATATTGTGTGAAAGGAGATGAATCACAAACCAAAATAGTACTATACTAATTTTGTCAAAGAATAATTCAAGCTACGCACGGTCTTGCAATTAAATGTTAAGCTATACTTCTGAAAATAAATATAATTACTTGTAAGTGTAATGGGAATCGTTTTTGTGAGCGAATATGACGGTGTTTATGGCTATAGCTAGTAATCTTATATATAACGGCGTACACAACATAATTTCAAACCGTAAAAGTACTCATTGCTTTCTTCACCATACAAACTGTCAATAATGTGACAGTCATCTTGGGAGCTTATAAAAATACTTGCGTTGAACTCCACAACTTCTTTCCAAAACCAAAACCAATCAATGTTAACAGTTCCACATCGTAAAAATTGATTAAGTCAAACGCTCAGATGCCTATCACATCGCATGTTCCATTCAGTGGATGATACAGTCGATTCCATCCCTCCGTGAAGTTCTCCATTTTCGTCCGGCTCGGTCCTGCAGCTGGTGGTTTTTGCTATATGGCTTTGCTGAAGTTCTTTGTTTGATATGAAGGTCAATCGGCCAGTTGTGCAGTAAGTTAGCATAAACCATCTCCTCGGTTTCTCTTTATAAAGAAAAGAATAGAAACATTTCGGTAGGCGTTAAGCCAAGGCAGACATAATTCAATCAGATTTTGCATATAAAAGTTATTCGAATAAACTGTCTTAAACAAGTCAACTTTTGTTCATTGCCATTGCCGGGTCAATCATACATGCACGTTTAGGCCTATGTCTTTTAAAGAAAAATGATGCCGACCACTGAGCACTCATGACAGGCCTAGATCGCATGGAATTTGAACAGAATATCTCGCTAGCTACCACACAGGCCCGTCCCCTCAAACTCAGAGCGACATAATTTGCTTTGTCATTCCCATGTTCATATTCCTCCATGCCATGTTGACTTGTATAGGCCTCGTTAAAAAAACAACTTACTTGCGAAAAATTGTCCTATTCTTCAACGCTCCTTACTTGCCGACTCCAGCAATCCAATGCTGCGCACACCTTGATTATACTCCTCGTCGATTTTGATCAATTTAGATCTCTGTTTCTTTTATTCTTTCAAAAATGACAAAGAAACCGAAGAAAACCCAACTTCTTTTTTTAATCCTCCGTTCGAAAGTGTACACAACTCGAATGCGAAATTGTGTTCTTTACCCTTTTCAAAAAACGCGCGCGCGGACGCACGTTCGTACGCGATGTCCTATCCAGTCTGTGTATATGGAGATCAATGTATACAACAGATTAGCCCCACTAGTGTGGCCGTCGGTATGCTGCGCAGAGGTTCAGCGCAGCATACTGACGGCCACACTAGTGGGGCTGTCACGCCCCAACTATCGCATCGGTCCCAACTATAGTTGGGACTGTCCCAACTATAGTGCGGCAGTTGGGTCGGCCCAACTATAGTTAGGACTGGAGTTGCGCCGGATGCTTCATGCTTGATAGATCTTGTTGGATTAAATGTTCCGCGGCGCTGGCACCGTGTATTCGTCGTGCATGCATGCCGCAAGGCTGGCCGGTCACGTGGTACTGCCTAGTTGGATGAGTTGTCCAGCTGCTGGGTTGATTGTCCAGCAACATTCTGCAAAATTCAAAGATTGCCATGGCCGGCCAACTATAGATGGGCCCCACCCATAGCTAATGTCAAAGGTCCCAAGTAAAGTCGGACAGTATGTAACAGAGCTGTAGGGAATGTTTTATAGTCGTCGTACATCAATGTAAACTATAGTTGGGACCGCCAAATAAAAATATTGCGGTGGCCCAACTACAGATGGTCCCCACCCATAGATAATTTCATTGGTCCCAAGTAAAGTCAGGTGTGTATTAGAGTTGTAGGGAATGTTTTATAATCGTACAACAATGTACACTATAGTTGGGACCGCAAAATAAAAAGATTGGAGTGGCCCAACTATAGATTCGCCCCATCAATAGCTAATTTCAGTGGTCCCCAGTAAAGTCAGACGTGTATCAGAGCTGTAGGGAACGTTTTACAGTTGTAAATCAATGTAAACTATAGTTGGGACACCGCAAAATAAAAAGATCGGAGTGGCCCAACTATAGATGGGCCAGCCCAACAGTGGAACTTACAGTTGGGACCGTCCCAACTATAGTTGGGACAGGCCCAACTATAGTTGGGCCAGCCCAACTGTGGAACTACAGTTGGGACAGGCCCAACTATAGTTGGGACAGGCCCAACTATAGTTGGGACCGATGCGATAGTTGGGGCGTGACAGGGCTAACAACAGATCTGCGTTGAGATACGCGCTGTTCACACACACCGTAATTTCATGTGGATTTGCAGGTCAAATAGTTAGCCCAGGTGGACTCCCTTTCCTCCCTACGTTACGGAGGGAGTCGAGGGTATGAAGTGCTCAAAACCGGGTGGAAAATTTTATGACCAATATTTTTAATATTTTTACCTTGTTGGAGAAGCCAATTTTTACGTCGTCGTATTCTATGACTATGTGTCCTTATCTAATCTATTGCTGGGCCGCTGGGTTCAGGAATTCCATATGCGATGCTGACCGACCTTAATCAGGAAAATAAATTCTAAAGCAACGTTAAACTTTTACGTGTTTGTAGACTCTTCATGCTCTTTTCATCAGTTTCTCACCGCCGAGTCTATTCTAGTCGTACATGACGTACGTACGTCCGTGCAGCGTATAGTCTGGTTCCCTAGAACCTGACAATTATTCTCGGCGCTCATATCACGTCTGGTCTGGGAGCCAGACTATGCAGTGTGAATATGCAGTGCGCACGCGTGATTTGCTTAGTAACCACCCTCATACGCACGCGCCCTTACTTGAAGGCGCGGTCGCTAATCCAATGACCGAGCGTGTTTTCGCGCCAGTTACCAGAAACATGTTTCGGCTTTGGTCATTGGTTGAGCATTTTCGTGACGTCAGTTGGCTGGAGTGACGTTACTGTTCCAACCAAAACTAAACAAATGATTGCGCTAGCGTGCGTGCGCGCTTTCGTGCGCACGTACATGACGTACGACTCGGGAATAAAAGTGATGAAAAGAGACTACAAACACGTACAAGTTTAACGTTGCTTTGGAGTTTATTTTCCTGATTAATGTCGGTCAGCATCACATATGGAATTCCTGAACCCCTGGATCAATAGAGAAGGACACATAGAAAATGTAGGCGTGAAATAAGCTTCTGTAACGAGGTAAAACGTAACGAAAATCTGGTCCAAATTTTGGGTGGTCTTATGTAGAGAATTCTCATCCTGGTTGTCAGTCGTAATGCAATGAAGACTTCGTCCAACCTGGGCTAGTCAAATAGTGTGTGCTGTGTTGTGGGCCGCACCATGTTAATAGCCATGCTACGTAGTACGTTCATTATAAAATGTTAGGAGTAATTGCAGAATACCCCGCCACTCGGAAATACACCCATAAAATCTCTGGCTACGCGGTTGGAATCACTGGAAAAGAAACAAACAATTCAAGTCCATGCCAGCTACGCGGATACTGAGTGGGGGTCCATTATTTGAGAACGAAGCAACACAAAATGAATGGGAGTTGCTGAAAAAATTCGAAGTCCAAACCAACCACCCTAGTTGCCGGCTACGCAGATACGGAGTGGGAGTCCCTTGAATATGCTTGAGAACAAAGCAACACAAAAGGAATGGGAATTGCTGAATTTTTTTTAAGTCCAAACCAACTACCCTGTTGGCGGCTACGCGGATACGGAGTGGGAGTGCAGTGGAGCATGACGCATAGTACATACAAGTAGCGCTGAGAAGGTTTAATGAGGGCAATCAACCGTGACTCCGTAGCCGGCTACGAGGTGGATAGATTGAGTGGCGGGGTATTCTGCAATTGTGCCAAATGTTAAAGCTGGAAGGGCTGGACATCTGATATATTTGAATAACTTTGTTTTGCTGTTTGTGTTTTCTCTGCTAGAATGGCTTCAAGTGCCACACAATGTCGGAGTCTCACCAGAGACAGCTTCTTCTGTTCGCTGAAAACGAAGAAAAATTCCTGGACCATTTTTCAGAGTGAGTTTTGTCTTCAATAGACTCCGTGCACATACAAAAGACCAAATTTGAGAGCTCACGTGGGGAGACACACCACCTGCGCAGAACGATTTTTGCGCGTTTGACGCAAGTATGCAATTTACTAGCCCAGGTTGGACAACGTCTTCATTGCATTACGACTGACGTCCAGGGTATAAATTCTACCATCATAGTGAAAAAAAAACTAACCGCAATTCCACGCTTTCGTTGAAAACATTTTCATTACGAACTCCCCGTGTGAAGATTACGCAAGCACGTGCATGCACACCTAGCACGCTGCCGCCACGGCAGCAAACGGCACGCGCGTGTACGTCTTCACACGGAGAGTTCGTACTGAAAATGTTTTCAACGAAAGCGTGGAATTGCAGTTATTTTCGGTAAACACGCCGCCTGCGGACATATTGGCCTTTTTTAAACCCAGCGCAGGCACAATTCTGGACACAAGGAATATGTAAGCGAAATTTCAGCTTCCTCCGTCAGGTAAAAATATGAAAAAAAAATGTGTTATAATTTTTTTCGCTGTGGCAGGAGAGATTCAAACCCTAGACTCCGTTGCGTGACACAACAGAGTCCAACCTGGGCTAGCAATTGACTAATTATTGCCAATGTGCACAAGCATTGCTTTACCGTCAGGCGTTGCAAGCAATTATTATTATTTATTTCTTATTTCAACTGGGTAGCCCATTCAGTGGAATCCGCTCATCTCCCATGGGTCCCAGTAAAGAGAAGACAATGTGAAGAAATTACAGTTTGAGAGGTGGGAGGAAAAGCCCAGAAGAGTATTCTGAGGAAAACCCACAGAATCAGGTAGGGACTGAAAACTCAATCCACATATTGACCCAGGCAGGCATCAAACCCGGGTCACAGCGGTGGAAGGCGAGGAAAGGACTGGCCCAGGTGGGATTCGAACCCGGGTCACAGCCGTGGAAGGCGAGGAAAGTACCGCTACGCCAACCTGACTTCCCCAATGCAGCCAATGTCCCTCAAAGTGGTCTCCCCCAAATCTGCTTTTGTTACTCTTGAGTGGGTACATAAAGAGTCCATACAACATGCCTGTAGCCTGTAAAGGTACATGTAAATACCTCTGCAGTAAACATTATTTTAATCTCTATGACTTTTTTTGGGTCTCCTCCACTGATCAGGGAATTCTTTGACACCTTCATGGAATTGCTTCGCCGACGCTTCAACACCCGGCGAGTCCACTGCAACGTGGTCTACAATGAGTACATTCAGCACAAAGATCACTGCCACATGAATGCCACCAAGTGGGAAACGCTGACCGAATTTGTCAAGTGGCTTGGAAGGGAAGGTATGGAAGATCAACTCTGGTCTCTGGACTGATAAGGCCAAAAAAAAAGTCTCCGGTAGCCATGCGTGTCGGCAAAACGAAAAAGTTTTTTTGTCAATGAAAGATGATGTCTCAAAACCGCCAAACTCACTGGTTTGACTGGAATCCTGCTGCTGCACAATTTTAACGTGTCTTTAGATTGGGTTATGGTCGAGAATCCCTTAAAAATTCGTTAAAAAGCCATTTTCCCTTGAAATTACAGTTAACTACCGGTAAATGTTCACGGATTTTTCAACATATTAAGCCAGATTAGGAGTCCGTGAAAGCTCCCTTAAGAAAGTCCTTTGTTTACCCATGGAGATAGACCAATGATAATCCTCAGTGGCCAGGGTCATTAAAAAACTGTGAAAATACCCTTACAGGATTAGTCCTAAATAAGCTCCATGTAAATGTCCGTGAAACAGCTGTTAAAGATTTTTTTCAGGGAGAAATGGACTTTTAATGAAAATTTAAGGGATCGGATGTTCATAGTGGTGATAAAACAGCAGTGACCAAAACTTGCCTGCTTTGGCTGTTGACCCAGTTTGACTAGACATAGTGCTTGATTGACTTGATGATCTGACTGCTGGTGACTAGCCTTTGTTAAAAGTATAGCAGGGAAAGCGGAAGTGAATTTCGACTGTCCGTGACTGTTTAAGTAGCAGGAAGCTTAAGGATTGACTGCCATTGGTTTAAAGGGAATGTACATCATTGGCGTTTGCTGTAATTTTCAGAAATGAACTATTTGAGAGGTTAGTATAATAGATCAAATATTGTTACACTGACATTTTTGAAGTTTGGTGTTCGAAAAGGTTGGAAAAACCAAGAAAAACAAAAATGATCAAGTAGTCTGGTTCCCTGACTTCACAAAAGATAAAATAGATCAATTTATAGATGATGGAAAACTGTAAGGCAAGGGAACCAGTCTAGCTGGCCTGCACCCGTTCATGAACATGTAAACAATAGCAAACAAAATTTGGACTGAAAAAAATGGTAAATTTGGAGCAGTAGTTGAAAATAGTTAGGTTTTTCCAACGCTGGTCGGCCGACCACCGTTGGAAATGTTTACAAAAATACCATTTTCTTGAATATGACTTCACACCAGGTGCCATAATTTTACAAGATGCTTGAGACTATCATTTACCAACATCCTTGTAAGGTATTTCGTAAAAACTTGGTAGTTTTTTTTTGATGTTTGCAAATGTTGTATATTCCCTTTAACCCTTGCTCTTGCCTCCACATGAAATAATGTGCATTTGTCGTGTATTGCCGTATTTTACACATTTGAACATGTTGAAAGGCAATATACAAAATAACAGCAGCGTCATGTACGTAAAAATCGCATTCAAATTGTCTATTTGTCTTATTCAAAACTCTTCTCAATTCACCGATGGACGTCAAATACGCTTTAGAATTTTACCACTGGTCGTATTTCTACATTAACAAAATGTTTGTCGCCCCCTGGCATCATCAGCGAACGTCACATTATGTAAGAAACCGTGTACGCGATGTGCTATTGACCGATCGATCGCAGCAGGTCGGCTGGCGTAATTTTTTTTCCTAGGAGGGTTAGGGGCAATGTCATGAATAATCCAGTTTTTCCTTTGAATCATTGTAAGACTTAGGTTCTCGTTCTATTTTCCCCTTAATTTACAATTATCTCAGTGATAAATTTGGAGAAGAAAAATAGCTGATGAAAATGAGCAGCGACGACGTGGATTCGAACCAGGGATCTTTGTATCCATAGCTCATCTCGCTATCCACTAGGCTACTGTGTGGTAGCTCGACGACAACCGTTCTTTAAAATGCTTTAATGTATTGTAACTAGTTGAGTAACTAACAACAATGCTGTTGATGTCATTGTCCGTTCTCATGGATAAACATGAATTATTCATGACATTGCCCCTAACCCTCCTAGGAATAAAAATTACGCGGTCGGCTGACAGGTATGGGTTGTTTTAGACTGGTTCTTGGTCGCCGGTCCCTCCATTGTCGTTCCACGGCAGTCTCGGGCACTACGGTAACTGAAGTATTTTTTTTCTGCTTTTCGTTCATCATCTCGTAGGTTTTTGCAAAGTGGACCAGACGGAGAAGGGTTGGTTTATTGCCTACATTGACCGTGACCCGGAGACCATCGCCAGACAGGAGAGTCTTGCCAAGAAAGAGAAACTGGAGCTGGATGACGAGGAACGCACACAGAGATTCATTCAGCGACAGGTGGAGAAGGCTGCCGAGAACAAAACGGACCAGGTGAGTAAGTTTTGGATCTTGTTTCAATCGAGTACAGATTCTTTACAAACAAGACAGGGCAAGCTGAGTTAAAGGGAATATACATCATTTGCTTTTGCTGTAATTTTCAGAAATGGATGGAATTGGGGGGGTTGGAAATATATAGCAAATTTAGTTATACTGACTTTTTTGAGGTTTTGGGTTCGAAAATGCTATAAAAACCAAGAAAAACAATCATTTTCCTGTAGTCTGGTTCCCTGACTCCATATAAGAAGAAACAGAGCCGTTTACATACATCGGGGAATTGTAAGGTCAGGGAACCAGTCTAGCTGGCTTGTACCCGTTCATAGGTGTGTAATCGATTGCAAACAAGTGCGATGGTCAATTGGGGCCAGTATTTGAAAAAAAGCCAGTTTTTTTCCAATGCTGGTCGGCCGACCAGCGTTGGAAATTGATACAAAAATACCACTTTTCTTGAAAATGACAGTATACCAGGTGCCATGATTTTACAGGATGCTTTACACTGTCATTCACTAACAGTCCAGCAAGGTATTTCAAAATGATTTGGTAGTTTTATTTTTTGATGTTTGCAAATGTTGTATTTTCCCTTTAAGCTGGTCTATTCAATGGATTTTTAACATGACTCTGAAAAAAATATAAATATTGAACACAACTCATGTACTGAATACCATTCCATTTACATAGGATCTGCATGGACTCAGTCTAATGTACATGTAGTGGTAGGATTTAAATCCAGATTTTTTAAAATTTGTTTTGAATTCCACTCGGCGGTTTCCAGTTTGGAAACCCCATACTCCAAACCAACCTTAACAACATTAAGCTTTCCATTTTTTTTGTGACATGCTATTAGTAGTCTTTATTGGGGGATGTCCCTGGTGTTTTCTTTAAAAGAAAACACCAGGGACATCCCCAATTTGCTCCATTGTCTCTGATAGTACATGTAACTGCATTCACTTGCTAGTAGTCTTTTTGGTACAGTGGAACGCCGCTATACCGAACACCGCTATACCGAACATTCGGCTATACAGAGCATCATCCTTGGCTCCCGGTTTTAATGTACAAAACGTATCGAACATTGTTGTTGGAAAAAGTCAACAGAATAACAAAAAAAAATCTACCGGTTGTACACGTATTAAACACTATGTGGGCCACTTTTAATTTCCTAACATCAAATGACCCATAGATACATCGTGTTTGAATGTTGAAGAGTGATAGATGGCTATATTAAACTTCCCAAGGGAATAAAAGGGAAAACCATTCGTTGCTAAAGTTTCGTGACGACTCCTCGTGCGGCCGCAGGATGTGGGAAATGCCACTTCACTATTGGTCAAAAGAGGGTACCGGCGGTTCAAAATCGCTGTACTGAACGATCGTTATTACGAACACTTTCTGTGGATCCAACGATGTTCGTTATAGCGGCGTTCCACAAGGGCGGATCCAGGGGGGGCCAAAGGGGGCCATGGCCCCCCCCCCCCCAAATTAAACCAATTTTTAAATTTTTTTTATGTGACATCGCAATAAAGGCAGGATCGCACCACAGAGCATCTAGAATCCAATTTTTTTAAGCGGGCCCCGAACCCCACACCGTAATTTTTTTGACCCACTTTTTTGTGGGACCACATTTTTATTTGGCCCCCCCAAAAATTGTGTTTTGGATCCGCCCTTGGCGTTCCACTGTATATGAATAGCCTGTCCATTCAACTTGTCAGAGTGTTTCCACCCATTTTTTTTTTCAACATTACAGTTCGGGAATGTTTTTGCAAAGGCCCGGTGGTCACTGAATACTACAAACTAGGCCCAATCCTCGGGAGAGCATTGCATACGGCACCTCACTCGTCAGTTTTTGTTGGCATAACTGTGAGCTAGATGGGAACTTCCTGATATGCCGTTTGAAAAAAAAATTAGGATAAGGCCAAAAAAAAAAATAAGTCGGTCTCTGGTCAGCTAGCGCGTCGATTTTAATCATGCGCGTCTTTTTTTTTCTTCCAAAATGTTCCGCGGTAGCTCCAACAGCGCCCTCTATTTCCGCACCTCCTCAATTTGTTTTACCAAAGAGCACCAAGGAATGGGAAATTGCACCAAGGCAAATGATCGAAAGCACCAAGGCAAATTATGGAGGACACCAATGTACATGAGGACACCAAAAAAGCAAAATAGTACCCCAACTTGTCTGTACAATCCAAGCTTGAAGAAAGAAAAAAAAAAAAAAAGCCAAAAAAAAAAAAACATCCGCGTGGCCGCGTCAATTCCGGAACTTTGGTCTGACCAGAGACCGAATATATATATTTTTTGGCCGGTTTTTGAAATCTCTGGTTTTCTTCCGACACTCCTCTAATGTATCGTTCATTTTCCTTTCAACGGCAGGATACCGGTCAGGAGTACACTGAGCTACAGCGGGAGGAAGGGGAGGGTCTGGTCAGCTTCAACCTGGGCCAGATGGCTGCTGGGACGGCCTCAAAGACAGACCCAGCAAGTAGCAAGCCGAGGGGTGCTGCTGGTGAAGGGAAATCTGACGCTGTCTCCAAAGATGGCAAAGTGTGGGTCATGCATTCAACATTTCTACCAAATTTAAAGAGGTTGTGGAATGCTCGAAGAAATTTCCGTCATTTTTCGGGTATATGTAGCCTAAGGTGTGATGAAATAAAAACGACTATTGTTTCTGTCATAAAATGAGTACAAAAGGTACTTTTGAGAGCTGTTTTTCAAGTCCTGTCATGCCTGTTTCGACCCGAACGTGCAATTTGTGTAAAAGTCGTCGTTGCGGGCAGCAAACAAAACACAGTAAATCGTGACGTAATAAACAGGACTCCCGATGCAGAGTAGCATAAACGAGTCCTGTTTATTACGTCACGATTTACTGTGTTTTGTTTGCTGCCCGCAACGACGACTTTTACACAAATTGCATGTTCGGGTCGAAACAGGACCTGAAAAATAGCTCTCAAAAGTACCCTTTGTACTCATTTCATGACAGAAACAATAGTCGTTTTTATTTCATCACACCTTAGGCTACATATACCCGAAAAATGACGGAAATGTCTTCGAGCATTCCACAACCACTTTAAGGCTTCTATTACATGTCCTAACCCTGCCAGATGCAACACATCGCCACAGGTGTGCACATCTGTTGGACCTTGCGTTGAGCTATAAACACTTGACAGTGAAAGCTAGTTCCATGAACAATTGCACAGTTGTATCCTGTTGGAGATTTTTGTCCTGTTATCAATACACCGAGAAGGCGTCTCATTTTGACAGGTGTTGCATGTGCCATTACCTTGAAGGTTTTGGGTTAATAGTTTTTTTAGTCTTTAAAAAGATAGATAGATCGATTGGTTTATTCATCCTCAAATTGTGGCCCGAAGGCCAAATTGCATGTGAATTTACAATATTAATTTGAAATTAAAATCATTAAGTAAAACCTTCTGTTAAAACATTGACAACAATAGTTAAATACAATTATACAATTATACAAAAAAAAAAACACTTGCAGGGATAACTGACATAAACCTTTTTTTTAATTAAAGGTGGATTTTTTCTTCTTTTTTTAATGGAGTCCCAATACACGCAACCCTTTACTCCCCAAAAAGGTTATTCGCTTAATAGCGTAATAAAATATGGTATCAGGCTTCTATGAAATCGTGACGTATTAGCAGAAAGTAAGAAAATTTGGTTGCATTACGCAATGACACACCATGGCACTCGAAGCGTTTGGGGAGAAACAATGAAATTGTTTTTGTGTTTTGCGAGAGCCTGACAGCAAATTTGGTACAATGGTTTATCCTTCTGTCTTCTAGTGAGTCAATATTACAGGCCTCGAAGAGGTGTATTTATCAAATTAGGTTTTGCCCTTCACCGACATTTTTTTTAAACACTGTATACTCGGTGTGTTATCTCCCGAGTAAAAGTTGGAAAAAATCACTCGGGTGGGACTCGAACCCACGACCTCCTGCTTTCTAGTGCAGATGTCTTACCACTCGACCACCGAGCTAACGGGATCGGTTGGCCGGTTCGAATCTGATGTACATAGCAGCGGGTACCGCATAAACTATTATAAAATGGAATTTTGCGTCGGGGTGATATAAACCAACGTTTTTTAAACACTGTATTCGAGTCCCACACGAGTGATTTTTTCCAACTTTGACTCGGGAGGTAACACACTGAGTATACAGTGTTTAAAAAAAAACGTTGGTGAAGGGCAAAACCTAATTTGATTTATATCACCCCGACGCAAAATTCCATCTTATAATAGTGTATTTATCACCCAATATGACCATACATGCCCTTTTTTGGTATCATATCTACATGTATGTCACCGACTTGTTTACGTGTAAGACTTGAATGCCAGACAACGTCACAGTACTCTAGAACAGGAAGAACATAACCCATATAAACAGCTCTCAGTTCCTCAACAATAAAACCTAATCTTTTCAAAGTTTTTTTAACATGAAACTTTAGTGATAAGTTGATCCTACGATTACAGTTTGTCATGGTTTTCTGTTTATTTCTCTTTGAATACTCAAAACGAAGGTTCCCGCTTTCTTGGACTGACAAGTGATAAAAGAAAGGTGTGAAATACTGAACAATTTGTCAATAGTAGTAAAAGAAGGGAACAGTACAAGTCCCAAGTTGTATAGAAGAACCAGACTGTACATTGTATAGTTAAGAGTGTGTGGATTTGCAGCCAAACTTTTTTTGAAAGTAACTGTAACTTAAAGTATTTAACCCTAAAAGGGTCGGGTTATTTTGACCATCTCTCAGCCGTGGGGACTGATTCTGCACCCCCTAAGATCTCGGTCATCGAGTGACAAAATATTTTGAAACTTGGTACATGTATACAACATTCTCATCACGAACATAACAAAGAAATTTCATGACTATAGGTCAAAGGGTTTTGGAATTATGGCTAAATAATTATTCATATGCATGAATGGTAATTCTGCTCTGTGTACACTATGTTTATGGGGAAATTCAGTTTTCACAGCGCATAGCACCAGAGAATTATGTTTTTGGTATCAAAAGATGCACAAGGCTCGAGGCTAAAAAGTCAGAACAGCTCAGGTCGCAAAAAATCTGTTTTTAAAAGCTATCACAGAAAAAGTTGAGGGGGGGGGGGAGGGGCATCCGCCCCCTGGCCCCTTCAGGGTTAATGGTATTCGTATCTGGTATCCCTATCTGGATCATTTGAATGACTTTAACAATATTGTCCATAATGTATTTGAGTAATTTATGCGCCATGACAGTTTTCCTTGGACCTCACCTCCCACCCCTATTGGATGTAGTTACATCGTAATATAACCGTTTGAAACATCTTCTGGATTTCTTTGTCTTTTTAGGCAATCAAGATGGTCCAACCCCTTGAAGGACTCGCAATCAGTCAAACGGAAGGATGGCAACAGCGGCGGCAAGTCAGGGAAGAGGAAATCGGCGCTGGAGGAAATCATAGAGGTAAAGAAACCTGAGCAATCAACAAAAAGACAGCAATATTTTTTGAAATGGAACAGTCATGTCGGCATATTAGTTCTTTCCTTAATTAACATGCTTACCTTCAAACTCAATTAGTGGTTCTGTGTGTTGTTAGCTGGTTTGATTACAGAAATGTCGGGTGCTTTTAAATTGCTTTGTTTGAATGTGCGCACCCAAGAATTAATACACTGTTGATCTGTGATGCAATTTGATACGATTTGAAGGTTCACAATGGTGATTGGTGAAGATAGCTAAATGTGACCTGTTCTGTCAAAAAACGCTGTGGGGGTGATTTTTATTAATTTTCAAACGTTTGCATATTTGTAATCCTGAACATGTCTAAAATATATTATAAAAGTTTGAAACCCTAATTTGAACTCTACATATACTATTTCTGATTATTTTGATAAGGTATATCAGTTAACGAAATAACTGTTTTGTGACGTTCCTGGCCATTTTCTCTGTTTTCTACTTTTCGACACAATGAACTTCAAAATAGCGTAACTCTGCCCAGGAATGACCGGTTTCAGAAATTAAACCACCTATTAAAAGGAAAAAGAACATATGTTAACAATATGTAAAAATATCATTTTCGACCGTATGCCCAGAAAAGTCTGATTTTGACAGAACAGGTCACAAATAAGATAAGGTTTATGGTAGCACCATGCAACAAGAGAACAGGGGGAAACTCAATGTTTCGGACAGTATACATGTACCCTGTCATCAGGTGTCTTTCTGATTACTGGAATCGACGCTCGGGGGAACTTGAATCGGCTACATCAGAAAATCAAATCTTAAAAACGTGGAATTGTGAGTTTCGAGTCAATTCTTATTGATTCCTGCGTGGAATGACCCAAGTCTAGTCTCTTTTGCCATATAAGTTTTCCTGGAGCAGTCATCGAAAATATACTTTCTGTGCTAGTTTCAAGTTTCAAACTGAAAACATTGTTTGTTTTCAATTGTTATTTTCCAGCTGAAATAGTTATTAAATGAGACATTGCATGCAAAAATCCATAATTACATAATTGGAATCATTCCATGAAAAAAATTATAATTAGAGGCATTACTGGTATTTGTGCAGTGGACACTAAATTAAGAAGCTAATGTGTATAAATTTATGCTGCCTCAAAGTCTTGTAGTATAATGTTTACTTGTCATGTATTGTCAATTGTATTGTGTTTGTTAAAGAGGTTGTGGAATGCTGGAAGACATTTCCGTCATTTTTCGGGTATATGTAGCCTAAGGTGTGATGAAATATAAACGACTATTGTTTCTGTCATAAAATGAGTACAAAAGGTACTTTTGAGAGCTGTTTTTCAAGTCCTGTCATGCCTGTTTCGACCCGAACGTGCAATTTGTGTAAACGTTGTCGTTGCGGGCAGCAAACAAAACACAGTAAATCGTGACGTAATAAACAGGACTCCCGATGCAGAGTAGCATAAACGAGTCCTGTTTATTACGTCACGATTTACTCTGTTTTGTTGCTGCCCGCAACGACGACTTTTACACAAATTGCACGTTCGGGTCGAAACAGGACCTGAAAAATAGCTCTCAAAAGTACCCTTTGTGCTCATTTCATGACAGAAACAATAGTCGTTTTTATTTCATCACACCATAGGCTACATTTACCCAAAAAATGACAGAAATGTCTTCGAGCATTCCACAACCTCTTTAACTGGTACTTTTGTTCACTGTGGGATTGCTTGTTCCTTGTTTGTTTGCTACTCTTTCAGGGCTCCATATTAATTTAATTCGTCATTGTTCTCTATTTTCATGATTTTCTTGACCAGGAAGAGGAAAGGAAGAAGAAAGCTAAAGTGACGCACACACAGAACTGGCTGACAGAGGGCATCGTAGTCAAGATCACAACCAAGAGGCTGGGTGACAGATTCTACAAGAAGAAAGGTGTTATCACGGTAAGAACCTACGGATGGGAAACATTTAGCTAAACTTCCATGCACTGTTTACCATTAGTCGCTGCACGTGCACCACCCAAAACTGCTCTTTCTGTTGCCTAGCATGGTCATTTTTATTGGGGGGTTAAAAAGCTTGTGAAAAGGGAATTCGCAGATTCGTGCTGAAATGTAGACTGTGTTTTTTCTCTGGACACTTGGCCTCGGTAAAATCAAAGGGGTGGAGGGGGGGGGGGGGGGACTGGTACCATCTTCCAAAGGGGGCGCTGTTCAAATTGGACGATAATACACACTATCGGACAACATATATCACTCTGAAGGGCGGAACAATTGCGAGCTGTCACGCGAAATTCAAAAAGGGCACTTTAAAAAAAAATTAAAAATGGGTATTCTTTAAAAATATTGGGGGTGGGAGTAAACGCTTGTGACAAAAAAGGGCACTTGAATGGAAAGTGGCAGTCTTTACAAATATTGGGAGGGGGGAGGGGTGGGGTTAAATATTCCCCTTACCCTCCTGCTGGCTACGCCTCTGTAATATTTTGGATGGATAATTTATTTCTAACATGTCTAAGAGCCAATGGCTATCAAAATGTTTTTATTATGGAGTACCGAAGTGTGACGTCATTTAGAACCAGAAAGTGTAGTGCAAATGAATGGAGTACGCGCGCGTGTTGGTTCACGGGCTGAATCACGCGCTAATGTCTTTCACACACATTTTGTGCGCGTGACGTTTTCACTTCGGTGCTCCATAGAGATCAGTGCCCCAAGCTCTGTAAATGCTGCATGATTGGTTTTATGGATTCATCAGAGAATAAACATAATGTAATACAGCCTGTCTCAAAAAAAATGGTACAATCAGAAAAAAATTGGTTAAATATGAAATTTCAAAATAAGTCATTCTTACTTGGCATAATATTAAAGAACAAAGACTGGGCTTTCCAATAGTGTTTGTTTGATCTTATTTGCTTTTGTCAATTCAGAGATATAATCAATTTAGTGCGATAAGCCAAAATCGATTTTGTGCCACTTTTACGCATGGGCAGAGTTGTTTCGAGTACTGTGCCATGCTGTCTTGAAGCTCACAAAAGATTGCAACTTGGCAAAAGAAACAAACTCGATTTTTGTGTTCCGCAGTAAACTGGAGTTATCTCTGGATTGACAAAAGCAAATGAGATGAAACAAAAAGTACTGGAAAGCCTGGTCTTTTTCCTTTAATGTGATGCTCAAAACGACTTACTTATGTTGAGATTTAATATTGAAAAAAAAAAATCGTTTTTGATTGTACCATTTTTTTTGAGACGGGCTTTACAATGTAGCACAGTTGCTAAAATGTTTTACCAACACTGTGACTTTATAAAGGCTTCGGCCTGACCCAGTAGGATAGGCATGCAACATTGATGACCAGTTGGCATATTAAACACATCAAACAATAAAATTGTTTGAAATATATATGTAGTTGATGTGATCAAAATAGAATGTAGTAACCTGCTTCTTTCTTCTTGTTTTAGAAAGTTGAAAATATGTTTACTGGGATTGTGAAGATGATCGACAGCGGGGCCAAACTCAAAGTGGACCAGCTTCATGTGGAGACAGTCATTCCTTCACCAGGTAAGTTACAAACGGATATCCAGCAAGCGAACCTATGGTGGCAGAGTGTACCCATTAGTCCCTGTACCACCTCTGCCTGTCATTCCCTATATGGCCCCAAGCTGCCCCAGCACTCTATGGTTTTATGGGTTCACCAAGGAGTAAATACAATAAAGTACTATGTACATGTAGTAAAAAATAGTCAACTATCACTAGCCAATGTGGCCTATCAGGCCGGAGTTTATCTCCTGTTTCAGTAGCATGAAACAACTGAGAATATTTCTATTCCCTCTCGATGGGATGCCAGTCCATCGCAGGTTACTCCCCAGCTAATACTGGTACCCATTTATACTGGGTGGAGAGAGGCAAGTGGGGGTGAAGGACGCAATATACCACAAGCATTTGGATTCCAACCCCTGACCCTCTGATCATGAGTCACGAGCCCTTACCACTTGGCCACATTCCCCCAGGGAGTGACAACCGTGGAGTAATACAGTAAAGTATTATGTACATGTAGCACAAGTGCTAATGGAGAGTCCATCTGAAGTTAACAATCTTTTACTTTGACACAGATTTAAGTTTAACTCATACTGAAACTTGGCTTAGACTCTGTGCTCATTTAATCTCAGACTGTCTTTGAAATGAGTGTTCAGAGCTGTGTCTATTGACCTTTGTTTGCCAAGCCATTTTTGCCAAACATATCATTGGATTGTTGAAAATACAAAATAACCAAAAAATGCTTTTCTTACACAATGAGTGTGTTTATATATTAATATACATGCAATTTTTGGCAAAATTCTGTTGCCAACCAGGGCTTAAATTTATACTCTTTGCGACAGCCCATATAAAATGGTGCTGGATGTTTACTAACAAAAGAAATAGCTGTAATAGTAGTCCCTACTGACCCTCTCCTTGCAAACGAGTGAGCTGGTACTTGTGCACGGAATCCATTGCAACCATCACTAACCTATGACCTTATTTGACCCACAGGCAGAATGGTGGCCGTGGTGAATGGCCCCCACCGGGGACAGCAGGCCTCCCTGGTCACCCTTCAAGAAGAGGCTTGCTCCGTTGTGATCAAACTTCAGATGGTGAGTTTCAAACTGTGTTGCAAAGAAAAACAAAAACCGCTATTCAGAGAGCTCAACGAAAAATACTTGTCGGTGCTCAGCAAATGTCTGGGCCACTGTCCTTGATTTAATTCATGTGTTCATGAAGGTTACTTAAACTTAAAGGATGGTGATAACTCAAACTGTATTATCCCTAACCTTCCCAAATCCTCCAAAATCCTCTTCGCAAAATGGAGGATTTTGCAGGATTGAGGCTATACATGTATGGCAAAACTGTGTGGCTGATTTTGGAGGATGCACTGTATCAAGGTCTTGGGCTGGACCTTGTGTTGTTTATGCTCCGCCGTGCATAAATTTAGGTCTAGATTGTACTTGAAATCCTCTGCACTGCTCCAGGTTGTCACTGGCTCTGCCTCAACATATTGACAGTGATTGCATGAGGATTTTGCAGGATTGAGGCAGTGGTCACCCTTTCAAGGACCACATTCAAGAAATAACCGATGATTTTAGAGGATTGAGGCTATATGCAATTTTTACAGAGATAGAGTTGGAGGATTTTGCTGGGGAGTTTATATAATTAGGGTTAATGTAATAGTCTGTCTCCGGTCAGTGTAACTGTACTAATCAGGCCAACTTGGCATGAAATAACATTTTATTGTTTGGAATGTGATGGACTACTCACCATTTAGACTTTGTGGAGACAGGCAGATATGCCGAGGCAAAGTGGCTTTCCCACAGTGTCATAGTTAAGTCCATCATAATCCCTTTTATACATAAATCACAAACTTACTTCCCCAAGTTCAGTCACAAGTAACAGGGGTGAACAATAACAAAGGAATGCTTTTGTTTACAATTCGTTTGAGTAGCTTGTGCCTTGAATTGAAACTGGAGAACTTGTGATGGACTTGTGATGGACTTGTGATGGACTTGTGATGGATGCAAATTCAACACTGCTTTCCCATTATCTTCATTATCATTATTGAGCCCCTCCTCTTCTGATCACGAGTCACAGATATAAACTGACAAGCCATACTTCCCACTAGTAAACAGAAGATTGTATAATTTATATTGACATTTTATTTCTTGCCTTTTTTTGTGTGTATGTGTGCAATGTGTACAGGGACCAATGGCAGGAAAGACAGTGAGTGGTATTCCATATGAGGATATATCCAAGCTTGCCCCTCAGGACACGTGACAGGCACAAAACCCTGGATGTCAAATGAGAACGTGTAGGCCATGTCTGAATCGGGTATTTTGTGGATACAGCTATGGTTTTGGCGCACTACAGTGAATTGCTTGAGGCAACACGGTGAATAGCTGTCAATAAAGACAACCTGTTTCAGATAAGGTATACATTTTAGGCATTTTGGCATAATGAGATTGAACTGGGCACAGGCCGTAGTAGAGAAAACTGCCCAAAAAACAAATGAATAGGGTTTTTTTTTTCTTCGGTTTTCAGATTATTGATATTTTTAATCTTTGTGTGTCAACTACATACAGTATTTTAGAAAAATAGTACAAAAGTTGTAGAATAAAAATGTTTTTAAGGAAAAACAGTTGCCATCTTCTTTTTCATGACTACTAAACTCGAAACTGTAAATGCCTTTTTCTCAGTATTTTAGTTCTTTGACATTGTTGATAAATGTGATCTTTAAACAGCCCAAATTTGTCAATAGATGTCCGATTAAGTGCAGCAAAGAGTAGTGTAAGGAGAATCTTATTCACTTTTCTAATTCCTGCAAACCCTCATTTCGAACTCCGCCCAGTTCTATCTCATTTTGCAAGAACACTTCACAAGTGTATATTTTTGTCATTCGTGATGTTAGCATTGGTCTATTTTGTAAGAGAATTGTTGTGGAGTTAAGTGTCCACATACTTTTTGGACTCGCGAGTCTGAGCATTCTGCGCTAACAGTGCTTCCAAAGAAATTTATTAAAAAGGTTGTGGAATGCTCGAAGACATTTCCGTCATTTTTCGGGTAAATGTAGCCTAAGGTGTGATGAAATAAAAACGACTATTGTTTCTGTCATAAAATGAATACAAAAGGTGCTTTTGAGAGCTGTTTTTCAGGTCCTGTTTCGACCCGAAGGTGCAATTTGTGTAAAAGTCGTCGTTGGGGGCAGCAAACAAAACATAGTAAATCGTGACGTAATAAACAGGATTCGTTTATACTACGCTGCATAGGGACAGCTCTCAAAAGTACCTTTTGTATTCATTTCATGACAGAAACAATAGTTATTTTTATTTCATCACACCTTAGGCTACATATACCCGAAAAACGACGGAAATGTCTTCGAGCATTCCACAACCTCTTTAACCCAATAAGCAGATAATCCATGGGATGTAGGCCTGCGCTCAAATGAAGATTCCTTTCAACTTGTGAAATATGCTAACTACAAATTAAGTCAGCGGGATTCTCCTCTGATGGTCAGCAGAACCATGAAATTGGGCCTAAGCTCCTGACATCAGTCAAATGCATACACTTTGGCTTCTGTTTTCAAAGTTGGAAATATTGTCATAAACTTTGAAACATGATTTGTCATCGTTTTGAACAATTTGCTTATTACTTTGTGTCCCTGTGTATGTCATGTGCATATACATTGTAATTGTGGGCCATTAATACCATCTGGATTCTGGATAGCAAACTGTAACATTGCTTTACTTACAAAATTTAGATTTAAGAAAGGTGAACATATACATGTACATTGTACTGTACAGCAAAATCGACATCGATTGAGTTGTAACACATGTATAAGGAAACTAGAGGCACTATTTGCTGAAATTGTGTCAATGTATTAAAGATTTAATAGTTTTAGAACACTACAAATATTATCAGTATCTGTAAGCATGTGCCGGTTCATTTATTTTCTTTAAGATTGTTAATTTGGGGCTTTGCATATTCATTGAAAAAAAAAATTGGCAGAGAGAACTGTTTTGCTAAATAATCTTGCTTTCTTCAAAAGTAAACATCATGTTGGATATGCCATCGAGTGGTTAACTTCACAGGGTTTTTGAACCATCACTTTCTTATGGCCATCACGGCAGTTCAAAGTCATGTTTGAAATGCTTCTTGTTTCAAGTAAGAAAGCAGCATGTTACGTGTGATATTGACTGTATTTATTCAATACCATTTAAAGCTACAGTCCATCATTTGCAGCTATCCAAAAAAGTAACTGACGTAATCATTGTTGAAACACATGAACTTGATTGAAAGATTGTAAGGGGACTAAACTCCCTGTGAAATTATTCTTTCTGTCAAGCTGTCATCCTGAAGAAGTCAACAAAAGAAGGCCTTTCAGATGCACCGTTGGAAAGTTTCTGCTAGTAGTTGGTTTTTATTTGGCGAAGCGCGTGTAAGCATTGGCACGCCGCACACACGCGCGCAGTTGCTATAATTCCTCAGATCGGTGTGCGTTATGGCGCAGCTCTAATCTCCTCAATGAGAATGTGTCTCTGACGCTGAACTCGGGACCAGTTCAAAACTTGATTCAGCAACTTTTGATTTGAAATCGAGGTCCCAGAATGCTGTTTCTCTTGAAATATACAGCTGAAGCTGTGCTGAAACTTCATCAGGTCAGTTGTTCAGCTTCCTTCTTTCGATTTTGAGCATGTTTGTTGCTTCAAACGAACAAAATGCACAAATTACAAATTGATGGACTGTACCTTTAATGTAAAACATATTCCCTTTAAAACTTATTCTTGATTCCTGATTAAATCCACATCTCAGCATTATTGGTAAAGCATCAAGAATATGAGCTAAAAAGTCTTAAAATAGTCATGGCCAACATGTACATATACAGCACAAAAGTCTGAAATTGGGTTAACAGAGTGTGTAGTGCTAACCCAATCCAACCCAACATGGGTGGATCCAGGGGCCAATTTAAGCACAAAATTTGCTTAAGCCCAAAAACGTCTTGCTTATTAAAATCAGGTTACCGGCCAAAACTCCATGCGATTGTTATGCTATAAAGTAAACAACAGCTAAGTACCAGTCACAAGCAATGTACATTACATAGAGTTTTGGCCGGTAACCTAAGTTTACTAAGCAATGTTTTTTCGTGCTTAAGCAAATTTTCTGCTTAAGCAGCTCTATGAAATTGGGCCACTTTTGATAATATCAAACAAAATCGGCAAAGTTTGTCTCTTTTTTACACTGCTTTCGAAATGAAAATATGTAAATAATTAAGTAAGATGATTGCCCACTTCCGGCTTGCTTGTTTATTAAAAATTCAATTCCGTACATATATTTCTTGTAATTTGTGTGTGTGTGTGTGGGTGCGTTTGTTTCTGTATTCAATAGGGGTTGAACAATTAATAGAGGACAATAGGGTCCCAAATTCCTGAGAGGTCCCGTATTTGGATTCATGCACAAAACATATGGGAGGTCTTCCTAAAAATGTAGTAGTACATTATTGAACAACAGAGGGACAATAGGGGGTCCCCAATTGCAGGCAGATACACACTTTTATGTGTATACAAGGATTACATTCACTGTGTGGACTTCCGAACAAAAGAGGTCCACATAAACCAGGTAGCAGTGACATTGTGCGGACTTGCCCACGTCCACACAAGGTTTTCCCCTCTCTGGAAAACAGGTTATAGAGGCATTTTTGGTAGGTTTATCTGTGGCAAAATGAAGAGAAACACTGAAGGGAATCATAGAAAAAAAAATGGGTTGAAAGAGTTTACACAGTGTGAGTAAAATGAATTTTTTTCAAGGGTTTTTCTTAACTACACGAAAACAAAAGAATGTCCACACTAGGTATGTAACGTGTGTGATGGTGTGCAAAACTGATAAAAACCTTGTTTGGAGTTTTTCTATAAGGATGAACTTCACATTTGTTTTGGTCATGATAATGCAATTTCTTGGTTTTTTTTTTTTTAATTCGCATGTCATTTGATTAACCTCCCAGACTAGTGGCTTAAGTAACAAAGGAGATTGGGGGGGGGGGGGATTATAATAGATTATCGCCCGTTTATACGTGAGACCACTGCACCTTTCTATCCTCCTCTGGGCTTCAATTAACTAAACAGCTATGGAGATGATACAATGAAAATGGTAAATTAAATAGAGCATGCATTTATGCACAAATTGCATATAGCTCTATGATTTCTCATTTCACTAATTTATAACAAATGAATTAATGTGTGCATGCAGAAGTAAATTTGTGGTGAAATATTACCTTTTGGCATGTAATTTGAATCTAATGTCAGGCAATTTACCAGGCTGTCACCAGCTTATATAGTAAGCTTTATATCTGTTACATCAAATCATAATTATTCAAGGTAACATGCAAATGTCTTACCACCACTCCCACCTCCTCCCCTCCCGAGAAAAAGGTGGTAGGTGGAGGACTCCGTAGATAATTCTGGCACATTGATTTTTTTTTCGCTGCAGCATAAACAACTTAGACGGGTACCCTAACAACACAACTACAACGTGTATCTGAAAATTCGATAAGTCAGGGATACAGTCCATCAGCGACAAGAAAAAAAAGAAGATGACTGAGGAGTGATCTGTGCAAAACACAGACGATTTTTGTGGTGTGCATGCTGTAAACCTTTGAAACTCAGTACCTTGTCAATGTCATGATTAATAGAAGAAGCTAAGCCTACATAAATGATTCAGTCTTTCGCATTCAATCTGCATCTCTCTGGTAAGACAATGGAGTTACTACTCTGTATTACTACTCTGTATTTCTTTTTTTTTCCGATCAGCAATATTGTTTTTCCGTGTGTTATGTACAATTTAAAATTTATACGTTCAATTGTTTTTCATTTGTTTTTCATTAAATGTTTGTATTAATCCATGTTAAAGGGGATCTCTACTCGACAAGCTCTGCTTTTTGGGGATCCCCTTCCGCCATCTCCAATTAGAAAATAATGCGTCCAAAGTGTATAAATATATTTTGTAAAACAAGCTCGAACTTTATATTACCCAAAACTACATGTATGTATTTATGCCTTGTCACTTTGAAATGAGATGTGGTAAAAATAATAAAGAATGAATGAATGAAATGAATGAATTAATAAATGGGAAATAACTTTGCACAAGTTGCACTGCAGAACTGCTAGTTTGAAGTTGCATTACGTTCATGAATGATGTTGTGCGCTTTCTTGCAATTCAGTTCACGCAATCTTAAGAATGAGCGCGCATTCTTAAGAATGAGCACGCAATGTGAAGAATGAGCGCTCATTCTTAAGATTGCATGGGAATATGACGTGCGCAATTTATGAATTTTGCGCAATCTTATAACAAACATTGCACGGATATTATTATAAAGGCAGTGTATATTTTGCCGGAGACGGCAAACCTTTAGTAAACGTTAGTTTGCCGGATATGCACTGAACATGCGCAGTTACTGTTTTTTTGTACTTAAACATTTTCCGGTGAAAAGTTTTGGTCTGGCTCCATGCCAAAATTATCGTTGTTACCCTCGTATTCACAAGATGGGATTCAGACCATTTTATAATTTCGGACTTTATTTCCCTTTTAAAAAAATCCTCCAGAGCCACAAATCTGAAAAAGAAAATGTAATACTCTGCAAAAAATGTTTGAGACATGTTAAAATAATAAAAGAAGAATATTCTTATTTATTTGGGGATGAGAAAAAAAACCTTAAAAATGTGGTGCGGTCGGAATCGAACGCGAGTCATCCCGTTTACTAGAGCCTTTGCTTAACCATTACACCAAACGTGCTACACAACTTCTGGTGGGAATTAAATACATCTTAAAATTCAGCCCTATTTTAAAGAGTACAGCGCCCTCTGTTGATATGGATTGCCGCCGGCAAACCTTTAGTAGGCCTAATCGTTAGTTTGCCGTCATTACCTCCGGCAAAATATCCACTATCTATTATAAATATGTTAAATGAAATGTGTAGCAGTTAAAGGGAAATAATTCATATAACGAGAAAGAAAATGATCTGTGCTTCTGTACTCGTGTAACTACAATGATTTGAATCTAATTAAACCTGTTATTATTGCTTTTTTCTGCCCACTATGGGAAGTTTTGTAATAACGGAGGACTGGGAACTAGTCTGGGAAGTGCTTTGTTTAGGCTAGACAAGTTACAAGTCCCTGTATGTATCATATGCATGCTGAGAGAACACATGAGGAACAATCGAACATGTATAAGCTGCCAAAATTGCTCTTTTGAGAATCCAGCTCTGCGGCGTAATGGAGGGGGTGTGAATAATTAATTGGTGGCAATTTAAGTGGCAAATAGCATTAGATTACAATAAAATAAATAAATAAATAAAGCGCTATGGGATGCCACAGTATTCATTCTCATTCTTCACATTCTTCATTCTTTTACCCCCCCCCCCCCCCCCCCCCCCCCCCCCCCCCCCGCTTTTGTTATCCCAAATATCAGAATTCTATCCACTACACTGTTATTATGTCGCTTATTTTTTCCCGGTCCCCCGAAAATATCCAATCTACTTGTCATCGTTAAATCTTTTCCTAGGTACGTGACCTTGAAAAATCAGTGAACGAGGATGCAGTTAGACTTGCCAAGCGCAGTTCCGGTGCTCGGCATCGACAAGACCGTTGTCTTGTCGCGCATTCTTAAGAATGTGCGCTCAATCTGGAAGATTTTTTTTCTTAGAAGATTGTGCAAGGATCCAATTGCGCAATCATAAGAATGTGCATGCGCATTCGTATGATTGCGCAAATCACAAGAAAGCGCACAACAGTGACAAGTCCGAGTAACTTGGACCCATTCGGACATGGTGGCGATAGTAGGGCCCAAGCTAATCCTATATGCCGAGCAACACAATTCTGTCATTGACCCAAAAACCCAACATTGCCCAACAAAAACATCAGATTTCACCCTCAAAATGGCCTACAAATTACTAGATACGCCACCTGAGGTACAAGTAGACATCGATGATTAAGATGGTTGTACTGAAGTTTACTTATGATCCGGATGAACAGTGAAATTTCCCGTTCAATTCCGAGAGCTCCCCTCACGATCCTGAACACGTTAAATTTCCCGACTGTGTTAATGTTTGAACGACGCGATGTGGTCTTCATGCCCAGCGTACATTCGATTGTCCCCGTATCCCGAGTGCGATTCCGTTACCAAGCGTGATGCATTGATTATGATAATGAGTAGATTGGATCACGTTTGTAAACACAAAGTACATTTCATACAATAATAGGGAGTCGGGAACTACCTGGGCAGCTTTTATGGGCAGAAACCAGTTCAAGCTAGTTCCCTACTCCCATTTACCGTTCGAAATGCACTTGTGTTTATGAACGAGATCCAGTCTACTCATTATCATAATCAATGCATCGCGCTCGGTAACGGAATCGCACTCGGGATACGGGGACCATCGAATGTACGCTGGGCATGAAGACCACATCGCATCGTTCAAACATTAACACGAGTCGGAAATTTAACGTGTTCACGATCGCGAGGAAAGCTCTCGGAATTGAAGAGGAAATTTCACTTTTCATCTGGATCGTAAGCAAACTTCATTACAACCATCTTAATCATCAATGTCTACATTGTGTACTTGTACCTCAAGTGGTGTATCTAGTAATTTGGAGGCCGTTTTTAGGGTAAAATGTGATGTTTTTGTTGGGCAATGTTGGGTTTTTGGGTCAAGGACAAAATTGTGTTGCTCGGCATATAACGATTAGCTTGGACCCTACTATCGCCAGACCATGTCCGAATGTTAAAAAGGCGATAAGTTGGGTCCAAGTTACTCGGACTAGTTCGTGACATATGCCTCTGCATTGCCTGTGCACCTAAAATTTGGGAGGGCGATAGTGTAGGGCGATCGTGTAGTGTAGCGCCTGGTTCCTAAGGCAACAAAATTCACACTCATATTATCATGATTATTGGACCTACCAAACTAGTTGGCGACATTCTCAATAAACAGGTACATGTATATCATGGATAGAGGGCAGGGTTTTGATTTTTTGAGAGAAATTTGGGGGTAAAATGACGATGACAGCGCGGCGACAACATGCTACCCGAAAATAAAGATGGCGATCACCGCGCGATGTACCGTGAGCACGCAGGGCGTGCTGAATCGCAAGGCACAAACTGCGCCAGAAAATCCTGATTTCTACCCCAAGAATCTGTTCGAAATTGCAAAACGGGTGTCATTAGAATTGAGAAAAGTCTGCTTTTGATTGTAAAAGTGATTTTTGAGCAATAAAAAACATTTTTGACTCTAATTTGATCAAAACAAAACAGGGGCCCTACACTTCACGATCGCCTAATGGAGTGTAGGGCCTTTTTTTGTTTCTGATCAAATTAGAGTCAAAAATGTTTTTTATTGCTCAAACATCACCTTTACAATCAAAAGCAGATATTTCTCAATTCTAATGACACCCGCTTTGCAATTTTGAACAGTTTCTTGGGGTAGAAATCACGATTTTCCTGTGCTGGAAAATTAGGCTGGAAAATTTGCCTTTTGAAAATGTCGAAATTTTTGGCAAAAAAAAGGCTGGCGCGAAGTGGTTAATATCATTAACTTAAAGAAAGCTGGCGCTGGCCAAATACCCACTGCCTTGATTGAGTGGCCCAGAAAACTAATTAACAATCACTTATGAGGAGTTCAAGATCATTCATTGTTGCTGTCAAGCTCCGAAATGTAATTGAGAATTTCGATTGACTTTAACTAAACTATACAGAGAGCATACACATGTACATGTACATGTAGGCCTATCAACCAGAACATTTAACGGAGCATGAAAAATGACGTGTGCATTATACATGTAGGCCTAATTATTTAATTATTTTACAATCTTTTTTGCCGAGATTCCGATCTCTGCACCAAGTTGGTGGTTGGAATAAATACGCTTTAGACTTTATTTCTGTAGGAATAGCACAAAACCGTATATTTTGAAGTATCCAAAACCATGCAACAGGCATTATACCTTCATTTGTATATTTTTCCATTGGTAAAATATGCAGTGTGGGTCATGCGATGCAGTGGGATCATGCAATGCGTCGCAAACGGCCACGCTCATGACGCTGCGTGGTCGCGTGTAGACCTTTATAATTAATGAATTAATTGATGTATCACAGGTATCACAGGTGTATTAGAATGAGCTATAGCTGCATCAACAGTCGGAGAACGCCTACGGGTGTCACAAAAAGATTCTGTATCTTGATTGGCCGAGAGCGAGTCACATGGCATTCACTAGTGTTAAACCATTGCTATGACGTCACACTGTTGTTAAAAGTGTGGATTCGGATACATCTACGAATCTCTTACACTGCTCACAAAGTGTGTATTCGGAACTACGAATCTTTAGTAAAGTGTGGATTCGGAATTACTAATCCACACTTTGAACACGTCGGACAATTGTTCTCCTTAATGAGCATGAATAGGACCGTCTGCGTGAAAATTAGCTTTCCGAAAATTACCAATGCATCTTCACTGTCAGATTTTCCGCCGTCACTGCAAAATCTACTTTTAGTCAGAAAGAAATCGTCGTCTGAACTATCCATTTTGACGTAAGGAGCCTGTACCCCGGTACACACAAAATGACTTGTACGGGTGTGTCGATACACATGCTAAACACGCTAGGAAACAATGTTGCAACCTGATGCCACTTCCGCGCTTGTGTACAAAGTCTATGGAGAGTCATTTCAAGTATTTCCTAACAAATTTGGAAACATTTCTCAGTCCCAGATTCATGTCTTATCATCATTTTTGCAACGAATGATCTTCATTGAGATGATATGAAAAAAAAAGTGGCGTCAGGTTGCAACATTCTTTCCAATACTTCTGTTGAAGCAATGGTTTAAGTCGAAGAATAGGCCTACATGAGAAAGTGTGGATTCTTAATTTACGAGTTCACTCGGCGCTTCGGGCCTCATGAATTCTTAAATTACGAATCCACACTTTCTCGTGTATTCTCCTTAACCTATCTTGCTGTGCACGGCCAACATTACTATACCCGTAGCAACCAAAGTACTGTACCCATAGCAACCAAAGTACTATACGCATTGTGTGCAAATGCATACGGTGTGTGCGTTGCGCGTATTGTTCCCAAGCGCTAGCGCTACAGAGCTACATGTACATGTAGGTTCAAACATTTCGTGAAGGGGTACATGTAGTTTGGAAAAGTGCAAGTTAATTTTCAACTAATTTCGTATTCAAATAGAAGTAAATTTTAATAGTATTCAGAATAAATTAATCACTTATCGCTTAAAAACAAGCAGAATCTAGGAGAGAGGTGTTATAAAACAAATATTGACTGCTTTATCTCGTGGTGTAGTAAAACTAGCCTCCCTCGGTGATCCATGGAGCATTCTATTTTCCCTTGGCTTTGCCTCGGCAAAAATAGAATACTTCATGGATCACCTCGGGAGGCTAGTTTTACTACACCATAAACAAACGTGCTAGTACCCTATGACCATACCGTATTTAGTATTGAGTTGGTAGCTACAGTGTACTACCGGACATCCACAATAATTTGGTCTTTGAATATTTTTTTTTTTAATGAGGGAGGGAGGTTTCCTTTCTTTTGCTGGACAATTTTTTGGGTTTATTTTCATCTTGTTTTATATCATCGTGGTACTTTGATGTTAATTGTGGGGATAATCCTAACTCTTTTTTTTCTTTAACGGGGACATTAATTTTTTTAGCAGTTATACCTCTGCCATTTTTAATATATGTGTTTATTGTTAATACATTTTTTGTAGATATTTATACCGGTAGATTAAGATATTTGTTAGTGTAGCCAGAGGTTTTGGAATTGAAGGCCTTTGGGCCGCAGTTTTTACAATGTTTAAGGTACATTTTTTTAATTCCGGGCATATGCCTCTGGCTTTCGTGTTTGTTTTCTTGTTTTTTATGCCCCGCGGCGAAGCCGAAGGGGCATACTGTTTCCGCCTTGTCCTTCCGTGGGTGGGTGGGTGGGTGGGTGGGTGTGTGGGTGTGTGTGTGTGTGAGCTTGTCTTACATACGCAGTGTGGACTTCCGAACAAAAGACGTCCACATAATGTAGGTAGCACCGACGTTGTGTGGACTTGCCCACGTCCACACAGTGTTTCCCCATTTCTGGAAAACAGGTTTAGAGGCATTTTTGGGTTAGGTTTATCTGTAGCAGAATGAAGAGAAACACTAAAGGGAATCATAGAAAAAAAAATTGGGTTGAAAGAGTTTTCACAGTTTGAGAAAAATGAGTTTTTTCACTGGTTTTTCTTAACTACACGAAAGCAATGGAAAGTCCACACTAGTCATGTGAAACAAGTATGGGTGTGTGGGTGTGTGTGTCCGGACAAATCTTGTCAGCGCGATAACTTGAGAAATACTTAACATATGAACTTCAAATTTGGTTTGTGGATTGTCCTTGGTAATCCTAAGAAGCCTTTTGCATTTGGGGCCGAAAGGTCAAGGGTCAAGGTCACAGTGGCTGAAACAATAGAAATTTTGTCAGCACGATAACTTGAGAAATACTTAACATATGAACTTCAAATTTGGTTTGTGGATTGTCCTTGGTAATCCTAAGAAGCCTTTTGCATTTGGGGCCGAAAGGTCAAGGGTCAAGGTCACAGTGGCTGAAACAATAGAAATTTTGTCAGCACGATAACTTGAGAAATACTTTACATATGATCTTCAAATTTGGTTTGTGGATTGTCCTTGGCAATTCTAAGAAGCCTTTTGCATTTGGGGCCAAAAGGTCAAGGGTCAAGGTCACAGTGGCTGAAACAATAGAAATTTTGTCAGCGCGATAACTTGAGATATACTTTACATATGAACTTCAAATTTGGTTTGTGGATTGTCCTTGGCAATCCTAAGAAGCCTTTTGCATTTGGGGCCAAAAGGTCAAGGGTCAAGGTCACAGTGGCAAAAACAAAAGAAATTTTGTCAGCGTGATAACTTGAGATATACTTTACATATGAACTTCAAATTTGGTTTGTGGATTGTCCTTGGCAATCCTAAGGAGCCTATCGCATTGGGGGTCGAAAGGTCAAGGGTCAAGGTCACAGTGGCTAAAACAATAGAAATCTTGTATTTATTCTGAGATCATAGGGATTAGGGATTAATTCATATACGTAAAACCTACAGAAGACACTAATGCTGTCAATGAACGTTCCATTTGACCAAGGTACATGTAAGTTGATGTTAGAGTGGTGTTATGTCATGGAAACAGTCACGGTTGCGGGGCATTTGTGTTTGTAAACACACCTGACTTGTTTAATAAATATTTTGTGAATGTTTGTTGTTTGTAGTGGTTTTTAATGCCGAATAAATAATAATAATTGATAATAATAAAGTTTGATGTTTTTTTTTGACATCTTGTGAAGAGGACTTAAAAATGTACAGTCAAGTGCTGCATACATGTATGTAGGCCTAAATACCCGGCACTGATGAAAAAGTCTTTAGAAAATACCTAGACTGACCATATAATTAATAATACAACACCTGAATAAATCCCCGTCATCTGATTGGTGGATCGTTGATCACATGTCATTGAATTATTCGTACCAACGCACGGCGTGCGCGTGGCGCACAGCGCACAGTGCAATGGAAGTTCTATTGCACGGTGAATAGAACTTCCATTCCACGGTGTCACTGCTGCTGGTGGTGGCGGCGCTGTTTTAAATCGAGATACATGTAAATTGAATGTGATTGTTCTTAACCTGTTGAACAGTTTGCATTGATATAAATATGATGAATGTGTCGAACTTTTAAACAGTTTTTAACCTAAATAAATTGGCTATTAAAAGTCAACCAATCAGATGACAAGGATTTTTTCAGGTGTTATATAAAACAAATAATGAATGTTTCACGTTCGTGCAATGGAAATAATAATTTCGTTCGGTGACAGATGAAATGTTCCATTCCACTCGGCTTCGCCTCGTGGAATGGAACATTTCATCTGTCACCTCATGAAATTATTCTTACCATTGCACTCACAAACATTCATTATTTGTATACCATCATACTGTACTAACAGGGTCAGTATAGCATGCGATGCATGGTGGCATAGGAATGGCAGCCAAGTTGCAACTCTGCTATCATGTAATGATGGGTTTCTCATGTGACGTGTGGTTGCTAGGCAAAATTTGTGTACAGTCAATATAATCCCCGTGTTGCTATGGGCAATGGGTGTCTAATTAAAAATGAGTGTTTTGCCAACGGTTGATGTTTCTGCACTCAAGTAATTTGAAAAAAAAAAAATAATTACACGGTTTGTAGTTTCTGGTGCATGTTATTGATCTAGTTTCCACTGGATCAGAAGTGTAGGCCTATGTATTTTAATAACAGCCACAAGTGCATTGTAACCAGTCAACTGGTCTACAAACTTGTATTTAATTTCTTTCTAAAATGGATATTTCTGTACTTGACATGCTTGAGGACATAAATTTGCTATTTAAAAAAAAAGAAATTGGGGGGGGGGGGGGATTGCATGATACTTTTTATTTTCTTGGGGATGCCCTAGGACATGTAAGATACAGACTTTGCAGTTGCATACATTGTAAACGTAAACGTGTACCGTTGAAGTGCATTTGTACACTTTCCAATTTGCTTTTTTTTTCTTTCATTTTCGTCATCACAGAGAAACTAGCCACACGCACGGGTAACCGAGCAACTGAATAATCAGGATGACCTCCAGCGGAATGACTCGGGCCGCTGATGACAGCCTGCATCCAGGTGCAGAAACTCCCAGGATCACACGCGTATGAGCAGCGGGGAAGCAACACCATGGGGACCGGTGCATCCAAAGATACTGCCGCAACGCTGATGCCAAGCCACCACCACAAGATTAAGAAAAACAGTAGCAGCACTTGGACTTCTAAGTCACAGCCTCCCAAGAAAGGTACAAAAACCTGGTGGTTTTAGTTTTTTTTTTTTAGCTTTTTGTTTTACTTATATATTCTTCTTATTTTTTTCAACTTTTGGCTATGTAGTTTCTTCTGTTGTTGCATGAAAGGCAAACCTCGTTTAACACAAACTGCGTGTTATTTTATGACACATTGCTTTTTTGTTTCTTTTATTTATTTGTTGCTTGTTTTTTATCCATTTTCTCTACTCAAAATAATTACTGAAACACAGCAATAGCATTGCAACAAACTTTTAAAGGGGAAGTTGTATGCGAATATAGTTGGTCACATGATAAATTGTGCCTAGAATTTTTTTATGTATGCATGGTGTGGCACTTCAGATTTTGGTGTTAACAACACTTTATGGGATTTTGTTCTTTTAGTTTTAATGGAAGTAAAATTATATTTCCATTGGATTTGAATCAGCTCTTGTTAAATGTTGACTGCTTTACCTGAAACACCTGGTCCAGTAAAACTAGCCTTCTTAGTGATCTGTAATTCAGCATTCTATTTTCCCCTTTCCCTTGAAATAGTAAATAGGTATACAAATAGCATATTAATCTCCATTTATAAAGAAAATTATGCACCCTATTTACTTTTGTAAGATGGCCTCTATTAAAATGCCATGTTTCATTTTAAATGAAGTAAATCATGAATAATAATAATAATACAAATTAAAATACTGATGTTTAAAACTCATCAATTGATCACCATGGAATGCTATGGTCTGTTTATTGTGCATGTACAGCCTGTCTAAAAAAAAATGGTACAATCGAAAACGATTTTTTTTTTTTCAATATTAAATCTCAACATAAGTAAGTCGTTTTGAGCATCACATTAAAGAAAAAAGACCAGGCTTTCCAATACTTTTTGTTTCATCTCATTTGCTTTTGTCAATCCAGAGATAACTCCAGTTTACTGCGGAACACAAAAAACGAGTTTGTGCCACTTTCTGGGTGTGAGCTTCAAGACAGCATGGCACAGTACTCGAAACAACTCTGCCCATGCATAAAAGTGGCACAAAATAGATTTTGGTGTATCGCACTAAATTGATTATATCTCTGAATTGACAAAAGCAAATAAGATCAAACAAACATTATTGGAAAGCCCAGTCTTTGTTCTTTAATATTAAGCCAAGTAAGAATGACTTATTTTGAAATTTCATATTTAACCAATTTTTTTTCTGATTGTACTGTTTTTTTTTTGGAGACAGGCTGTACACTCACGATATTGTCAATATTTGTGTACTGTACATGTAGACAAGTGGATACAATGTACGTACTGCACATGTACATAGACAGATAGACTGTGCTCAAGACCCAAAATCCATTTCTTTGACAATCGGTGTGACAATCATCACCTCTGTCGCAAACATAGGTGTTGTTCCCAACCAGCCAAATCAGCCAAAACTTTCACATATCCTGCACCACACTCGGCAATCCAATTCATTAACCCCTAGGGGTGTGCAAGATTCTGGACTATTAATGGACCCCTTGTTTGTTCTAATTGCTTCCTTTTCGTCCTCAGGAAATACAGGCACCACAGACATCGTTCGTATAGGTCTGACCAAACTTGGCTTCTCCCCAGCAGAAGTCACTGTTAGTGAAGGACAGGTACTTTGTTTGTCATTCATTTCATTATAACAAGTATGGAATGAAGAAGGAATTTTATCCTTGCATATTTTAATAAATTGCTAAATTCTTCTTTCTACGTGTACTCGTACTTCAAGTACCAATGTTTATTAAATATGAAGATTAGTACATGTTCTTTTGGAAAAATTCTTTAAAATATTAGGCCGCTCTAATTTTTGTACAAGTTTGTATATTCCAGGTTAATCTAGGGACGAAGGACAAAGGGATACTTTGTCCTTCCTTTGAGGTTTACATAATATATATTTTTTTTGGGGGGAACCAGGTTTTTTGAGAGATCCTTTGTTTTTTCCTCTTTATAAAAAGAAAAAAAATAGAATTGTAGAAACCGTCAACAATTTTTCCATCAAAAAAAAATGCTGCAAACTGCTCACTGACTAGATTAACCTGGAATATATATACAAACAAAAAAATTAGATCGGCTCAAAATTTTAAGAATTTTTCCAAAAGAATATTTCCAAGAAATTTACCGAGCATGTTTCCAAAAAGATTTGCAAAAACAATAGATTTTATTCATAAAGCCGTACAACATATATAAACTCATTACTGGGGGGGGGGGGGGAATTAAGATAAATGTTGTCAATATATACATTGTAGCCTCATAAACCTCACATCTAATGTACATGTCTGATAAAATATATTAAATGTATGTTTACATGTAGGCCTATACCACGATATACATTGATACATTGTAATACAATGCATACGATAGCTACAGTAAACGAAAACAGCAAATCGAATTTTAGACTTTCTCTTTTAGTGTGCATTGTACATACATGTACAGTAGCTCATTGTCGTGGTGGACTTTGATTTAGACATGTCCGGGCAATTAGTCCTAGCAACTGATTTGACACTGACGGCTATCAGTTTGTTACCAACCCAAGTGATTAATATAAGGGCCTTCATGGGGGCTGGGCGACGTTGCCATGGAAACAGCAGGCATGCTTAAAATTGTTTTGTGTGCACAGCTTTCAGGATGATCATTAACGGCTGATTACGTTTAGCACATGAGCTGCACGTGAAAACCGAATGTAATAGGCAGGATATATGTACTGTAGCCGGGATTAATTAATTTTTTTCCAGAATTACTGGCACATGTACTGTATGTATACAATTGGTTCCATTCAGCATTTTACATGCAGCATTTGAATTTATCATAATTATGGTACACATTTCGTCTGGATTCCGCCAAAATTAAGTGGTTTTTATTGTTAACTACCAATATTTTGAAGGTTACATATGTACATGTACATGTACGTGAAAAGGGAATCTTGTCTATTCACAAATAAAATATTGAATTAAAACCCCAAAGTTCTGTTTTAATCTGATTTGGCAGCTTTTTCCTTTTTTTTTTTTACCTTGTCGTAGATGTGGATCCAATGAATAAAGCCATTAATTATAGGAGCAAAACCCGTCAATGTCAGGCTGGCGTCACTTACAATACATGCCCAGCAAGTTGAGCGACAAGTGCATTGGCGATGGAGATTTCTGAAAAGAAAACATGTGGCTTGGGCTAGGCCATCAACATGACAAAAGACTCTTATCAAGTGCAAAATTGTGTACCCGGCAATTCCATTGCAAGAAAACTAATACCTTCGCAAATGTTCTTGGTATTGTTGTTTGCACGTTTGCAATATACAAATGTACGTTAATTCTACTTTTAAGTGATCTTTCTGGAAAAGGCGCATTCCATAAGAAAGGTTCCCTTCCTAACTATTGTACACATACATTGTAAACACCATGAAGACTGTTGCACATTATCACTTTGTTGCGCTATGATATTTTCAGCTCGAAAGCCTTAGAAAATAATGTACATTATACATACATTGTACATTGTCTACATGTAAATCTACGCAGGTACTCAGCAAAGTCCACTTCTGGATGTGAACGCTGAGGTGAAGCTTAAGGTGCATTTGAAGCACATTGTATTTATAGCCTCATTGTACAGGGTGAGTCAAGAAAAGCGGAATCCAAACCCCAAAAATTATATTTCATATTAAAAAAAATATGTAGCACCAAATATAATAATGACTAGAAAGCCAATTTTATAAGCTACTTTTAGATGAAAGAAACACAGTGACCCTAAAACTTGTTTCGTCCAAAAATGCGATTTCACGAATCGTCGTCACAATTGTCTTCAAACATCACCAGCGATAAAAATTCAGTTTAAAAGTCCTTTTGAAGGCCCGTCTTTATAAAAAAAAGTGGATTTTATAAATCATATTGTTTGCCTAACCAGGGTTGTTAATAAAGATATTGTGTACTACAGTTGTTGACAGTTTTGAAACAAACATTCTGTGTCATTTTCTTTGTTGTTCCAAACAGTCAGAATACACAATAAACTGCTTTTTTGGACAAAACAGGTTTTGGGGTCATTGCATTTAAATGGTGATACTCTTTGAATGGATTGAGCAATTTCAGTAATTTTTTTCTTCTAAAAGTAGCTTATGATATTGGCTTTCCAGTCATTATTATGTTTGGTGCTACACATTTTTTAAATATGAAATATGTTATTGGGGGTTTGGGTTCCGCTTTTTTTGACTCACCCTGTACATGTATACATGTTCATCAAATGTCTTTGTGACATATCGTACAATGTACGTGTATGCCAACTAAGTCAGGCGGGCATCATGTTTACCCAAAAAACAATCCCTGCCTAGTGTCGCCCCTCCCAGCTACCGGGATATATCTAAACATTACAGATTGAAGAGCCTTAGACACTGGATAAACAGCTGTAAAACATTGAGTATTTACTTTGAGGTTGGCTGAAAACTGGCTTTTCACAATTACCATTTATAATGAAAATCAAATGTCAAATGTCTCAATTACAACCTTTGCAGATGTGCTGGGATCCGTCAGGTATAGTGGTTTTTATCCCTGCTCTTATTATCAAATTTTCATTGCTAATGACTATAACATGGTCCTCCTTTTTTCTTTAACTAACAAAACCGGCTTTAATATTTCTGACAAATTAAGTATTTGGTGGAAGTTGATTAAAAATTTGAAAGATGCTACAAGGAAATTGTTCTCAAAGATCCATCTGAATAAAATGCAACCGAATTTCATTAACAATACATGAGCTTTTAATCAGAAAGATTAAAAAATATAAAAAACCAGAACAATTAATACTAATGCATACATGTACTTCTTGTATTGACAAGAAATAACATTCTGGATTCTGATTAATGAACTGGTGGAAATTGGTTGATTGGTCTGAATGATAACATAAAAGAATGAATTGAAATTTAATGAAATTATATATATTTGGCAGTCAACAGTGGTTTGTCATCATATTGTATTAATCATATTGCTTTCGTATTCTTGTTTTTTGTTCAGAGCATCTCAATACATTGGAGTGCAGCCTTGGGCAGCAATGGGCATAATATACGGCAGGTAAGCTTTTGCTGCATACTGATTGCTCTTGTGTCATACACGTATCACAGTCTTGCAATTTACTATTCCTGGTCATGTGTCGCCTTGCAGAGAGCTTCTGGTGTCTGACCTTTGTGAGGATTTGAAAGTCTTCAGGCAGACAGATTGGAGATTTTGTTACTTTGCCTCTGGCAGTCGACTCGGTCATGATGGCTAGACTTTATTTTCAATTTTCAGATGCACGTATCTTCATTGAAGAATTCAAACAAAATTTTGTATTCCTCAGCCAGATACAGTTTATCAATTTTCTAAGCCAAAGAAGCACATTTTTGGCTGGCATTTGTTGTTTTGTTTTTGTTTAGGCTAATTCTTGTTTCCTTTCCTTTAGGCTTTGTCATCATTTTCAACTTTCAGTGGGAAGATAGTTGAACAAATTTTGGACTGTTTAAAATGATTGTCAGTCGCCCCATACAGTCGGGCAATTTCAATGTTTGGTTTCGTTACATTTTCAACAATGTACATGTAGCATCAAACCTTATATCATCTAAATTTGTGCGGACATCAATGCTCCATTTGATACCATCAATACATATTACCAGGACTACATTAATTATAACATACATGTACATGTACATGTACAAAATGTACATTGTACATCACGTAGCCTTAAGCAAAATCATTACAATTTTTGTGAGTTGTAATGGAACGTGTAAAAAAACAGGCATGGATAAAAACACGTCTCTGCATAAAAAGTTTCCTCAAATAGGATAGCTGAAACAAATTATATTATAAAAATTTGCCAAAATATCTTATGTTACGGTTAGTTGTGTTACAGTTTGTCCGCCCATCTTTGGTACATTTTGTACAAGTTAAAGGGAAGATGCAACATTTGCAAACATCAAAAATGAAATGATCTAATTATCATGAAATAACTTGCTTAATGGTTAATAGGGTACAGTCTAAAGTATCCTGTAAAATCATGGCCCCTGGTATGCTGACATTTTTAAGAAAATTTGTATTTTTCCAATGCTGGTCGGCCGACCAGAGTTGGAAAATACTGGCTTTTTTTTTTACAAAACTTCTCCTAATTTTTTATATTTTAGTTATTCTGCATTTTCTTTGCAATTGATTACACACCTGTGAAGGGGTACGAGCCTGCTAGACTGATTCTCTGACCTTACAATTCCCCAAAGTCTACAAATTGCTCTGTTTCATCTTAAGTGGGGTCAGGGAACCAGAATACTAGAACATGGTTGGTTTTCTTATTTTTTTTCCAGCATCTACAAGCCCAAAAGGTGAAACGAGTCAGTTTAACAATATTTGCTATAACAGACATGTACCGTACTAATTCTCCAAATCCATTTATTTCTGAAAATTGCAGCACAAGTAAATACTGTACCGGTACATTCCCTTTAAAACATATAAGAAACTAAACAATCATACCAAAAAGCTCTTTTTGCATTGAACATGTTGAATATGAACATTTTCCCTCTGCCTTACAAAACAAAATTTCAAATAAAACTCGCGTTTTGCGTGTTAAAACAAGGTGCCAAATGACTACCAAAAATCCATAATTTTAGCAAAATAAACCATGATTTTGACCAAACACACCCAAAACACTTGTAAATTCCATCTCACTGGTACAGGTACATGTACACCACTTTAATGAAAGTTCTTGTCCCCATTAATTTGATACCCTTTTTGAGGTTATGGTGCTCCTACATGTACATGTAGTTCTTTTCAGCCCTGCACTTCTCAGTGGAATTGCCTAGTATACCGTACATTGTATTATTGGCACCTGTGCAGGTGCAAGACAGGTTTTGCCCTTAGGAAACAGACACACTTTTTCCATGTACATGTACTCCAGAAAAACAAAAACAAAACAAAAAACTCCTTATCTATAATTCATACTTCTTTCCTTGGATTATCACCAGGCAGCAACTATATGAAGTTTCTAGTGAATTTGTATGTATATTTTATAAGATGCATACACTTCAAGCTACATGTAGGTCATTGGAAATTTATTTAATAATTAATGACACTAAGTGCATGGCAACAAAAAAACTTCTTTTTTGAACTTGATGCATGCATAAAGACCTAGAAATCATAAACACTGATGGTCCATGTCAATTCAATAATAATCCCTTAAAGCCTTACAACCAAATTTTAACATGGGTGAACGTATGTAGTCATGATAGTGCAGAATATGTTTTGATTTTAAAATTTGCACTCACATGTACCGGGACATCATGCAAAAGACAGCAAGATTTGCATGATTTGCTCTAATTTTTTTTTTTGCATATCCACATTTCCATTTGACCATATATTAATGTATTCCTACACTTGATGGCAATTATATATTCAGCATTAAATACATGTTTGTTCATGCTAAATATTTCTCATTCATCAACATGATCATACAGTTACATGTGTATACATCATGTATACATGCACATGTGTACATGTACATGTACTTGAACCAGTTGGTAATATAAAACCCAATTATGAATAGCATTGATCGTGGCCTAGCTTTGCACAAGAAATCACTATATGATTCCCTGGAGTATTCAGGTTAATTTGATGTGGGCTTGATGCAAAAACTACGCATACATTGTACCCGGTACAGCTACGGTAGATCGATACCGGTACTTAACATGCCTATTTGGAAATGGCAATGGGAGTGTTCTGTAATTGAATTCGAGGTCCATTAATCTCTGTTGACTTCCTTGAAGTTGGAGGATTTGGATGGTTGCAATGTTGACACATGGACATCATGCATGAGTACCGGTACAATCACATCAGTGAATTATAACATCTCTTGCAGTTAACCCAAAAAAATCCACATGTAGAACGTCTAAATTAATATTTGTTTTATATTCATGACAGTATGCCATGTACAAACAATATTGGTCACAAATTTCTGGTACGTGTACGTTGAAATGTTGTTATTACCGGTACGTGCAACCAATTTTCTGTGGTTTGCGCATCAGACACATGCACATACAGGCCTATCATCTGGGTTAATTTAAAATGCTGACATTTGCTCAGCAAATACAGCCAACATGTACATTGCAGGTTGTTAATTCTCAGCTGATTTGGCATAGCACACCGGTATGGCATAAAAGACACTTGCGTGAGAGTTAAATGCTAACTTTGTTTTTTACTTTTGTGTGAGTATTTTGCACAGAGTCCTTTCAGAACTTTCAGTAATTCTGCAGGGTTTGTTGTATTTGTGATACCATTACCCCAGGTACCGTATTACCCCAGGTGGTACCGTAGGTATTTGTTATATACATGTACATACCATTACCCCAGATTAAATTTGTTACACCATTACCCCAGGTTGTATTTGTTATACCATTATCCCAGGTTGTATTTGTTATACCATTACCCCAGGTTGTATTTGTTATACCATTACCTCAGGTTGTATTTGTTATACCGGGTACCATTACCTCAGGTTGTATTTGTTATACCATTACCTCAGGTTGTATTTGTTATACCATTACCTCAGGTTGTATTTGTTATACCATTATCCCAGGTTGTATTTGTTATACCATTACCCCAGGTTGTATTTGTTATCATTACCTCAGGTTGTACATGTATTTGTTATACCGGGTACCATAACCTCAGGTTGTATTTGTTATACCGTTACCCCAGGTTGTATTTGTTATACCATTACCCCAGGTTGTATTTGTTATACCATTACCCCAGGTTGTATTTGTTATACCATTACCTCAGGTTGTATTTGTTATACCATTACCCCAGGTTGTATTTGTTATACCATTACCTCAGGTTGTATTTGTTATACCATTACCTCAGGTTGTATTTGTTATACCATTACCCCAGGTTGTATTTGTTATACCATTACCTCAGGTTGTATTTGTTATACCATTACCTAAGGTTGTATTTGTTATACCATTACCCCAGGTTGTATTTGTTATACCATTACCCCAGGTTGTATTTGTTATATACTATTACCTCAGGTTGTATTTGTTATACATGTACCATTCTCCAGGTTATATTTGTTATACCATTATCCCAGGTTAAATTTGTTATACCATTATCCCAGGTTGTATTAGTTATACCATTACCCCAGGTTGTCATGGTTGTATTTGTTATACCATTATCCCAGGTTATATTTGTTATACCTTTACCATGTTTACCCCAGGTTGTATTTGTTATACCATTACCTCAGGTTGTATTTGTTATACCGTTCCCCCAGGTTGTATTTGTTATACCGTTACCTCAGGCTGTATTTGTTATACTTTTCCCCCAGGTTGTATTCGACGGCCAGGCTGTGCATTCTGTGCAAGGAGGTTACAACAGCGGTCCCCTGACCCAGGATGGTAACTTTGACATTCAGTTCAATCTGCAAGGAGAATTCAAATTTGTCAGGTTGGTGAATTCGGGATATTTGTTTTGCATTCAATTCTTTGCCATTGAAGGCAGTGACAAACCACCCTGTAACACCTGGTTATTCCGTACATGTAGCCTTCTAGAGTTGTGCACGTTGTGTTGTAGTCAAGTACATTTCTATCACCACGAGTACGAGTACAAGTACATGTACAGACCGATTATGAGTCCGAGGTACTTTCTCATGAGTATGAGCACGAGTATGAGTACAAGGTAATTTTTTCCAAGAGTACGAGTACCAACAAATGTGCTCGTACATATGTAGTGGGAGCAAATTTCAATGTGTCACATGTTTTCAAAGGCTTTTTGCTGGGAAACTAGGCATTAAACAATTGCATAAACCTCCCAAACAGTAGAAAACTGGTTCTTGCATGTAGCTCTTAAATGAAAAAATAAAAGTCTTGTGGGAGATTATTTGCAAGTGTACGAGTACTTTGTCATCAGTATGAGTAAAAGTACAGTTTTGATAGCTGCATTTGGTCATCAAATAGTCATGAAATTGTATTGTCCTAAAGGTGCGGGAACCCTAATTGACTCGGGAGTTCTTTCAAACAACTGTGACTTGCAATCTTTCAACATACATGTACATAGCGCCTACCTGATAATAATGTAACAGAGAGATGTCCACGGTATTTGCTTTTGCAGTGAAGGCTATGAGGCAAACAGTGGCAAGGTTCTCCATGTGACGGTGAGATCAAGACACTATGTGATGGCAGAGGTAAGATTTGCTTAACCCTGCGTGGAGTGACCTGCGTACCCCGGGTACGCAGGTGACCAAATTTTTTGGAAAAATAAAAAAAATTGAGGGCCAATGACGTTCACCTTCCATCTAATCCTCATTCAACCCATGCCAAATCAGCTGGTTCAATGAACTTTGCAGCCAGGGTTTCACCCGAGCGGTGTCAACAACCTTGGGACCAGGCCTCCCGCCAAGTCTCATTGAAACATATACAAACACCTGTAACTTGACACAGCCATCTCCCTTCATAGCCGCAAACCGCAGCCACCAGTCAATTATCTTTTAAGTGCCCTGTCTGGCAACTGCCTGGACACTGTCTGGCACGTGACTTTTTGTTGTTTTTGACATGGATAGGGTCTTGCGTAGTGGGGGAAGTACCTGCATCCCAAAGGTACGCAGTTGGCGACTTCGGATAAAAATTTCCTGTAAACGCTGCGCAATGTTAAGACAATGTAAGACTCTGAGGCTATAATGTGAAGGAGTGTGTATGTAGATCGTGCTCTGGTCTATTCACAAAACAGCCAATTTGTAGGTGAATGAACACAATTTTTTTTATTCCAACAAAGAAAGTGACTGTAACTGGTCATACATTTAGGGCTGGATAGCATCAATTGGTAGAGCGCTGGATCGGTAATTGGGATGTCGGAGGTTCCAACCCTGCTCCAGTCCATTTCTTTTTTCAACTTTTAACATTTACAAAAAAAAATTATTATACATGTAATGCACCTAGCCAGTTTCCCATTGTGGTTCCTTTGAAAATGTAAAAAATTGTTTTTGTTTGATACATGTACATGTACATATAAAAGAAATGCACTTGCGCATTAGCAAAAAGTGGAAATGGAAAAATACTTCAGTGGGAACTGTTAGATCAGTTTGGAACTAAAAATCTGCCTCGGTCAACATAACTCCCTACTTCAACATGTTCAACTCCAGGAATTGCAGTAGGCTGACAACAGGCATGCAACTTTTCCTTCGATCAGCTGATTTCCTCTTATTTTACTTCCGATGTGTGCCATTAAAAATAGAAAAACACTGTACAAAGTCTCGGAAAGATTTGAATTTCCTCATTTTTTGTGACTTCCCAGTTGCATGCCTGTTACATCAACATCTCTGTGACAAATTGCATGTGCATGGCATGTTTGTGACATACCGGTACCTTAACATTATAATTGGCATTCAACCCATGCCTGAACACAAAATATGTGTACTTATAATTGCTCACCATGCTGCCCACTAAATTTGACGTAACTAACAATTAAGGCACAGCGATTATGATCCCATGAAAATTTCTTAAATATTGGCAGTGTGCTTGATGCAGTTGGTACAAACATTCTTCTGAATTAAAGGGAATGTACAACATTTGCTTTTGCTGCAATTTTCAGAAATAAATGAATTTGGAGGATTAGTATGTGTTAGTAAATATTGTTAAAATGACTTGTTTCACGTTTTGGACTTGTAGATGTTGGAAAAACCAAGAAAACCATTCCATGTTCTTGTAGTCTGGTTCCCAGATCCCACTTAAGATGAAACGGAGAATTTATAGACTTTGGGGAATTGTAAGATCAGAGAGTCAGTCTAGTAGGCTTGTACCCCTTCACAGTTGTGTAATCAATTGCAAAGAAAACACGGAATAACTAATTATGAAAAATTAGGAGCAGTTTTGAAAAAAACCCAGTTTTCTCCAACGCTGGTCGGCCGACCAGCGTTGGAAAAATACCATTTTTCTTGAAATGTCAGCACACCAGGAGCCACGATTTACAGGATGCTTTAGACTGTCATTCCCTAACAATCCAGCAAGGTATTTAGTGATAATTTGATCATTTCATTTTGTAATGTTTGCAAATGTTGTATCTTCCCTTTAATTGAAAAGCGAGTTTGTTTCTTTTGCAGCTGACAGAGGAACGATTTGTTCCCAGCTTGCTGCACATTGAGCAGGGCAACTCTGTCAAGTGGGTGTGGAACTCCATCCATCAAGCACACTCTGTCAGGGAAGTCAAACTGTGTCCCAAGCACTGCGGCATCCTGCAGACAAATGGAGGGTGAGTACATGTATGGTCTTTTCATCATTCAAAGGAAAGATCCACAGATACCAATATTTTACCTCAGGGTGAGTCAAAAAAGAGGAACCCAAACCCCCAAAATTAAATTTCATATTTAACCCTGCGCAGTGTTTACAAGAAATTTTTATCCGAAGTCGCCAACTGCGTACCTTTGGGACGCAGGTACTTCCCCCACTACGCAAGACCCTATCCATGTCAAAACAACAAAAAGCCACCTGCCAGACAGTGTCCAGGCATTTGCCAGACAGGGCAGTTAAAAGATAATTGACTGGTGGCTGCGGTTTGCGGCTATGAAGGGAGATGGCTGTGTCAAGTTACAGGTGTGTATATGTTTCAATGAGACTTGGCAGGAGGCCTGGTCGAAAGTTTGTTGACACCGCTCGGGTGAAACCCTGGCTGCAAAGTTCATTGAACCAGCTGATTTGGCATGGGTTGAATGAGGATTAGATGGAAGGTGAACGTCATTGGCCCTCAATTTTTTTTTTTTCTTCAAGAAATTCGGTCACCTGCATACCCGGGGTATGCAGGTGACTCCGCGCAGGGTTAAAAAGATATGTAGCACCAAAAATAATAATGACTGGAAAGCCAATTTCATAAGCTACTTTTACATGAAAGAATTACTGAAATTGCTCAATCCGTTCAAAGAATATCACCATTTAAACACAATGACCCTAAAACCTCTTTCATCCAAAAATGCGAGTTCAAGAATGGTCGTCACAATTGTGCTCAAACATCACCAGCGATAAAACCTCAGTTTAAAAGTTGAAAATATTCAACAATGTCCTTTTGAAGGCCCGTCTTTTCAAAAACTTGGATTTTATAAATCATATTGTTTGCCTAGCAGGGTTGTTGATAAAGATATTGTGTACATGGTGTACTACGGTTGTTGACAGTTGTTGAAACAAGTATTCTGTGTCATTTTCTTTGTTGTTCCAAACAGTAAGAATACACAATAAATTGCTTTGTTTTTGGACGAAAGAGGTTTTAGGGTCATTGCAGTTAAATGGTGATATTCTTTGAACGGATTGAGCAATTTCAGTAATTTTTTCCATCTAAAAGTAGTTTATGAAATTGGCTTTCAAGTCATTATTATTTTTGGTTCTATAAATTTTAACATGTTCTATTAAATAAAAAAGTATGAAGCATAATTGTTGGGGTTAGGGTTCCGTTTTTTTGACTCACCCAGTACCTCTTACCCAAACTCAAACTGCAATCCTACCTCAGCAAGTGTTTTCTACATGTTGTCTGAACACAGCGTCAATATGCATGGCTAGTTAAACTGCATTTTCATAACTGAATCAGCTAGACTGTGGTTCAGTTGTTTAGAAAATATTTGTTTTCTTTCATAGGACCTCAGCACCCATGCAGTCTGGATCCTACAAGCATGAGTTTCCGTGAGTAATTTTTCAAATCGGATACCAATTGTTACACAAGAAAAACGTATGCCACATGTAAATGGGTCATTCCACCGGGTGGGAAGCAGTGCATGTTACATCCATACATGTATATTTGGTTATATTATTAAAAGTATCAATGCATTCTAAACAATTGCTCAACATAATATTTGTCTTAGGGTGTTTTAATATTTGAGAAAGTTTGAAATCATTTGAAAGTACTTTGACCATGTTGACAAAAATATGAGCAAAAATGTATTAATTCGGATGTAACATTGACACCGTGTCAATGTTACATCCAAAAATAATTTTTTTTGCCATATTTTACACGTACGGTATGTAAAATGTTGCCCAAACTGACATTGCATATTTACAACTGGACACCTAAGCACCAAGAAAAACTTTTGTTTTGGTATAGTCAGGGTTCAAATATAGCAGAAACAATACCTCAAGTGTGGATGTAACGGTGTAAAAATCACTCAATGGAAGTGTGACATTTGGGTTTTACACCGTGTAAATGTTACATCCACACAACCAATCTATTATTTCTGCTCCATTTGATGTCTGACTATCATAACAAAAGTTTTTCTTATTGTGTTGCATCTATAGTAAGAAGTACGCAAAGTAAATTTGGGTAATATTTCGCAGAAATTTAAAAAAAGGTACAAATGTCATATTTGGACGTAACACTGACACAGTGTCAATGTTACGTCCAAAATGACATTTTTTGCTCATATTTTTGGCAAAATACATTGCAATGATTTCAAACTTTCTGCAGTAGTGGAACACCCAACAACAAATATTATGTTGAGCAACTGCTAGCAAGGCATTCATGCTTCTCTTAATATGTTCATATGTCACACTTTGTTCCCCAACCCGGTGGAATGACCCAAATACCAGCAAAGGCTGAAGTGCTTACCACTGAGAGAAATGAAGATCCACAGTGTCTGATTGCTAAGATATTAGGGTCTAACAGCAAGTTCTTCACAGTGCACGTAGCTCTTATGACCATTCTCTTAATCATTAATATCAGTGTGAAAACATACAGAACTAGTGTACATTGTTGTGACTGAAACCATCACAAGTCCATCACACATGTCACAAGTCCGGTTCCAAGTATCACAAGTCTGTTCACAAGTCCAGTAACAAGTAACTATGAACATCTGATCCCTTAAATTTTCATTAAAAGTCCACTTCTCCGTTAAAAGAATATTTAACAGCTGTTTCACGGACATTTACATGTACATGGGGTTTATATAGGACTAATCCTGTAAGGGTATTTTCAAGGTTTTGTAATGAGCCTGGCCACTGAGGATTATCATTGGTTGTACATAATGGTACACTGGGTCTATCTCCATAGGTAAACAAAGGACTTTCTTAAGGGTGTTTTCACAGACTCCTAATCTGGCTTAATATGTTGAAAAATCCGTGAAAATTTAGTTAACTGTTATTTCAAGGGAAAATGGCTCTTTAACAAATTTTTAAGGGATGAAGATATTCATAGGTATGGAACAATAAGCCTGGTTCATACTTACTATGAATTTTATGAAGCAACGAAACTTCAGTCATCGTTGTCTAGAAATTACGCTTTAACAATGGAATCCCTTAGTGGCAGTTCATTTAAAGAGTTTGTAACTGAATTTAAGACAGGATGAATTATTAGTGATGTGCTTGTGAAGAAGACTTTTTGGCGGACACACCTACAGCACTGCTACTGTACAGTGTGTAATAATGAATAGAAAACTCAAACAGCCAACATAAGATACATTATGTTACCCATCAATAGCTATGTAATACATGTAAGTGCGCTACATGGTCAATATTATTATTATTATAGTTATTTTATTTCTAGAGCACAGAAGTGTGATGTTATCTGTCTTGGTTCTGGTTCATGCGCTAGTAAGCGCGTTGATGTCAACACACACTTACGCTATGCGTGCGAACCAGAATAGGCAGGAATACTGCGGTACTCTAAATCAACTGACCTCTGAATCGTTATCGTTGCAGACATCCAGGCCTGTTCTACTTCCAGACAGAGGGGCCAGAGGATGGCGAGATGCAGCTGTGTGTGGTCCACGTCAAGGAAACCCAGCGACACCACTTCGTGGAGGTGACAGACAGACGATTCAACCCCAGACTGCTCACGGTGTCACAGGGAGATCGGGTCTGGTGGCTGTGGGATAGATTCAAGGTCAGTACACCATTGTAGTGGTCGAGTCCGTCACAAGTCAACCACAAGAAAATCGCAATTCCTTTCACAAGTCGGGTCATAAGTAAGTGGGAACGACCAGTGACAAAGTGTACAAAAATGGACAGAATTAGAAGCTTTTACTGCGATGGTGTCACGCTCACACGTTCTTAAAGATATAGTCCATCATTTGTAATTTGTGCATTTTTTTCGTTTGAAGCAACAAAAGTGCTCAAAATCTAAAGAAGGGTACTGAACAACTAACCTGATGAAGTTTCAGCTCAGCTTCAGCTGTATATTCCGAGAAAAACAGCATTCTAGGATCTCAAAAGTTGCCGAATCATGTTTTGAATTGGGCCTGAATTCAGCGTCCGAGACACGTTCTCGCTGAGGAGATTGCAGCTACGCGATGTCGCGCACTGATCCGACGAAATATAGCAACCGCTTGTAGGTGTGTGTCGTGCCAATGCTTGCGCGCTTCGCCGAATAACAAAACAAACTACTAATTTAAATTTCCTACGGTGCATCTTAAGACGCACTGTTGGAAAGGCCTTCTTTCGTTGATTACTTCAAAATGACAGTTTGCCAGAAAGAATAATTTCACAGGGAGTTTAGTCCCCTTGCTATCTTTCAACCAAGTATGTTTTTCAACAATAATTACGCCAGTTACTTTTTGAATAGCTGCAAATGATGGACTATAGCTTTAAAGACGAGGCGCACTCGCATTTTGGAGCCCGGAGTGCGTGTGTACTACCTGGGGCGGATTGCAATAACGTGGTCTAAGTCGGCTGGCTAAACCATTCCGATTTTAGCCTGCTATTGCTCTTAGACGGTCTTGGTTAAGACACCAAACTTAGCCCATTGCAATAAGCTGGTCTTTACAAAGCCCGCTTAGAGTAATGATTCACAAACAAACATTCCATAGTTACGAGCAAATACCGGAGAGACTGCACACATTTTTTTGTAGGTTTGTGTGATTCAAATCATACGAAATCAAATCTGTCAATTCCAAGATTTTCTGTTGAGAGAATATTGCATTTGCAGTACAATTCAGTGTCATTACATTTTTTTCTAGAAGATTCCTTCTATCCTGGAGAATCCTCCCTCCAAGCAGTATTCTCTTTTCTTTTCTTTTTAAGATTATCACACACTGATCATCAACTGAAAAAAAACATGTTAGGAAAGAATAATTCAAAACACCAATGAATTCCAAAAATCCCAACTATAGACCATTTTAAGCCAGCCCTACCCAGGCTAACTATTTTAAGTCTTAGTACTTAGACCGTGTCATTGCGATGGTCTAACTTATAGACTGACTGACTGCCAGAGCTTTAAGACTGTCTCAAGCACATAGACAGTTTTAAGACCGGTTATTGCAATCTGCCCCTGATCTGACTCGTGTGAGCCTGGTGCCACCACAGAAAAATGGCTGCTCCGGGATTTGTCTATAAGGGCACATATCCATTGGTATAGGTGTTACACATGTGCTTCATTTTTACCGTGCTCATTTAGCCTAGTGACAGAGTATGAGATTTCACTCGTGATTTCACTCGTAATTGCCTTGCAGTGGTAAGGTAAAGATCCCATAGCCATTACTGGCCGTAGGGGCAGTGGGATGTTAGAGGTCCACTGTGTCTTGGGCGCGGCATATGAGTGGCGGGGCCCAGTCCTCTCCTCTCGCCGTCTTACCTTCCCTGAACGAATCAGGTACCCATTTTACTGTTGGGTCGTCAGAGAGAGTTTTCCAGCTTTTGGTCCGAATGGGATTCGAACTGCCAACCTTCCACTCCGTAGCTCCATGCTCTAACCGCTCGGCTACGGGGCCCCTCTTGCAGTGGACTCAACTGCAAATTCTGACCTCTTGTCTCAAGACACAGCTACTGATTCTAAAAATGAATTCAAAATGGTTATATTGCATTCCTATTGTCACCAAAGTGCAAGAAGAAGCACCGTATCCAGCAGATGGAAGTTCCGACCGGCCATGCTGTCAGTGATCCGTTCCCAAGACCTGTCAAAGGGGGATTCAGCAGTGATGCTCCTAGGTGAGTCACTCCTAGCAGTTCTGTTTCAATCCATTTTTATTTTAAAGAAATTATTAAGCAGGAAGTTGTGGCTTCGAGTTCACCTAAGTAAGGCCAAAAAAAAAAAGTCTCCGGTTTCTGGTATGGAGCTTGTCCAAAAAGTGGTGCGGCGACGCCTTTTTAAAATTTTTTTTTACCTGATTTCTTTGCTTCAAATGTCGACTGATGACTGCAAATGGTGCCCGACTAAACTTAGTGCAAATATATGGGAGTCCAAAGAGGCCACATAAAGCTTATTCTCGACCATAACCCAATCTAAAAACACGTTAAAATTGTGCAGCAGCAGGATTCCAGTCAAACTAGTGAGTTTGGCGGCTTTGAGACATCATCTTTCATTGAAAAAAAACGTTTTCATTTTGCCGACACGCATGGCTACGGCGACGCGCTCGCATATCAGAAACCGGAGACTTTTTTTTTTGGTCTAAGCTTGTAAAGTTTTTTTCTCAAGCTACTTGCCCGAAGTATACATTTACAACAGTGAGGGCAAATTATTGACGTGACATCTCCCCAATGCAAAATTTCATCATATGACAAATGTATGATATTGAATGTGTGCATACCTTTGACCCTAACTCCCTAGGCCTTTTTTGCTAGGATGTATAGCTCCTCAATCCTGCAAAATCCTCCAATTGGCCTCATGGAAAAATAGCATATAGCCTCAATCCTGCAAATTCCTCCATTATTTCTTGAATATGGTCCATGGAAAGGTGACCACTGCCTGAATCCTGCAAAATCCTGTGGCAGTGACTGTCAATGTGTTGAGGCTTGGCCAGTGACATCCTGGAGCAGTAGGGAGGATTTCAAACATAATGCAGGCCTATATTTATGCACGGCTGAGCAAAAACAACACAAAGACCTTGTCAAAGTGCATCCTACGAAATCAATAATGCACTTTTGCTATGTAACCTCAATGCTTTGGCAAAGAGGATTTTGAAAGATTCAGGGTGGTTAGGGTTAAAGCATTAGCAGTGTGTATGCATGCAATAACCGTTTCTTGCATCGCACTGATTGCTCTCTCAGAATCAAGTCTGAGCCTTATTTTATTGGTGCTGAATATTATCCTAAGTTTTCCCTCACAAACTGTACAATGCCCCTGGCAAGACACTAGCTCAGTTTCTAAATGTTAATTGTTTCCCCTTTGTGTTATGCCTAGCCGAGCTGGTATGATGTCTCACATCTTCCATGAGCCCGGTGTGTTCTACTACTGTGACAATAATTATGATGACAATCGGGAGTACCTTGGTGTGGTGGTTGTCAAACCCAGGGCCAAGGAGCACCATGTAGAGGTCACAGCGGAGGGCTTCTACCCAGGTTTGTTATTGATTATTAAGGGAATAAGTGTGTGCTTGGCCAGTTTTAAACACTCCGATTAAGACCGGTTGGAATCTGAATGCTGATAATTACCCGAGCCGAATTCATAAATACCTTTTCAGTCAAAAAAATCAAACTGTTTGGTCCAAAAGTCAAAACAAGTCAAAATTATATATTTCCAACGATTTCGTTCAACAGTTTTACCTCATGTTTTTTTTTAGGACAACCCTTTAGCTATATATGGTATGGTATGTCTAGTCTCATGAGTGTCGTAAACAAGTCTTTATATGGAAATATAGCAAGTGTGTACTGCATGATGTGGCGCACAGCGCAGCTGTGCCAGTGTTTTGTCAATCTCAGTTCTGACTTACTGGTAGTATTGAGCATGCTTACGGAGGATTGGGAACTGTTAACCAATAAAGCGGTAACAGGCAACAGATTTCATAGGAGTCCAAATTTAATGTGACACTGGAAAAGTGTTTCAGATCAGCCAGCCGGTCTTTATTAACGGTTTAAGACCGGCCACGTGATGGGCTCTCTAAATCAGTAGGAATGGGTAACCTGTCTTAGCTATTTATGAAAGTTGTATACTATTTGGTTCGTTCGTTATTCATGTAGACTGTAGTCTTTTCAGGCTCACAACATTTCCACAGATACATGTAAACTGAGCATCTCTTGCATTTTACTTCCTCAGGTGGGAAATTCCTATTTAGTGACTTCCAATTGGCATTTCTAACTTTTGACAGTCTTTGAATCTTAGATTCAATCCAGCATGGCGACCATTTTGTTTGTATCAGAGAAAGCAAATCACCACATTTCCATGTCTCCGACCCTGTGAATGCAGCAGAGCAAAGTTTATATACAATTTAGATTTCTCAATTTGGGGTATGAGTCCAGCGCAGTCCTGGAATGAGCTAAGGCTCATCCTATTCAAATGTCCACGATATTGAATTTTCCAATGGAAAATATTGGATGTCTTGTTAAGCTCTGGTAGTGCAACGCTTCAAGAAATAATGCATGTCATTTTCATTTTAGATCTGAGTGTGATCAACAGTGGAGATAGGATCTGGTGGAACTGGGATGTGGATAACATCCAGGATAGCTTCTCTGTCATGCAGGTAAAAGATGGACCTCGTTGGTGTTCACATTAATATAATTAACTTTGTCTGAGCTTGCTAGCGACTGCTCGGACAATCTTTCTTCACTTCGGTGCAAGGCAATACAGTGATGATTATTGTTGTGGTGTCATGGAAATGTTTTGTGTGTTTGAACATTCGCTTCTGATTCCTACGAAAGACAGAAGCATTTGCCAGAAGGGATTTCTTGAATGAACTAGAACATCAGCTTGGATTTTAAATTTTTTTTAAGTTATAAACGTTTCATACACATCTCATCTCATGTTACAGGTGGATAGCTGTGTAGCAAGCGACAATAAAACTGTTGCTGAAGTAGATTGCAACAGTAAGTCTGTACATTTTTCTCAATATTAGTATTTTGCTTTTATTGTTATTACCGATACATTGTCACTGTTCATGACAGATTTCCCTTGTTTTGTAATACGATTTGGCTATTTTATGAATTTTGTTTTTTTTGTCTGTTTATGTATGGTGATATCACTTTATATATTATTATTATTATTATTAATCATTTCTGGTAATGAAACCAAGGATTCCTCAAAAGCGCCCTAGGCACTGTAGCTCGCAAGCCTGAAGAAACCTGTGGAGAGAAGACAATGAGAAGAAGTTACAGTTTTAGAGGTGGGAGGAAAAGCCCAGAAGAATATTCTGGGGAAAACCCACGGAATCAGGCAGGGACTGAAAACCCAATCCACATATTGGCCCAGGCGGGATTCGAACCCGGGTCACAGCGGTGGAAGGCGAGGAAAGTACCGCTACGCCAACCTGACTCCCCTGTATTGTATACATTTTACATTTACAATTAGCTACCTGTATTTTTTTCAAAAATTGCCAATGCTCAATTTCTCAGTTTGTCAAATGTCCACCAACTTCCATTCTACCTGCTCTCCCTAGATTTTTGCACCCACCTTACACCAAAGGCAGCGGAGATGATCACCAACATAGGACTGGCCACCGTGCAGCTCAGCACGCCTGGAGTATTCCATTACAGGGTATCCGATACCCCCATCACTGTGGGGTGCTGCTCTGTCATTGTTAACCCAGGCCAGAAGGTAATATTCACATAGAAAATGCTTTGAAAGGAAGAAGTTTGAAATGAATAAGTTTGAAATTGCTGATCCAGAGTTGTTTGGTGATTTGACTACCTCTCAACGCACAGTGGAGAAAGGTTGGCATCACACAGGAACCCACCTACCCTCCGGTTCAAGATGATGGGATCGGGGACCCGTAACCGACTTTGCAAATTACTTAGTAACTTCTTATTACTTAGTAACTTCTTATTACTTAGTAACTTCTTATTACTTAGTAACTTCTTATCACTTAGTAACTTCTTATTACTTAGTAACTTCTTATTACTTAGTAACTTCCTATCACTTAGTAACTTCTTATTACTTAATAACTTCTTATTACTTAGTAACTTCTTATTACTTAGTAACTTCTTATTACTTAGTAACTTCTTATTACTTAGTAACTTCTTATTACTTAGTAACTTCTTATTACTTAGTAACTTCTTATTACTTAGTAACTTCTTATTACTTAGTAACTTCGTATTACTTAGTAACTTCGTATTACTTAGTAACTTCTTATTACTTAGTAACTTCTTATTACTTAGTAACTTCTTATTACTTAGTAACTTCGTATTACTTAGTAACTTCCTATTACTTAGTAACTTCTTATTACTTAGTAACTTCGTATTACTTAGTAACTTCTTATTACTTAGTAACTTTGTATTACTTAGTAACTTCTTATTACTTAGTAACTTCTTATTACTTAGTAACTTCTTATTACTTAGTAACTTCTTATTACTTAGTAACTTCCTATTACTTAGTAACTTCTTATTAGTAACTTTGTATTACTTAGTAACTTCGTATTACTTAGTAACTTCTTATTACTTTGTTACTTCTTATTACTTAGTAACTTCGTATTACTTAGTAACTTCCTATTACTTAGTAATTTCTTATTACTTAGTAATTTCTTATTACTTAGTAACTTCTTATTACTTAGTAACTTCGTATTACTTAGTAACTTCGTATTACTTAGTAACTTCTTATTACTTAGTAACTTCTTATTACTTAGTAACTTCGTATTACTTAGTAACTTCGTATTACTTAGTAACTTCTTATTACTTAGTAACTTCTTATTACTTAGTAACTTTGTATTACTTACTAACTTCGTATTACTTAGTAACTTCTTATTACTTAGTAACTTCTTATTACTTAGTAACTTCTTATTACTTAGTAACTTCTTATTACTTAGTAACTTCTTATTACTTAGTTACTTCTTATCACTTAGTAACTTCTTATTACTAAGTAACTTCTTATTACTTAGTAACTTCTTATAACTTAGTAACTTCTTATTACTAAGTAACTTCTTATTACTTAGTAACTTCTTATTACTAAGTAACTTCTTATTACTTAGTTACTTCTCAGACAATGAAACAGATTTTTGAATGCCATTTGTGGGGAATTTTTAAAATGAAAACCAGGCTACATGGAAATCCAAAGCAGATTTCATGAGTTTATTTGTATTTTAACGAGCGACAGAGGATACTCGCAAAAGTTGCAGTTTACACCGTGAAGCTATAAAAGCACTTTATCGGACAACTTCTGGGATTTTGAATTTTGGGGTTGGGTTTCCTTTACGGTCACCCAGGTACTACCCGTAAATGCACACCATTAGGCCAAAAAAAAAAAGTCTCCGGTTTCTGGTATGCGCGTGCGTCGCCGTAGCCATGCGCGTCGGCAAAAGGAAAAAGTTTTTTTTTCAATGAAAGATGATGTCTCAAAACCGCCAAACTCACTGGTTTGACTGGAATCCTGCTGCTGCACAATTTTAATGTGTTTTTAGATTGGGTTATGGTCGAGAATAAGCTTTATGTGGCCTCTCTGGACTCCCATATATTTGCACTAAGTTTAGTCGGGCACCATTTGCAGTCATCAGCCGACATTTGAAGCCAAAAAATCAGGTAAAAAAAAAAAAGCCGCGTCGCCGCACCACTTTTTGGGCAAGCTCCATACCAGAAACCGGAGATTTTTTTTTGTTGGCCTAACCGCCCGAGCACAACATGGTTCATGGATTCATCAAGAAATCTATGCAGTGTACTGTAATGCAATGTAATGCAATGTAATACAATGTAATACAATGTAATACAGGTGCTTATTTGTTACAAATGTAAAGATGCACATGTAATTTCTGACTTGAATTGTCTTGACAGAATCATTGCATCACAGTCAGTGACACGGGCTTTGAACCTAAAGTCCTGCGGGTCCACCCTGGTGACAGGGTGTGGTGGGTGTGGGAGAACACCAAACAACAACATAACATCATTCAGGTAAGTGGCTCGTAAACGGCCCATGCTCAGTCCCCTTCACATTTGACTCAGAAATGCAATTACTTATTTTGATGAAATTTGGTGTGCGAATACATAATAGAATAAATTCGTTCTCAGAGCTGTGACGGAAAGTGTGTGAGCTAAGAGCCAGTTTATTTGTGACGTCATACACATAGCATTAAAGGAATAGTCCATCATTTGTAATTTCTGAATTGTTGTTCGTTTGAAGCAACAAAAGTGCTCAAAATCTAAAGAAGGGTGCTGAACAACTAACCTGATGAAGTTTCAGCTCAGCTTCAGCTGTATATTCCGAGAAAAACAGCATTCTAGGATCTCGATTTCTAATCAAAAGTTGCTGAATCATGTTTTGAATTGGGCCTGAATTCAGCGTCCGAGACACGTTCTCACTGAGCCGATTGCAGCTACGCGATGTCGCGCACTGATCCAACGAATTATAGCAACCGCATGCGTGTTTGCGTCGTGCCAAAGCTTGCTTGCGCTTCACCGAATAACAAAACGAAGTACTAGTTTAAATTTCCTACGGTGCGTCCTAAGAAGCACAGTTGGAAATGCCTTCTTTCGTTGATTTCTTCAAAATGACAGCTTGCCAGAAAGAATATATTCACAGGGAGTTTAGTCCCCTTACTATTTACCAACCAAGTATGTTTTTCAACAATAATTACGTCAGTTACTTTTTGGATAGCTGCAAATGATGGACTGTAGCTTTAATGTTTAATCCACTGTGTGTTAGTGACTGGGCAGAGTTTAGGAACTCCGTTAGTTGCTGCATGTACTCGGTTGGTTTAGACAAGTGCCATAGTTTTAATGTGCCAAAGGTTACATTTATGTACATTTATGCGCTTATCCGTGTACGAGAGGGCTGTACTATACTCACATGATTACGGGCTGGTGATGTTGCAGACAGTGAGCGAGCAAGAGGTGAATTACTTGTGCTCTGTGTTTTGGGAAATGCTTATGCGCGAAGTGTACATAGTCGTATGAGCTGTGCTGGGGTTACCCTGGCGTGTATGGCTGATGTGTAGCAAGTACAAGGCTGTATAGGTGTACCCTGCTGACTGGCTTGCATGGTGGATGCGTAGCGGGTACAAGGCTGTACTACTGTGCATTGCTTATGCTGTTGTACATTGTTTATGCTGTTGTACATTGCCTTTGTGGTTGTACATTGCTGTTGCTTGGGCGCATTATCATGACATTGTGATGCATTGCGGTGCATTGCTGACATTGTTGTGCATTTCGGATGCTGTTGCGCATTGCTGCTGCATGCAGTAGGCTCGGCTCATCTCTCCAATAGTTAAAGGACCCACATAATAGAACACCACGCCTATTAATTCCAATTAGTGTACATTTGTTGATTATTGTTGACTATATTATGATCATTGTTGCTTGAGGTTACCGACAATTCCATTTCAGGCTCTGTTCAGGTTCATTGGGCAATTAACAGGGTAATTAACAATCATTCACAATCGGGGGGGGGGGGGGGGGGGGGGGAGGGGGTAGATTTCCACCGAAACGGACCTGCACCCTTAGCCTTGCAGGTCGCTCTGAGTGATCTCTTGTCCAGGGAAGAGCCTTGGTTCATGTTGTTTGGGAAGATCGTCTTCACCCCAATAGGAGTCAGACTTATCCTAACAGACGAAGGTTGGCCTGGGGAGTTCCCGCAACAGTACGTATGAAAAATTTTAATATAAAGGAACAACATTTTTGATTTCGATAGTCATGCATAGTCAACAGTTCCGTACGTAAACAAGTGTGTGTTTCTTTTTACGGTCAAAGGAAGCTAAAATTATTTTCTTGGTGGCCCCTTTTAACAACTTGACATTTTGCCAAAACACTACGCCAGATTTTTTTTTTAATGGAATTGTGCGAAAAATATCCACGAGACATGATCAGTCTGCAATCTCATTAAGGTTTAGCACACACACACAAAAAAGAATCAGAAAAACAGAATTGAGAAATAAATATACAGGAGGATGAATATCCTGGTCCTTCATGACCTCATGAAAATGAAGTGTGGCCCTGCTATCAGTGACAGAGATGGTATTCAAACCCATAGTACATTGTCTTGGAAGGACCACGTACGGAACATCAACCATGTCAACCTGTATGCTGGCCTGCCAAGAGTGTCCGTCAAAGGCCGCGAGAGGAGGATGAGACTGGCGGGACATTGCGTTCGGCACCCTGAACTGGCTGCAAATCCACTTATAATTTGGGAGCCCACACAGGGCACTGCAAGAAGAGGCAGAAGTCGGGCCACCTACATCAGTGTGCTACGAAGCGACACAGGCCTTGACAGTGTTAATGAACTGAGGACTGCCATGATGGATAAACTGGTCTGGGGGTGCCATATTCGTGGAACCCGAGATGGTATAGGTTAAGGCCAACACATGCCCTCGCATTAGTAGTAGTAGTAGTAGTACATTTTTATTCCATTGTTGCACCAATGCACAACAACGTGTGTTCACCGTCGATCGTGGACGTCCTATTGTCCCTTTTTTTGTTTGTACATGTACTCTAACTTTTTAGGAAGACTCCCATAGGTTTTGTACACGACCCCAATCGCGGACGTACATGTACATGTACCGGGTATGCTAGGAATCGTGGACGATATTGTTTCTTTTGTTCTCTGGTATTTTTCATCCACGGTTTGAAAAAAGATGAACATGTACACACACTCATCTTTCTGTCTGTGTGTATGTTTCATTATACATGTAGGTATCTCGTCATGGCCATCCCACCAAGGAAGGTTTCTGCAGTGGCTTGCCCCAGGACAGCCCAGCGGCATTCGTCAGACAGTTCAATGCTGGCGCTGTAGTCTACTATCAGAGGTAAATTACCATATAATTCATGAATTAAAAAAGGGATTAAAGATGTTTTGTTTTGCTTGGAAAGTGGAGTTTTGTTTATACACAGTTTAAGATTCTTACAATTTGTGGCACTCATTTTTTTAAAAATAAATTTTAGTTAACGCTTAAAAGAATGGATATACAGGGCATATAAAAGGAATATGCATTTTTACCATAGTACAATAGGAGGAGCAATGGCCATGAATGAACAAGATAGCACTTTTGTGACCTCTCACGAGAGCTCAGTGAGTGGTGCACACTGTATGTGTACACTGGCTCGGATGCACTGTGTTGCAAGGTATGTTAGACTAATTTAATTATTTATTTTCTTTCTTTTATCAGTGTTGCTCTGCCAAAGCTGTATGGTGCAGTAGTGGCCGTATCACAAGCCCAGGTAAGACTGATGTAATATTATATAATGTTTAAGAGAATTGTCAACAAGCCAGTTCGGCATCTCAATGAAGTAGTCAAGGTGGAAGGTCATTTGGGATAAAATGGCTGACTCAACTCTTCGCTCGTACCCCCCGCCCTGCAAACAGGACGCTGGGATACTCTGATGAATTCACGCGCTGATTGGTTGGATTTTGCGTGACCTGTGACCTGTGCGTCATCACAGTCATGACTCTGCAAGGTTTGAAACGGCCGTTACGACTGATTCATTACTCTTTTTATTCCGGTTTTGAGATGTTTCTTTTTTTCGTTGAAAAGCGTAATAATGAAGAAATTCTGTAAAACTTATCTGTGTTGTGAATTTACAATTTCTGGCACTTGCTAAGGATTCGTTTCGAATCACGAACGGTCGGATTGCATTATGCGACGCTCAAAATTGTGTCCACATGGTACGCAATGAAACAGAAATCACATCCGGTATGGAACGTGTGCATTTCTATGGGAAGTTTTCGGATAGCATTTGTGCACATTGTCTAAATGCGGTCTTGAACAGCTGCAGCCAGATGCTTTATACATAGGTCATAAGCTACTTCCTTCACAAGATTCTGTGAAGCTCATCAGCGCATCCCAGCATCCTGTTTGCAGGGTGGGGGGTACGAGCGAAACTGAAGCATCTTGTAACCGTGATGTTATGCGAATGCCTATTTTGCATGCGAGTGTCATGCAAGCATCGTGCGAGCATTGTGCATCCATGTCCGTGTGCATTCTGGTGCCTTTTATCAGCTTTGGAATTTCCCGAATGATCTGTGACCCATCATTGTGCGCATGCGCAGTTTTGTGGAGTACTGTGGCCTCGTGGTTAAGGGCACTGATTCGTGGTCTGTGGGTAAAGCTGCAGGTTGTCGGTTCGAGTCCTGGCGGGGTCATGGTGCGTGTGCCCTTGGGCAAGGCACTTTGTCACTCATTGCTTCTCCCCACCCAGGAGTAAATGGGTACCTGTGAGGGCAGAGATGGTTATTGTGATTGAATTAGCTTCCTTGCGCCTAACAGGCTGCATCGAGCTGTATACTCCCCAGGGAGCTGAGATGGTATTTGGAATGTTTCATGTGCCCAATGAGCAGGGGTAATAATGATGTAGCGCCTTGAGCACCAGTCCTGGTGGATATGTGCGCTTTATAAATATCCACTATTATTATTACTATTATTATTATTAAATACTGAGCTGGCTTATTGAAAATGTGGAAGCGTTGTCCACATTTTCTTCCTTTACAATAGTATATGTTTCCTAACTTTGACTGCAAGGAAAAAATGGGCTGGCTAAAAGAGAAGCTATCATACACTTTTTTAAACAGTCATCATTTTTACTAGAATGCAAACAGTGGTTTTTGGATTGATTAGACCTTTCAGTTAAACAAGGATTAAGTTGCTAATTCCCCAACACCCAAAGAAATTACATCAAGAACCATACCATCTTTTGGCTTTCAATAACTCTGGCACAGTGGCGCTGCCTACCGGTAGGTTCATTTTGTCCTCGAAAATGGGCAACATCTAAGATGGATCTACCTCTTAAAATGATTTCTTGCCTGTTTTTACCCACATGCCAAATTTCCTATTTAAACCTCAAAGTTATGGTTTACACCTTTTCTTTACAACCATTCTTTAACATGTAGATCCATCAAGTGTTGGTGGCCAAGAACCACTTGCAGCCGGACCCAGTACTTGCCCAGACCTATGACTGCGTGGCCTGGGTCTGGCCAGTACTCCGCAAGCATGGTCTGACGCAGCTGACTAACACACAGCAGGTCTTTGAGCTTCAGACCTACACTCAAGACGTCGTCACACCAAGGTCAGGTTCAATTCAATTCAATTCAATATTACATTTATTTCCATACTGAACAATAACATAATAGAAAGCAAAATACAATATTGTGGATGGGTAATTCCACGGTTACTCACGTTACAGTTTTGGTGTACTTTTGAGTTTCCTTGGGCTGTAATTACCTTACTGAAAAGGTTTAATAACTGTTATATCCCCATGGTAGATACAGTAGACCTAGACCTACCTAAGCACCAAAGATGACATCCAGAAAAATGTGTTATGTATGATAAACAAGACGCACAAAATCGGTTCACGTTACATTTTCATAACGTGAGTAACCGATTTTGTGCGTCTTGTTTATCATACATAACACATTTTTCTGGATGTCATCTTTGGTGCTTAGGTAGGTCTAGGTCTACTCTATCTACCATGGGGATAACAGTTATTAAACCTTTTCGGTAAGGTAATTACAGCCCAAGGAAGCTCAAAAGTACATCAATAATGTAACGAGAGTAACCGTGGAATTGCCCTGAGGCACAATCCTAATAAGCCAAGGCTTGTAGTGGAGCGCCTGTAGAAAAGAGAACAAAGACATGAAATAATCAAATAGTTAATTAAGTCAAAGACAAAGATAAACAAGAGGACAAAGTAATCTGACCAGAAATAGATTAAGAAATATGACGGGGGAAAAAAAACTTAAAAACTGCAACAGAGATGGCAACACTGGAGAACAAACCAAAGGAGAAAAAAAAAAAAACTATGCTACATATTGGGAGATAAGATACTCTTTGAAAGAGTTCGTAAATGAGCCCACGGAGGTTTTGGACTTAATTGATTGGTCAATGCTATTCCAAAGACTGGGACCGTAGAAGCGAAGTGTGTTCTTGTACTGAGATGTGCGCGTGAAAGGTATGTATAGGTTGCTGTGTGATCTAGTGTGATAGTGGTGAATGACGTTAAAGGGAAAATACAACATTTGCAAACATCAAAAAATAAAACTACCAAATCATTTTGAAATACCTTGCTGGACTGTTAGTGAATGACAGTGTAAAGCATCCTGTAAAATCATGGCACCTGGTATACTGTCATTTTCAAGAAAAGTGGTATTTTTGTATCAATTTCCAACGCTGATCGGCCGATCAGCGTTAGAAAAAACTGGCTTTTTTTCAAATACTGGCCCCAGTTGACCATCGCACTTGTTTGCAATCGATTACACACCTATGAACGGGTACAAGCCAGTTAGACTGGTTCCCTGACCTTAAAATTCCCCAATATATGTAAACTGCTCTGTTTCTTCTTAAATGGAGTCAGGGAACCAGACTACAGGAAAATGATTGTTTTTCTTGGTTTTTATAGCATTTTCGAACCCAAAACCTCAAAAAAGTCAGTATAACTATATTTGCTATATATTTCCAACCCCCCAATTCCATCCATTTCTGAAAATTACAGCAAAAGCAAATGATGTATATTCCCTTTAACTGGAGTAAAAAAAAGAAGAAAACGTAGCAGGAAGGATATTATTAGTAAGCTTGAACATGAAAATGCCAGTTTGAAGCTTGTTAATATCGGACAGGGTGAGAGAGTGTAATTTGACAAAAAGAGGTGCAGTATGATCACATCAAACCCCACTCTATTATGTAGCCGTGATTGCAAAACCAAATATCTGACAAAGGTCCAACATCTGTGCACTTACATAATTATGATGCGCACATTTGGTAACCGCGTATCTTCAGTGTGGTATTTGAGAGATCCATGTAGCTATGCTATAGGGCCTGTCTCAATTCCTTTTCGGGACAAGTTGCAGAAAAGTTGCGGACTTTGTATCTGGTATAAGCTGCAGGATTCTGAACAACTTCCCAACAATCTTTCTGCAATGCAGTTATCAGTATTGGTGAGTCAAGTAGTTGCTATTTCCCCGGAACATGTCCGGGACAAATGCAGAGCTTCTTCCAGACAAAGTGAATGATTCTACCAACAACTTGTCTGCAACTCGACCCGGATATGAAGTGAGACAAGCCCTTATGTTGTTGCCCGTATATAGTGAGTGGGGCTCGTTGAAAATACCTGTTGCGTTACCTGAAAATCACATTTGGCTTTTTAAATATTTTTCGAAATTGTTAGCAGTTTGCCTCCAGCCAAAAAGTTTATTTGTAAAATCAATCTATGTCATGTTTGTGATGTGTTGCATTATCCAGGCGCTGTTGTGCATTGAGGTTCTCCAACCCGGGAGTCTACCACTACTACAGCAAAGCATTCTCCAATAAAACTGACAAGTTTATGGTAAGAGCCATTATAACTTCAAGTGTAACACACGTTAATGGACTTCTTTATACAGTACCTTATGTACAGAAATGCATGTTTTTGTTTTTGTTTTTACATTTTTATGAAGCCGAGTTAACTTTGGTATAAGTTGTGTTGGTGATTTCAACAAGTCACATGTTGCAAAATTTGTTTTAAAAGTACAAATCTTCATCTGGTCTCAATTGTATTAAAAGGGAATTGAAATAAAAAAACAAACATTTGAAAATTACTTTAATGTACTTTTTTATATACATACAAGTACTCTCAAAATCTCTTCTTTCTGACACTGTCAAGAGTATGAAAAAAACAGTAAACTCCGGCTAAACCGGCACTCCCGGGACCTGAGAATTTGTGAAGACTTACGTGAATGCTGATATATGCTATAAGTCATCATTTTGCCGACTTACATGAATGGTCTTTTGCACACATGATTCATTGCACTAATTGGCTTCGATTTACCCTGGATTATCTCCTTAATGCTTGAGTTGAATCCAGCAAATTAGTCCTCGAATTGTGTCATCACGTTTGGGGTATTGATAGTGGAGACCACGATACATGTGTACGTGCACAGTAACGAATTAAATGCATGCGTGTTCGGGTCCGGTATATACCACGCACCCATTGACTGCAGCAGAAGTCATTCAATAAGACGACCCCCAAAATGGACAGAGCGCATGCGTACATGTACAGCCTAGAGGGGGTACTGGTATTTATATGCTCACGATGCATATGCGATGTATGCAGCAAAGATCCTATAGCGCCGCGTAGTGGTATGCAGTGGGACACCCTTTTTTGACACCGTTGCATGCAGCGATCACGGGCCGTGCGAAACCACTTTTCACTCGACACTTTGCCAACCGCAGTACAGGAAGTCGATGCCAATGCGTGATTTGTTGAATGCTGACTTACACAAAGGATTTTGTAATCCTTTTATGGAAAGGGGACCGAGAGTAACACGACGACTTGAGCGAAATGGCGACTTGTGAAAGCCGACTTAGAAATAAAAAATTCAATGGAAATGCATGACGGACAATCAGGACTTAAGTCAGACGGCCGACTGGAGCGATTTGACGAGTTGTACGATGCCGGTTTAGCCAGAGTTTACTGTATATGTTGTATCAAATTCAACCTATTTGATCAATTCTAGAATGGTTTCATATTATCAAAAGAATTGCATCAGTTTCAATTTTTTTTTACATTAGCAGATCTGATCACAATAAATGCAGTCAACTAAATTTGTTGACAGTGATTTATCAAAGTGACTCAAAAATTTGTTTCTAATGCCTCTCAGACACTTTATCCCATTTGTGTCTGACTTTTTGAAACAAGTATCAAACGTTTTGTCCTGTGTTTTCCTAATTCTCACAGTATGAGCACAGCAGTAAAACAGTCCTCAGCAGTGTGGTCGTCAGTAACCCCAGCGGTTCCTTCACTGTCATGGTGTCCAGTAAAGGATTCAAACCTCCTGCAGTCAGCATACACAGGGTAAGTGCTCTAAGAAGCCTCACTCTGTGCACAAGTACCCCCTCCATGGTTCATCATCATCAGTCGATTGCACAGCAGACGGACACAAGTTTTCCCTATTCATCTCTGTTTTGTGCAAGTCTCAGCACCCGATTTCGCGAAGCGCTGCGATGTGTTGCAACTCGAGTTACGACGTGTAACACGTCGCAACTCGCGACGCGTCGTATCTTCCATTTCACGAAAGTTGCGATGTGTTGAACGCGTCGTAAGTTCCTTGACGACGGCTTAAAACATGTCGCAAGTTAAGACGTGTCTAGTAGTCGCCGCAAAATAAGAAGAGTCATTTCTAAGCCAGTTTTATGCCATAAACATAACATAAACAAATTATAATACCGAGGCAATATGTGTAAAGTTGTAGAAAATTCATAGAATAAGTATGAATTAGAACAAAATATTAGAGTTTAAATTTCAAAGTAGCTATGCAGTGCAATGAGAGCTTGTTTTCCTTCAAAATTGCATCGCACCATTTTGTTTTACATTTTAACAAATTTCGAGCTGAGATCTGACGACCCTTTGCTGAATATCAGACGACTATTTACTGTACGCTGACTAAATACATAAAATAGTCACCGAATTGTGCTATAAATACACCTACGACGCGTCGCACTTACGACGCATCATGGAGATACGATGCGTGGCATCGCTGCGATGCATCTTAAGTTATGAAGAGTTTGATGAAATCGGGTGCTGGATCTCTCGCGGGGAGAGCAGAAACTCCTGTGACAGTAGTCTAGCGATGTACTCTGGGTAGAGTAGGCGCTGACGACTTAGTCTGCGTCAGCCATGAGATGGGGAGTATAGAGCATAGGTGTTAACCCTTTCCTTACCATGGGCGACTTTTGTCGACCAGAATTACCCCCCTGGTGGTTCCCATGGGCGACTTTAGTCGACCAGGAAACCACACACAAAACATCCTCAGCACAGATATATTCACTACTTTTCAGAAAGGGGGTATGTTGATATGTTTGGCCGCCCATACATCAACTATATACCAGCTGAAAGGGTGTTTTCGGATCGTTCTATTGGTGTGGTTTATTCATAGTGTTACCATTACAAAAAAAATGAGAAAAGTGCTTCAGAAGTATCCACGCACAATTTGAGGTATGGAGTGCCATTTGGTCATGTGGTGAAATGGGCTTGCAGTTTGATAATTGGTACCAGATGAACAAAAAGGCATAACTTTCTTATATTTGCAGGTATGGACTTCATTTTTACATCACATAAAAGAGTAAGGTTCAAGGAACAAACTTTACACACAACACCTATGATTTTAATCACTCCTTGGCAGTGAAAATCTGGGTTGACAAACGTGATTTTTTTGACTCGTGGTCATTTTTTCACGCTCTAGTGATTTCCGCATGACTGAGCAAACAATTTGGTCCTGGGGAGAGCCAAGTCAATAAACAATGTGGGCATGAAAGGGTTAACTGGCTCGCCCATAGGCTTCCGTAGGATATGACCAACCCCTCTGAGTTGGTTCAATGGCTACAAAGTTGTAGTTGGGAAACAACTGGTATGGATTTTTGAATGTATTGCTGAGGGCACCTGACGCTCTTATGAAGATGAATATACCGGTTTCTACAGATAGTCATGCTTTTTTTATAACCGGCCAAACACGTACTACTGTTTGTGTTTTTACAGGGTCAAAGCGTACTCTGGTCTTGGAAAGGCAGCCAGTTTGAAACCCACAACATCGTCCACGCTAATCCCCCTTCCCATGAGCGTCCCTACAGCCCCGTCACCGGTCCCCTTGCCTTCAGCAGCGGTAACCCACAGCCCAACAATAGCTTCATGTTCACATTTGAGGAGCCGGGGACATTCTATGAGACGTCAGAAGGGGCCCCAGGTTGTGTCGGGGTTGTACATGTTCTTGATGATGGTATGTTGTAATGACAAGAGTAGTCTTACCAGGCGTATGACTAGTGTAGCACAGCTTCTAAAGCCCCAGTCACGCATTTATGGTTCGGGGCTACAAATATCGCATGTGAGTAGAGTTGTGCGTTGCTTCTCTCCTGTGCCACGAGGGTTTTTCTCCGGGCCCTCCGGTTTTCCTCCCTCCGGAAAAATCAAACACTTTCGATCTCAGGCTGTGCTCCGTGGTCATATATGGGTCGATGTGGCCGGCAGCCAGAGGCGCCTTTACGTGCCAGCGGCCTGACCACGTTGTAGCCGCGTCCTTCGCAATTCAGCATCCCAGCTGCGAGTAAGGATGATTAGCCTCCCAAATTATTATTATTATTATATCCACGGTTTACCAAGAATCAATCGATCACGATGAACCCTTGAGATTCGTAGAGAAATCAACTTTCTAAGAATGCACTACGGTTTCAGGACGGATAGCCACGACTGTCCTATGGTTTCTCTACAGATACATGCTTTGTCAAGAATATTGACGGATTGGTTAAGAATATCGATGGTATTACTAAGAATAGTGACATTAATGCCACGGTTGTCTGAGATTGTGCCACGGATGACCAAGGTTATCCTACGAATAAAGCGTGGATATTCGTAGTACAAACGTAGCAGAACCCTAGCACATCCGAGCATATCCGTAGGACACTCATAGCAAATTCGTACAGATTTCTACCACGAATGAGCTACGAATCTCCAAGAATATGTACAAATAGCCGCAAATAACACTATGAATCAGTACGGTTGTCCTACGGATGTCCCACGGTTGCACTACGGATTGATTTTCATGACGTTTCGCAACGGAAGGTTTGAACAGTTTATAACTTCCGTAACTCCTCCACGAATACCCAAGGAAGATGACGGATAACCACGGAGGTACTAAGGATGAATACGGTACTCCCAAGGTTTATCACGAATTTCAAACCGCGGAGATCCGAAGCTCCAAACCGTAAAATGTGTGACTGGGGCTTTATGGGTTAAGTGCAACTTATTTTTGTTCAAACCCTTTACAAATATTTCAGAGTCTCTCTCGGCAATGCCCGTCATCACGTCAAGTTCAAACGGCGGTGTCGTTGAACGTTTCCACACCGTTGAGCTCCAGTCTACATGTACCTCACAGACGGCCAGCATTCTCTATACATTGGATGGCTCCATTCCAGAACTTCACGGCAGTGCTACCAGGGTATGTGTATATTACCTTTAAAGTTATAGTCCATCATTTGTAATTTGTGCATTTTGTACATTTGAAGTATCAAAAGTGCTCAAAATCTACAGAAGGGTACTGAACAACTAACCTGATAAAGTTTCAGCTCAGCTTCAGCTGTATATTCTGAGAAAAACAGCATTCTAGGATCTCAATTTCAAATCAAAAGTTGCTGAATCATGTTTTGAATTGCGCCTATATTCAGCGTCCGAGACACGTTCTTGCTGAGCCCAATGCAGCTACGCGATGTCGCGCACTGATCTGACGAATTATAGCAACCGGGGGTGCGTGTGCGTCATGCCAATGCTTGTGCGCGCTTCGTCGAATAACAAAACGAACTACTAATTTAAATTTTCCTACGGTGCGTCTTAAGAAGCACCGTTGGAAAGGCCTTCTTTCGTTGATTACTTCAAAATGACAGCTTGCCAGAAAGAATAATTTCACAGGGAGTTTAGTCCCCTTACTATCTTTCAACCAAGTATGTTTTTCAACAATAATTACGCCAGCTACTTTTCGGATAACTGCAAATGATGGACTATAGCTTTAATCTTGTTGATTCTGATCAAGTAAAAAAAATGAAGCATTTGTTTCTTTTAAAATTCAATTACAGTAAGAATGTTAGCATTAAATGCTTTTTTCCGAAGTGTACACTCAAAAAGCACCTGAAGAACATGAAACCTATGAAGAAAAAAATAGATTGATAATTAAAGTATATCATTTGCAGCTATCCAAAAAGTAACTGATGAAATTATTGTTGAAAAGCATTCTTGGTAATAGCAATGACCTCCCTGTGAATAGTTTCTCTGGCATGCTGTAATTTTGAAGAAACAAATACAAAATTGTCATTTCCAAAGAAGCGTTTGTACATGTAGTTCGTTTTGAATTTGGCGAAGCCATTAATCATGTGAATGCATGGGTGCGCGCGGTTGCTGTAATTCGTCGGTTCAGTGCGTGACATCGCGTAGCTGCAATCGGCCGAAGGACAACGTGTCCCGGAAGCTGATTTCGGGCGCAATTCAATACATGACTCTGCAACTTTTGAATTCAAATCGAGATCCAAGAATAATTATTGTTTTCTCGGAATACACAGCATTAATTAACAGAGCTAAAACTTCATCAACTTTAAGCACCCTTCCTTAGATTTTGAGCACTCTTGTTGCTTCAAACAGAATAAAAAATGTACAAATGACAAATGATATACTCTACCTTTATATCACTCACATGGTCGAGCAAATTCATTATTTTTACTAAGGGAATAAATGTGTGCTCCGGAGGTTTTTATCACTCTGTTTAATATCGCTTAGAGTCTGGGTGCTGATAATTACCCGAGCCGGAGGCTATAGGAATAGTTAAACTGTCTGAGGTATTTATGAATTCATGTTCATAGAAGTTCTTTTGTTTAAGATTGACTTTTTTTGCCTTAATGCAGGTTTACAAATCGGAGAAAGGCATCTGTCTGAGGCGACCTGGTCTTCACATCATCAGAGCCATAACAATAAGCAACGGTCTGCTACCAAGTCCAGTCTACACTTCCAAGTAAGTATCAAATAAAAACCTGATGGGTCAATGTATCCGTAGGAAATGTTAACCCTAACCCTCCACAATCCTCCAAAGTCCTCCAAAATCCTCAAGGCGGTTCTGGAGGAGTGTTGAGGGTGAAGGGCAAAAGAAAGTGTCGGTTCATTTTTTGGGAATGCATAGTGTTGAGTTGATAAACTTTATCCTGCATTGTTTGTGTTCAGTCATGCATAATTGTGACCTGTTCTGTCAAAATCAGACTTTTCTGGGCATAAGGTCCAAAATGAGATTTTTGCATACTGTTAAAATATGTACATTTTCCTTTTAAATAGGTGGTTTAATTTTTGAAACCTGTAATTCCTGGGCATAGTTATGCTATTTCGAAGTTCATTGTGTCGAAAAGTAGAAATGGAGGAAATGGCCACGAACGTCACAAAACAGTAATTTCTTTAACTGATATACCTCAACAAATCATCAAAAATACCATATTTAGAGTTCAAATTAGGGTTTCAAACTTTTATAGTATATTTTAGACATGTTCAGGATTACAAATGTGCAAAAATTAGAAAATCAAAAAAAAATCACCCCCACAGCGTTTTTTGGCCCTATCTCAATTTCAACCTCTGCCCAGAAGCGTCTGCTTTTGACAGAACAGGTCACAATTGAGCCCTGCATTATGCTGATATCATCCGCACTGCTTCTAAATATCATCGGCACTGCCTCAATCCATTACCAGTGATTATTGGAGGTTTTTAAAGGATTGATGCAATGGTCATCTCTCCACTGAACAAATTCCAGAAGTAACATATAATTTTGGAGGATTAAGGCGGAATCCAATTGTGACATTTTAGCAATTGGATAATTTTTGCAGGATTCAGTGTGGTTCCTAGCCAAAAGGGCCCAGGGGTTAGGGTTAAGGCTTTGTGATGGAACAGATATTGTAAAAATTAAAGAACAGACCAAACGTTGGGAAGGAAAAATATTATAAAAACCAACTCAACAATCAACAACTACTCAGCAACCAAGCTAACTGGGGTTTGCATGCCCGTTCTGGTTGTATAATTGGAATTTTTGTATTTTTTTTTGTTTTGTTGTAATTTTACATCCATTACAACAATTACGTTCCCATCCCATGCAGACGATTCTGGGTGCTCGAGGGGAACGTTGGCCACAGCTCGGAGGACGACGATGCTATTTCCATGGCAACAGATGACTTTGAAGCCGAGATGCAGAACAATGGTCCAGGACCTGTAAGTTCAGTTAGGCCAAAAAAAAAAATAAGTCGGTCTCTGGTCAGCGCGCGCGTCGATTTTAATCATGCACGTCAATCTTTTTTTTTTCCAAAATGTTCTGCGGTAGCTCCAACAGCGCCCTCTATTGCCGCACCTCCTCAATTTGTTTTACAAAGAGCACCAAGGAATGGGAAATTGCACCCAGGCAAATGATCGAGAGCACCAAGGCAAATTATGGAGGACACCAGTGTACATGAGGAAACCAAAAAAGCAAAATAGTACCCCACCTTGTCTGTACAATCCAAGCTTGAAGAAAAAGAAAAAAAGCAAAAAAAAAAAAAAAAGCCGCGTCCCTTCGTCAATTCCGGAACTTTGGTCTGACCAGAGACCGAATATTTTTTGTTTTTTGGCCTTATCTTGAAGTTGGCCATCAGTAACTATCCAATTTCTAGGATTTTCTCAATTGCTGTGCATACAAGTTTCTTATCATGGAAGCCAGAGTGACTCAGTGAAATGTCGCTATGAATGCTATTACAATGTTCGGGAAGATCAGCTTCACTCTAATAGGTGTCAGACTTGGTCCTAACAAGCTTAGGTTTGGCTTGGGGGAGATCCCACGCCACAATAGTTTTGTAGATTATTGCTGTTGTTGTTTGATGACAAAATGACAGGTTGCTTCATTTTTACTTGAGACATTTTCATATCAGTTAAATGAATGTCGATTGTATGTTCAGCCAATATTTGTTCAAAACATCCACTTGAAAATTTGAAACATCAACAAATCTTGTTTTACATCAGAGATGAAACTTTTCCGATTTTAATCGGAAATCCGACTTCTTGAATTTTCCAACGAAATTTCCGATTTTCTTACAATGTGTCCCACAATATTTGATGTTGTGTAACGATTTTTTTCACAAAATGTCATTTTATTTCAATCATAATTTCGAAGAAAAGTCGATGAAAAGTCGATGGAAATGGCACGTTAAAATCATCGCGAACGTAGTTTTAATCTCTTTCACCAGTCGTTATTGGAGTGTTTCAACGGTAGAAACACAGTCCATAACACTGATCGGAGCCTTTTCTGGCTGGACAAAAAGTTAAACATTGACAGGTGACATGGAAAAATCACTGTGTCGCACGCGCGTGCATACATTTATGTACTGTACAAAGATGATATGCACGTACGTACCAGAGTACGTACCGCATTGAACCGTCCAGCCGCTAGCACATGGCCGGTTGTGAACGATCCGGTGGATAAAATCATTATGTTGTGCGATTTTCGGAGGTATTAAGTTGTACAAAATGCAATGCTTTAAAAATCATGACGATTATCTTTAGGATAGCAAAGAGAGCATTAGCGAAACATTTCACTGGCATTTGTTGGAAGAGACGTACGAATGCAAGTGGAGTAGTGGAGTTGTGTGGTTGAAACATGGACATGTGAACGGTGCCCTTGTCTTTTGGACTTTTTCCTCGACTTTCACAAGTAAGAAGAGAACTCCTTTGTTGATGACTCCATTACTCTAGCTGTAATTCAGGCGTTTTATGCAATGAAAACACTGACCATTTTTTTTCATCGTAAAATTTTGTTTGAATCGAAAATAAAGCAAGAGTAGGTGTCCGGAAATTGGGCATAAAGTGTATTGTACATGCATGTACATGTGTGTAACTGCAGCGCGGCCCAGATTTCGGACACGTATTTTTGTTTGGCCTATTTTCCGATTTTGTTGCCATATGCCAGTTTCATCTCTGTTACATGTATACCCTTTAACGTTTTATCGCCCATTTAGACCAACAAATGGCAGTGGTGGAACTGTGTACCGGCCATCAGTGGATGGCTGCACAACTCCTCTGATAACTCCATTGAGATCTACTGGGACCTGCCCAGTGTTCCTTACAGAGGCCAACTCAAGTCATATCAGGTATAGCAGGGGAAGTTTAAATAATTGATGCCAACTTGTGATTTCAGGGAAGTCAGCACCCGATTTCATCAAACTCTTCGTAACTTATGATGCATCGCAGCGCTGCGACGCGTCGTAACCCTACGATGCGTCGCAGCTGCAACGCGTCCTACGATCCATTTCACAAAACACGTCGTAAGTGCGACGCGTCGTAGGTGTATTTATAGCACAACTCGGTGACTGTTTCATGTATTTAGTCAGCGTACAGTAAATAGTCGTCTGATATTCAACAAAGAGTCGTCGGATCTCAGCTTGAAATTTGTTAAAACGTAAAACAAAAAGGCGGTCGTGCGATGCAATTTTGAAGGAAAACAAGCTCTCATTGGACTGTATAGCTACTTTATAATTTCAACTGCAATATTCCAGTCTGATTTATAATTATTCAATGAATTTTCTATTTACAACTTTACACACATTGCCTCGGTATTATATTCTCGTTTATGTAATGTTTATGGCATTAAACTGGCTAAGAAAGGGACTCTTCTTATTTTGCCATGACCACTAGACACGTCGTAACTTGCGACGTGTTTTAAGCCGTTGTCAAGGAACTTACCATGCGTTCAACACATCGCAACTTTCATGAAATGGATGATACGACGCGTTGTGAGTTGCGACATGTTACACGTCCTAACTCGAGTTGCAAAGCGTCGCAGCGCTTCGTGAAATCGGGTGCAGGTTAATTTGTGCATTTGACATGTCTTGTCTTCCACGGCTGTGACCCAGGATTTAATTCTGCACGGGGCATTGGGTGTTGAGGCTGTAGCTGATTATTCGGGTCTTTGCCTGGAACATCAATGGGAGGAGGGGGGGGGGGGCTTGGTTGGGTGTGTTCCTCCAACCTCTAAAACTAAACATTATTCTTTCTCTTTCGTGCCTTCTCCCTTTAGGTTTCTGCAGGCTTCAAAGTTACACTGGCTGTACACTTTTGAAGGATCGTTGGTGTATTTCAAAAAGAAAAAGAAATAAATGAAATACATATGTATATAAATGTTGAGTTGATGATTCGTGTTGTCAAGTTTAATAAAAGAGAAAGCCCCAAAAGTAAGATTTATTAATACTTGTAATTTGAAAACTTGTATATGTTATATACGTATTGCACTTTGAAATTTCCTCAACCCAACTTGTCATCTGTCCTTCAAACAGCTCTATGTGAATGGAGTCTGCTATCACAATGACCTTCCACCGACTTGCCATAGCATCACTGTAGATGGGTTGACAGGGAACCAGACCTACGTCATATCGATCATTGCACAGCCCAGGGACTCCACACTGCTACCGCAGGAATCAAATAAACTGGTACTAAACTTGATTTATCTTTTTTTTTGTTTTCTTAAGCATGGAAACTGGATTTCTTTTGTTGCCCCTGTTTGACGTCGATAGTAATATAATCATAATAATATTTATATTAAGGATTTGGAAAGTGTACATATTCACCAGTATTTGGGCTGAATCGAAGGTGCTACATTATTATTACCCCGCTCGTTGTGCCAATGAAACATTCCAAAGAACATCTTAGCTCCCTGAGGAGTATACAGCTCGATTCTACCATTTGGATGTAAAGCAGCCAAAATCAATCACAGGTACCCATTTACTCCTAGGTAGGGAGTAGCAATAGTGACAAAGTGTTTTGCTCAAAGACACACACATACCACAACCCCAGGATGGACTCGAACCCACAACGTGCAGAATTATCTGCACTAGAAAGCAGGAGGTCGTGGGTTCGAGTCCCACCCGAGTGATTTTTCCAACTTTCACTCGGGAGATAACACACTGAGTATACAGTGTTTAAACGTCGGTGAAGGGCAAAACCTAATTTGTGACCCGCTCTGCAAAAATGAGTCACGTCTCCGAAGCCACTTCTGAGCTAAAGGTCTTTGAAAGAATGTTGCACAGTGTTTAAGCAATTGGAATCCTCAACATTTTAAATTCTACACAATGTCCATTTTCATCAAACCAAACTGTTGAGGATTCCAATTGCTTAAACACTGTGCAACATTCTTTCAAAGACCTTTAGCTCAAAAGTGGCCTGGAGACGTGACAGAGCGGGTCACATTTGACAGAATTACCCACAAATCTGGAGTTTTTAATAATACCACAGCACTCATTCAAATCCTTTGTTATATTTGATTCTTTCCCCACAGAGAGTGACCTGCCCATCTATCTATGAGCTCGGAGGTCCCATCCTGTCCTGTGAGGTCACCGATCAGGAAGACACCATCAACCTAGTCTGGACAGCGCTGGATTACCTGTACAGCGAGCCCACCAAGTATGTGGTCTATGTTGACGGCAGAGAGACACCCGTTGAGGTAGGTACCAGTGTTGTATTGAGGTTGTTGTTGTCGTATGCGTTCAGCACGCTCTCTCCGCCAGCCACTCCAGGGCAGCTTCCTCGCAGTTGTGTAGGGCTTCGATTCCTCCGTCTAGTCTGGTAATGGGACAGTCATTCACTATGTGATTCATTGTTTGAATCTCTCCACAATCACAGCTTGGAGAGGCGGCGTATCCCCACTGGAACAGGCTGGCGCGGCAGGGTCCAGCGTTCCCTCGATGGCGGTTGAGGAGTGACCACTGGCCTCGGGGAAGAGTTGTGCCTGGCAGTTGTTGAGTGGGGTCAGGCACAAGATGCTTGTTGGGAACATCAGCCTCCTCCCACTTGGCTCTCCAAAGCTGCTCCATGTTGGTGCTGTTGTCTGGAGTGGAGGTCCATATGGGATTTCTTGATCTCAGTCTGAGTCTTGGGTGGTCGTTTATATCGGTGTTGATGGGGAGATCTGGCATTGACGCTATTCTGGTTAATAGGTTTCTTGTGGCCATTTCTCTCCTGACATCTGGCGGGGGGGTGTTACTTAGGACCGGGAGCCAGTCTAGTTTGGTGCATTGGATCGCACCAGATACAGTCCTCATGGCGTTGTTCAGCTGGACATCGACTAGTTTGGTATATTGAGGTGCTTGTGACAGATGACAAGGGCATCACAGGCCTGGTCACAAGTAAATTCAAAAGTATAAAGCACAAGTAAAAGGTGGTAAACAATAAAGGACTGTTTGACTATAGTTTGTGGGTTGATTTGGGACTGTTTGACTATAGTTTGTGGGTTGACTTGGGACTGTTTGACTATAGTTTGTGGGTTGACTTGGGACTGTTTGACTATAGTTTGTGAGTTGACTTGGGACTGTTTGACTATAGTTTGTGGGTTGACTTGGGACTGTTTGACTATAGTTTGTGGGTTGACTTGGGACTGTTTGACTATAGTTTGTGGGTTGACTTGGGACTGTTTGACTATAGTTTGTGGGTTGACTTGGAACTGTTTGACTATAGTTTGTGGGTTGACTTGGGACTGTTTGACTATAATTTGTGGGTTGACTTGGGACTGTTTGACTATAGTTTGTGGGTTGACTTGGGACTGTTTGACTATAGTTTGTGGGTTGACTTGGGACTGTTTGACTATAGTTTGTGGGTTGACTTGGGACTGTTTGACTATAGTTTGTGGGTTGACTTGGGACTGTTTGACTATAGTTTGTGGGTTGACTTGGGACTGTTTGACTATAGTTTGTGGGTTGACTTGGGACTGTTTGTCTATAGTTTGTGGGTTGACTTGGGGCTGTTTGACTATAGTTTGTGGGTTGACTTGGGACTGTTTGACTATAGTTTGTGGGTTGACTTGGGACTGTTTGACTATAGTTTGTGGGTTGACTTGGGACTGTTTGACTATAGTTTGTGGGTTGACTTGGGACTGTTTGACTATAGTTTGTGGGTTGACTTGGGACTGTTTGACTATAGTTTGTGGGTTGACTTGGGACTGTTTGACTATCGTTTGTGGGTTGACTTGGGACTGTTTGACTATAGTTTGTGGGTTGACTTGGGACTGTTTGACTATAGTTTGTGGGTTGACTTGGAACTGTTTGACTATAGTTTGTGGGTTGACTTGGGACTGTTTGACTATAGTTTGTGGGTTGATTTGGGACTGTTTGACTATAGTTTGTGAGTTGACTTGCGACTGTTTGACTATAGTTTGTGGGTTGACTTGGGACTGTTTGACTATAGTTTGTGGGTTGACTTGGGACTGTTTGACTATAGTTTGTGGGTTGACTTGGGACTGTTTGACTATAGTTTGTGGGTTGACTTGGGGCTGTTTGACTATAGTTTGTGGGTTGACTTGGAACTGTTTGACTATAGTTTGTGGGTTGACTTGGGACTGTTTGACTATAGTTTGTGGGTTGACTTGGGACTGTTTGACTATAGTTTGTGAGTTGACTTAAGACTGTTTGACTATAGTTTGTGGGTTGACTTGGGACTGTTTGACTTTAGTTTGTGTTGACTTGGGACTGTTTGACTATAGTTTGTGGGTTGACTTGGGACTGTTTGACTATAGTTTGTGGGTTGACTTGGGACTGTTTGACTATAGTTTGTGGGTTGACTTGGGACTGTTTGACTATAGTTTGTGAGTTGACTTGGGACTGTTTGACTATAGTTTGTGGGTTGACTTGGGACTGTTTGACTATAGTTTGTGGGTTGACTTGGGACTGTTTGACTATAGTTTGTGGGTTGACTTGGGACTGTTTGACTTTAGTTTGTGAGTTGACTTGGGACTGTTTGACTATAGTTTGTGGGTTGACTTGGGGACTGTTTGACTATAGTTTGTGTGTTTACTCGGGACTGTTTGACTATAGTTTGTGGGTTGACTTGGGACTGTTTGACTATACAGGGTGTATCAAAAAAAAGTATACACTTAGAGAAATGTATCAAAAAACGATGTTTTATAATTTTTCAAAAATCTGTCACTAAATATTGATGGACCAAGGTCTTACGCTTCAATTGCCACCACGTCAATCTTCAGCTATTCCGCATGAGTGAACACTAGCTATTTACTTTCACCAGATTTGAATTGGCTTGCGCACAAAAGTGAAATGGTTAAAACATAATCAAACACCGTGGTAGGGAAGTTTAGGCATGTGCTTTGTTGCTCACTAATTTTCAAGAAAATTGGATTAACCCTTAGTCCTCCACAGGCCCACCAAGTTTGGACTCAAGTTGCGCCTTCCTCAAAACATTAACAACAGCATGACCTTACAAGTCAATGATTAGGCCTAATGGTAATCGTCATGAGGGAATGCAACGTTTGCACTTCATGCATGCACGATTCAGTCTTCGACGTGGCCACCATTTCTTTGCACACAGACTTCTGCCCAGAAGTGCGTCAAGCATGCGGTCGGCATAAGTCGGGTGCGTCCGGAATACGCTCGGTATGCGCACTGCATACTGACCTATTTGCAGCCCGAAAAATAATGTTGTGCACTGCATACGCAACTCGTACGCATCTCATACGCAATGGATGCGCTGAATTCGTTACTTGTATGCTAGATGTGCGTCGCACATAAGTCAAAGTGATCAAAACATTTCAACGTTAATTGAGCGTACGGCTGCGTATTTTTGATAAGGAACTCATAAGGAATTGGGATACGCAAAGGTGTGACAGGGGCTATAGATTTTGAGCACGGTTGTTGCTTCAAATGAACAAAATGCACAAATTACAAATGATGGACTGTACCGTTAAAGATAGCGTATATCATTTGTCATTGGTGCATTTTTTTTGTTAGAAGCAACACAAGTGCTTAAAATCTAAAGAAGGGTATTAAACTACTAACCTGATGCAGTTTTAGCTCAGAGAATGCTGTATATTCCGAGAAAACTATAATCCTGGATCTCGATTTCAGTTCAAGAGTTACGGGGTCATGTTTTGAATTGCGCCCGAAATCAGCGTCCAGTTCACACTCTCATACAACCTATTGCAGCTATGCGATGTCACGCACTGAATCGACGAATAATAGCAACTGCGCGCATGTGTGCGCGGGTGTCAATGCTTTCTCGCACTCATTCAAGGCTTTGCTGAATTAAAAATGAGCTACTAACGGAAATTTCCAAAAATGCGTCACCAGATGCATCTTTGGAAATGGCCTTCTTTTGTTGTTTTCTTTAAATGACAGCATGCCAGAAGAATGATTTCACAGGGAGTTTAGAGCCATTACTATCTTTATACCAAGTAAGCTTTCAACAATAATTTGGTCGGTTACTTTTTTGATATAGCTACGAATGATATACTCTACCATTAATTGCTTGCTATGCACCGTGTAAACATTTCTATCTCTCTCTGAATGAAGACTTGAGTGTTGTTCCGGATTGTGCTCATATTCCTTGTACATGATGGTTTTCCGATTTTCCGATTCAACAGACCAAGACAATCGGTGACTACAAGAAGTGCCAGCTGATTCTACCTCACAGAGAGGTACATGAGGCACCTCTTGCAGTATTCATACTGGCACTGCCTGGAGAGAAGCAAAGTACCGGTAAGTCTTCCCAACTGAAATTGTTTGTAAGGTCACACGTACAGGGGTTGAAACATGAAAAGGAACGCCATGATCATAGTTAGTTTTAATAAGGGAATAACAGTGTGAGGATCCGGTCTTCACTGCATGATAATGACCGGCTTTGGGGTGACCGCTGCTTTCGTCTCGGTCCATTAACAGCGGTCACCTCCAAACCCGGTCATTATCACGCAGTGAAGACCGGATCCTCACACTGTTATTCCCGTTAATAAATACCTTTTCAACGAAATAAACAGTTAAAATGCTCCAATTTTGTGACTTTTCTGTCGACAATATTTCTAGACTTTTTTTTGTTCATGTTCATGGGCCATATTTTAGCTTTTGGTGAAAAGCCCATACTGCTGTACGATGTTGTTTGAACGCTTTCTCACGCGCGCGCACCCATAGTAACTGTTTTGCAACGTGCGCGTAAGGCTTCACGCGATGGTTGTTGAGCACATGTGCAGTGTTGTATTGTTACAAGCTGCCGTAGGACTGTTGTAAATTTGGCCAATCATTGCCTTCCATGGGGCTGGATCAATGCTGGTTCAGGGGCCATTTATTGGCTCGTTCTTTGAAGCCGGTCTTTATATCACCGTTAATACACCCCACGTGATCGAGTCTCGACCAATCAGAAGCCATCAACTCTCCATGGTATTTATTAATAAAATGTTGCTACATTCTTTAGGGGAGTGTGTGGCCTAGTGGTTAGGGTTCGTGACTCATGATCAGAGGTCCGGGGTTTGAATCCAGCCGCTGGTCATATATTGTGTCCTTGGGCAAGGCACTTCACCCCCACCTGCCCCTCTCCACCCAGGAGTATAAATGGGTACTGGCATTAGCTGGGGAGTAACCTGCGATGGACTAGCATCCCATCCAGGGGGAGTAGAAATATTCTCAGTCGTTTCATGCTACTGAAACCGGAGATAAACGCCGGCCTGATGAGCCACATTGGCTCGGGACAGACTTTAGGGCCTGTGACCATTCAGCCCCGGTATGAAAAGGGCCCCCCGGTAAGCTCGCCCCCTCCCAAGAAGTCCTTTCGTACCGTCCCAGCTACCGGCCTAGGAGCTGGTCCAGTTGCTAATCAGGAACTCCTCCATCCTGGGGTCTATTGTTTGCAAGTATTGACACATGTAATATATCCCAGAAGAAACCTGCTTGTGGTTTTCATCTCTCAGTGCGAAACAATAGAACACTTTCGTCGGCACAGATCAAAACCCCTACCATGCGGCTTCGCGCACAATGGGACTGTAAATTACCAAGGCGTTATGGAAGGATTTTATCTTTAATCTGGTAAGTCTGCTATTGTTCTGCTCTGGACGTTCTCTGAAGGGCAATAAATTGATGCGCCTGACTGACTTCAAAACTTCTAGTCAGACAGGACAATGTACCGGACGAGACTGGGCTGAAGATCGGACTGGCTCTGGACCGGACGGGGTACCGGGGGGCCCTTTTCATACCAGGGCTGAATGGTCACGGTCCCTTACTTACTTACATTCTTTAGACCTGAGACAGGATGACTCTTGGTTGACTTGTGCTGACCTGTGAGCACTATATAACTGCAGTACCTGTTGCTATTACAGACTAATCTAGCTATGGGTATGATCGTGGTGCCACGCTCAAGCTCATGTCGCATGCATTCTTATTTTGAGGGGCAGGTTACCCCTTGAGAACAAGTTTGATGCCAACTAAGCAATGATTCTAGTTTTTGATACCAGGCTTCCATTGATAAGCTTAGTAGTCGAGTGCTAAATTGTCTGCTATAAAGTAAACAGAAGGTCATTTGTTCAAGTCCCACCAGAGTTTACGTGTGATATTTTATCACAAGCATTTAGATAGCACTTATTATATAACCGAGATACAGATCCTAGTCATTTGATTGGTGGAACTCACATCGCGTGACATTCGTTATTGCTCCCATTCACGCCACGGCTCAAAAAGTACTATCCGCCCATGGGGAATGGGAAATGCTATTGAACAATTAGGATCATTCTTGTTCTATGACGCAGTATTTGCGTGCAAATGCATGCTGGTGTGCGCGTTCAGCGTTGCGCATGACGCGTATTGTTCCAAAGGGCCAGCGCTACAGCGTTGGGTTCAAACATTTTCGTGAAGGGGTGGTTTGGAAGAGAGAAATACATTTTCCTCCGTTTTGTATTGAAATAAAAGTTCAAATATATCAAATGACAAGGATCTATATGTCAGTTATATAAAACAAATATTGAGTGGCTATAAATTGTGAAATGGGAGAAATATTATCGCTCGGTGAAATCTGGACTTTTCCAGTTCACTCGGCTTCGCCTCGTGAAATGGAACAGTCCAGATTTTACCTTGCGATAATATTCCTCCCATTCCACGCTGAGCTACTCAATATTTGTATAATATACTTTCCGTACATGATTTGTCATTGGAAATAGTAAAACCGTAGATTGAAAGTTTGCTGAATTCTATTTTCTAACCTTCAGATGTATCAGACGGCTTCCTATCCAATGAGCTGCAGCTGATCCTGCCACTCTGTCTGGACAACATCCACCTGCCTAACGGTGGCAGCCTGGCAGGCAAGCCATTCCTGATCATCAAGGAAGGACAGGGCAGACCTCCAGGTAATATGAACCTCCAAAAGCGGTGGTCATCTGTATCTGTATATTATAGTCGGTAAAGCATCCCAGGGGAAACATCACACAGAGAGAAGACAATGAAAAGAAATTACAGTTTTAGAGGTGGGTGGAAAAGCCCAGAACGTATTCTGGGGAAAACCTACAGAATCAGGTAGGGACTTTTATCATATTGTATTACACCAATTTTGTTGTATATTTTCAGATTCTAAGACTGACCTCTTGCTGTCCGTTGAGCAACGGGAGAGTTTTGATGGCTCAGTGTCTACGCTTACTCAAGGCAATGTCCCTCAAGAAGACTCCAATGTTGCTGTGCCCAACAGATCCATGGAATGGTAAGTCACAAACTAATGACGGCATTAACCCTAACCCACCTCACTCCTCCAAAATCCTCCTGGCGGTTTTGGAGGATTCTAGAGGATTGAGGATGAATGGTGATTGAATCAAATGAGGATTCTGGAGGATTGAGGATGAATGGTGATTGAAGCACATGAGGATTTTGGAGGATTGAGGATGAATGCATTTTGAGGCAGGACTGTCTGATGATTTTGAAGGATTTGGCGTTGGTTATCCTTCATTTAAACACGAGTGCACAGTTTTGGGATGAGGAGGATTTTGGAGGATTGAGGATGAATGCATTTTGAGGCAGGACTGTCTGACAATTTAGAAAAATTTAGGCGGAGTTGCAAAATTTTGGAAAATTTTGGAGGATTTTGGAGGATTGAGGATGGTTGTAAGCAACAAGGGCCTAGGGGGTTAGGGTTAATTCTAGTGTTTCATATACATGTACAAAAATGTTAGCATTTCCTCTAAATTGTATCACGTGCATTGTTTTTATTCCTTGAACAATCTATAAAAGCCTTACAGTGCTGGTGCGGTGGTTTGAAACACAAGATACAAATTCGTTCTGCAATAGCGATATTTGGTTTGTATTTAGAATGCAAAGTGTTCCTCGTGTCATTGCAGCGACAGTTGTCTGGAATTGAAACTTTTTTGCCGATAGAACTTATACTCAGCCAACTAACAATTGAGTACTTTGGTCATTAACCGTTTAGCCACTGTAGCCCCCAAAACTGCCCTGCCAATTACTCCCTGTATAGCGCCGAAACTGCTTGAGCACTCGATATTAATTAATACAATATAATACATTATTATTTATATCAGGCTTCCGGCGGTAAAAATAAATCAGCATATTGTATGCTTTCATAAAAAGTTGACTGCAATAACATTGTTATTGCAGTCAATCTGGGCATTTTCGCAGGTTCCCGCTTGATCAAGAGCATAGAGAGTCACAGTTGTCAACCACTCAACAGAGCGTAGCGCACGCGCGTACCGTCCAACACGGAACACGCCGCGCGCATGCAGCGCGCAGAAGGCCAGGTATAGGCGCACTGTTGTTAACAATTACAGTGGCAGCTTCAAAACGTTTGATGTAAACGAAAAAGATGTAATGAAGACAGTGTCTTGAATTGTGCTTCTTGCGGATAAGTCAGCCTGATATAAATAATAATAATAATATTGGATGGCTTGTTTTCGGTGGATACAAGAATATATTGCACTCGCTATGACATTATTGCACTCGTCTTCGACTCGTGCAATATTGTCATAGCTCGTGCAATATATTCTTGTATCCACCTCAAAGCCATCCAATATTATATAAATGTAGCACAGATGCTAATGGGTTAAACCTTTTATTTGAATAGAATTATCAAAGTCATATACGTACAATATTTGGCAGTAAACTTTGCACATGTATTTGAAAAGTACTACTACAACACTGACTAATAGAGAGCACATTTTCTTGAAAAATTCTCAGCCCAGCACAATGTTACATCTTAGAGCAGATTATTTGTATTACTAGTCTGACCTTTTCCCTGAGAGATTGTGTTAACTTTTTTCGCAATAGTGAGGAGACTTTCAACCGCACAGGGACAGAGGTGCAGACGAACACCCAACAAGACACCGGCATGGACAGTGAGCCCCAACACGCACAAAACCCATCAGATTCCGACAGCGTAAGCAATGCATGCATGGACATGAGCGCTAAGACCGGTCCCGCTGGTCCCCAGCATTCTATACAAAACCATAAGATTGGCCATAGCATGCCCGAGACCCCAGATAAGGGAACCAGGGAAAATTATTCGGCAGCCGCAGATGTTTCAAGCACCAATAAAACAAATCCAGTTGACCCAGAACAAATAGATAACACTGCTGGCAAACTTACCAGCTTGAACATTTTCGATTCTCAGCTTTCCATCGGCAGAAATCATGCAGGCAGTAGTGAGGCCCATGATGATTGTGGTAACTTAGAGGCCAAATCCCACCCGAGTGTTGAAAATACATTCCCGGACCCCCAGCCCCCAAAGATAACTGAAAATTCGCATCCCAATTCCGAAACCAAGTTACAGGCCAATGGTAGAAACGAGCACGTTGATTCAAAGAGAGAAACTAAAATCCCTGATGAAGCCGAACTTGATGATGAAACTGGAGCAGTGTTTGAAACAATGGTTGAAAATAGGGGATCAACACCTCCACCGAATGATGATCAGGCTACAGAAATTGCAGAAAACGTTTGCAATGATCAAGAATTCCACACAGCTGATGTTAATGTTCAGCCCCCTGAAACGGCCCCGTTAATTCAACCCAATAAAAGCGAAACTGATAGAGACAGTGGTGGAATGCATGCTAGTAGGGTAGCTGAAAGTGATCAGTCTGTGTTGCATGATGGTGTGTCATATTGTGATCACAGTGTATTACCAGTGCATGAGAACCCAGTAAAAAGCTCCAATGAAAAAACTGGAACTGAGAATTGCGATCGGGAAAAAGGTCTCGTGGTCCCTAGTCTGCCCCAGCGTACCGCAGAGCAGAGAGTAGCGGAATCAGAGCAAAGAGGCGAGGAACAAGACCACAATGGACACTGTGGTGATGACTGGCATGGTGGTGATGAGGCTATAGCTGTGCATGATGAAATAAACGCAGAAACTTTGCATGATGATTGTGGTGGCATTGGTAGCGGAGAACCAGTTAAACAGCAGGTATCTGCATTTGTAATCACTCCATGTAACAAGCTAATCTCACCTCGGGTTTGTTTGTTGTGCTTGACTCTTCTTGTAAATTAGTAGCTGTTCTAACTTCTAACCAAAATGTCCATTGTTCTCATCGCATCCATTTCTCTGTTTTCATTCACGCCCACTGATAGATTTCCGAGGTTGAAATTTTGTGTCATATTTTATTTTTATTTTTTTCATGAATTGATTGTGATACCAATTCCTTTTCTTTTTTTTTTACAATTCTCTTTCTAAATAATGAAAGGTTTGCGGAAACACCATGTGCGAATAATTTCTCAACTAAGAGAATGGTTCTGAAAAGAACCAGAGGTATACACTCGACGTTCCAGTCAGTATGCTCTGACCGTCTTCAGGAGAGTTTATACTGTCGAGTTTATACCTCTGGTTCTTTTCAGAACCATTCTCTTAGTTGAGAAATTATTCGCACATGGTGTTTCCGCAAACCTTTCATTATTTAGTATCTCCACCATGCAAAGCCTCAAATCTTACTTAATTCTCTTTCTGTTTTTTCCCCCTTTGAGGCAAGAAATGTACATTAAGTGGAAAAAATGTTGCAACCTGACGCCACTTTTTTTCTTCATATACATGTATCATCTCAATAAAGGTCAGTCATTGCAATGATGATAAGACACAAATCTGGGACTGAGAAACACTTTTAATTTGTTAGGAAATACTTGGAAAATGTTCTTGACTCTCCATAGACTTTGTGCACGACCGCTGAAATGGCGTCAGGTTGCAACATTTGTTCCCATTTAGTGATTTTGCAGAGTTGCTTGTCTGCACCTCTTGCTGGCACAAACTGTATTTTTATTTTTGTAAGTCGTGCACTTGCATTTTTTTTCAGCAATTTCACAAGTTGTTAAATTGTTTATCCCAAAAGTACATGTATACTTGTCACATCTCAGTGTGAGCATATGCAGTTTGATTACCGTACCTACTGCAGTGTGAATACTTGGCTTGAAATCAGAAAGAAGCTTTTGTTTTGACCCTTTATACAATATACAAATGTAGACCCATCAAGCAATCGCCATAAGGCATGTAAGGCCAAGTTCGGGCAAGGACCATTAGTCGACTAGTGGTTGATTTGTGACGTACATGTACCTTACGCCTGTGCACTGATAGCAATATGCAAACGTCTTTAGTCAAACGCTGGTCAAAATGTCATCGCAAAACTTCTGGATCCTGGCTCTCTGCTAGCGTTATGAATGCGCGCGGCTATTGGTTACCAGCGAAGCAACCAACCCCAGTAGGCTGGTTCCAAATAGTCGACTAGCGTAGTCAACCACCGTTGACTAGACAGAGTTCGGGCAAACGTTAGTTAACCATTGGTCAACTATAGTCCTTGGGCGAACTTGGCCTAAGGTGACACCTTACTCATGGGCATGTCGCGCTTGTTCTTAATGTGAGGCATGCATGTACTTTCAAACCTAGTGGTCGAAGAATCTGTGTGTGCACATGACACCTGCCCACGATCCTTGCGCCACATGTTTTTTTTGGTGTCATTTATATTGTCTGGTAAGGTTATATACTCCTTGCACTAATAATTATTTAATATACTTATTATTAATTTTTCAATTTAGCATGAGACAGTCTCCCTACCAAAACCCATTGTGAGTGTCCGCAGCCAGCCCACCACTGCAGAGCTAAACATCCGCTGGCAGATTGCATCTTGTGAACACACCCCCTATGGTCTGCATCACTACAATGTGTGCATAGTGGGGAGGAAATTTGAAAGCAGCATCACCAGCCATGCCAGGTAAAGTCCGCTGGCTTCCAGATTGACCACAGAAGCAAGACTTTGATCAAGAGTAAAAGATTCAAGTACATGTTATCTACTGCCCATATCAGATTCGAAGCTGCGAGCTAATAATCCCAGTCCCCTGTTTTCTCATAGTGTGGTCATTGCTGAAAGGCTGTCTCGGCATACTTATGATTCTTTGTTTCTCATAATCCCTTAAAAGTTGCTTGTTATGGGCTACTGCTGTTGTAAGAGTGTTGCCTTTTTTAAAGGTATAGTCCATCATTTGTAATCTGTGCATTTTGTTCGTTTGAAGCAACAAAAGGGTGTTGAACAACTAACCTGATGAAGTTTCAGCTCAGCTTCAGCTGTATATTTCGAGAAAACCCAACATTCTAGGATCTCAATTTCAAATCAAATTGGGCCTGAATTCAGCGTCCGAGACACGTTCTTACTGAACCGATTGCAGCTACGCGATGTCGCGCACTGATCCGACAAATTATAGCAACCACGCGCACGTGTGCGTATTGCCAATGGTTGCGCGCGCTTCGCCGAATAAAAAAATGAACTACTAACGGAAATTTCCAACGGTGCTTCTTAAGACGCACCGTTGGAAAGGCCTTCTTTTGTTGATTTCTTCATAATGACAGCTTGCCAGAAAGAATAATTTCACAGCGAGTTCAGTCCCCTTACTATCTTTTAACCAAGTATGTTTTTCAACAATAATTACGCCAATTACTTTTGGATAGCTGCAAATGATGGACTCTGGCTTTAACTGATGTTTTCTATTATTAAAATATGTCGGCGCAGGGTTAAACCACGGATCCTTTACACAAGGATAGCCGACTCATCTGTTTGTGTACAGAATGTACAGAACGGTTTGTCTACATGCGTGGTATGCCGCGTCCACGCATAAAACAATACATAGAAGGCATCTAACCAGACATTTGGGGAAGTCGTGTATCCTTGTGTAGAGGTTCCGTGGTTAAACTGAATATTAACAGTGCCTTTTTGAGTTCCACGTTCAGATTTACATCGAGATTGTAAAGCCCGCTTCATACTTCATGTGAAAACGAATGCGAAGCAAATTTGACTTCATGAAACATTCACTGCGAAATTCGCCCTAGTTGAAATGTGTTCAATTTTTACGAATTCGCATCGTGAATACTCTCCATGACGTCACAAATTTGCGTTCGCTTTCGCTTTTGCACCGAGTATGAACCAGGCTTTAGGCTTTGTGCACATTCATTTGGAAAAAAAATAGCATATATGCTCTAGCTCCTGCTGTTGACACAGATGATTTACACGAAACTTACGCCAAAGGGGGACAGGATAGACAGTTTAATGGAGATACATATAGAGTGAAGATACATACTGAAGCGATCACTAAACCCAGGGCTCGAAATATCCACTGGACCGTGGACCATGTCTAGTGATTTCAGCGTCGGTCTAGTGCAGTGTATGACTGCACTAGTCCGGCTGTCTAGTGTTCTTTCCTCATGTTGTCTAGTGTTTTTTTTTTTTTCAGTTGAGGTCTGATTAATAGCGTGCTTTGAGTTCATTACTTGATTGATTAAAATTACCGAAAAAAGTCCCTGTGCCGTGCCCAAAGGCAAGAAGCTGCCTGGCCAACGCGCCAATCATGCCATGCCAGTTGCAGACAAACGTACGTACATCCCATACAGTACATGTTCCTTGATGCTCCGTTGGTACGATGTCGCACGCGATGTCGCGCCACCACAACTTAGATTGGTAGCAGTACGCTGTATTTATATTACTGCTGTATTTCCCTATTAAACGTCCAGGTTCACTGGAGCCTCGATCTCGCAACTTTACACAATAAATATAGCCGGTTCAGTGATTCCCGTGTCGGGGTTCAGTGATTCTCTTGTATACACGGGAATCACAGAACTGGCTATTTGTATTGTGTAAAGTTGCCAGATCGAGGCTCTGCATGCTTATGGCGGAGCGTGCAAAGAGGGAATTCACGATAATAAGAATTGCGCAGGACAAGAGGGATGATACCGAAACGATCACAAAACACGAGATCGCTTCGGCACCAGTAAATCTGGTCCCAGCTGGACAATACTTTCATTGTCTCCCCAGACTACAGTCACTTGATTGCATGCTGTGTTTTTTTCCTTCTTTCTCACAAGAAGACCACCTAGTGGCATCTACTGGTCCTGCACATAAGTCCAAAAATTACAGGTTGCATTTCTCTACACATGGTTATCAAATGGATGGTTGTACCATAGAGCAAGGACCCAAGGAGTTCGTACTCCAAGACTTCAAAAGTAAAATGATGGTCGCCGCGCTCGAAAGCTACAATAGAAAGCACCTGGCGCCAGCTTGCTCAGTTGCTCACTACGCTAATCTCGACACAATAGAGATCCGCGCTCACTAATGCCAAAAAAAGGAGTTTGCATGGCTTCGTAGACAGTACCATGAAAAAATACACATGCGCAGTTGTCATACATCGCTAAAAATGAATGATTTTGAAGTGTTTGTTCGGAGTTGGCTAATACTGGCTAACAATGTGGTCAACATCACTGAAACAATCATTATCTGAAAGAAATCCAATTTATCTCCAAATTACAGGGACAGATAACGCTTTTAAGCACCAACAACTGCACATTGCTAACTTGAGTTCATAACTCACATCTAACAACTGCGCAGTTGTAAAAACCTATCTTGTCGTAAAATATATTTTTCAAAAAAGAGCAGCGACGTGACATGACTTATTATGCAGCATATAGGGAGGTTGTTGGTTACCAACTAAAAAGGCGGCGACGATCATCGTGTTCAAAGGCCGCTGGCATCGGCTTTGAATGGTCGAGGCTTGCGGTCACAGTGCTGTAGCTATAGACATTCCCGAGGGATTGGTATGTTAATGGTCAAAATGTAAATCGCCCAAGAGTTCTGACTCCTTGGGTCCTTGCTCTATGTTTGTCCTATGAAACTGATTCTCGCGTTATTGTATTCTAACATGAGTTCTGATTGCTGATGCTGAGTTTCCATTCTGACTTTGTCATTGTGCAGGCAAGAAGTGTCGACAGACTCTGGAGAGACTGAGATACAGCACAGTTGGAATGCAGGCAGGGGACAAGTCTTTGTACCCACAGGACTCTCAGAAAACACAGCTTACAGGTAAGAGGCCAACTTATCCAATGTGTTATAAGATGGAATTTTATAGTTTATGCGGTACCCGCTGCTATGTACATCAGATTCGAACCAGCCAACTGATCCCGTTAGCTCGGTGGTCGAGTGGTAAGACGTCTGCACCAGAAAGCAGGAGGTCGTGGGTTCGAGTCCCACCCGAGTGATATTTTACCATCTTTCGCTCGGGAGGTAACACACTGAGTATACAGTGTTTAAACGTCGGTGAAGGGCAAAACCTCATTTGATTTATCCAATGTGATCGAAGGGAAGCTCCCCTATCCTCAAAATCACTTTGTTACATTTCAAAGTAATAATGTCATCAAACCTGGAAATACATGTACTTAACGGGAACTTTAAGATGTTGTTAATGGATACAGTTTGCAATTAGGAATTATGACATCCCATTTACATGTGAATAAACAAATACGAATTAAATTGTAATGCTTATATCGCGTTTTCCATCCTATCAACAATCTCAAAGCGCTTTTCAATTATTCCCCCGTTCAGGCCACGAGACCACGGCAGCTGATAGCAGTGCACATTTGGTCCTCTACCCTTACGTACCCATTCATACGATACTCCGATGTGAGGAGAGGCAATTGTAGTCAAGTGTCTTGCCAAGGGCCTGGCAGGGTTGAACCCACGCACCAGCATACATGAGTCAAAGACCGTAACCACTGGACCATGGCATTTCTGACTTTCTTCTTCCATTTTTGTTTTGCTATTTAAAGCCTGAGATTGAGGAATTGTTTCTGTTCGATACAATAATTTTGCTTAGAATAATATCTTAATCCAGTGTAATAAAAAAAAAAATAAAATCCATAAATAAAGAAAAGCTAAAAAAAACGAACAAACCAAAACACCCCCCCGCAAAAAAAAATATAAATGCAAAAGAAATTCACAATTTTTGTTGATACAGTTAGAAGCTCAAAATCATGACCTTTTCAGATTGAATTTTCATTCTTTTTTAATTCATCAAGGGTATCAGTAAATGCCACTTACCACCACAAAACTACCTCCCACCGCGGCCACGTCAAGCGAGTCTCCCACCCCGTGCTCTGCACCACGGGCGGCACACCCCAGCCCCCGTGCCTCGTGGCCCGCGCCGTGGGGTTACAGGAGGTCACGCTGGGCTGGGAGCCTGGCCGCTGCCATGAGGACATCGACGTCATGGGGTACCAGCTGACGCGGAACGGCAAACCGATGTCAGAGATAATACCTTATGGCAAGATGGAGAAGACCATCAAGAACTTACAGCCGGGTGAGATTTTGTCATTGTTTTGTTTTTCTTTGTTTTGGTTTTGTTTTGTATCTTTATATTTTGTTTGTTTTGTTTTGTTTCTATTCCCAGAACAGCTTTGCTTCTTTTTTGTTTATGGTGTATTGATAAAAGCAAAATGATTGCAGAATTATTGAGATAATGAATTGATATAATAATACTAATACTAATAATAATAATTTGGGAGGCTAATCATCCTTACTCATCGAAGGATGCGGCTATTTGTGGTCGGGCCGCTGGCACGTAAAGGCGCCTATGGCTGCCGGCTACATCGACCCATATATGACCACGGAGCACAGCCTGAGATCGAAAGTGTTTGATTTTTATGGAGGGAGAAAAACCAGAGGGCTCGGAGAAAAACCCTCGTGGCACAGGAGAAAACCAACGCACAACTCTACTCACATGTGATCCGCGGCCAGTCTTCGAACCGTGGTCGCCTTGGTGAGAGGCGAGCGTTTTACGCACAAGCCACCCATGCCACCCGAAATATACGTTATGGATGGGTACACATGGACTCACCTGACTCGACTCGAAGTGCCATGCTGATGTCCTCTGCTTGACTGAGTCACTAAATGACTAACTGTATCACTGAGGATAAATAATGTACTAAAAATGAAACCTTTGAATTCTAGCTCAACAAGGGTGGCCTAGTCTTTTATTTTATTTCATTTTTTATTCTTCCCTCCTCTAAAAATAAACTTGTATTCCTACTGAGACAGATGCGCTAAGATTGCTTGAAAATGTTTTGACATAATGTTACTTTGCAAAAACCGAAGGAAATAAACATGTAGAATGCCGTGGTCCAGTGGTAACGGTGTTTGACTCATGTACGATGGTGCGGGGGTTCGAACCTGATGTATGTGCTCTTTGGCAAGACACTCATCTACAATTGCCTGTCTCCACCCAGGAGTATAAATGGGTACCTGTGAGGGTAGAGGGCCAAATGTGGGCTAACATCGGCTGTCGCGTGGTCTCTTGGCCTGATGAACGGGGGAGTAATTGTAAAGCGCTTTGAGATTGTTGATTCGACGGAAAGTGCTATAAAAGCATTACAATTTGTTTATTAAAAAAAAAAATAATAATAGATAAATAAATAAATAAATAAATAAATAAATAGAAATGAAACGACTATTATGAGTTTGGGAACACTACAAGAGGATTATGTTAAGGAGAATACACGAGGAAGTGTGGATTCGTAATTGAAGAATTCACGAGGCGTGAAGCGCCGAGTGAATTCTTAAATTAAGAATCCACACTTGCGAGTGTATTCTTCGACTTAAACCATTGCGTCAACAGAAGTGTTGGAAAGAATGTTGCAACTTGACGCCACTTTTTTCTACATATATCATCTCAATGAAGGTCATTTGTTGCAAAAATGATGATAGGACATGAATCTGGGACTGAGAAATGTTTCCAATTTTGTTAGGAAATACTTGAAATGACTCTCCATAGACTTTGTACACAAGCACGGAAGTGGCGTCAGGTTGCATCATTTTTTCCTAGCGTGTTTAGCATGTGTATAACACACCCGTACAACCAAGCCATTTTGTGTGTATCGGCTTCTTACATCAAGATGAATAGTTCAGATGACGATTTCTTTCTGACTAAAAGTAGATTTTGCAGTGACGGCGGAGAATCTGACAGTGAAGATGCATTGGTAATTTTCGGAAAGCAAATTTTCACGCAGACGGTCCTATTCATGCTCATTATGGAGAACAATTGTTCGACGTGTTAAAAGTGTGGATTCGTAATTCCGAATCCACACTTTACTAAAGATTCGTCGTTCCGAGTGTAAGAGATTCATAGATCTGAATCCACACTTTTAACAATAGTGTGATGTCATAGCAATGGTTTAAGTATATTGAATGATTTTCGCAGGTGCCAAGCACTATTTCACCCTATCGATGGTGACCACCAATGCTGGCCAGACCAAAGCCTCCAACCTCATCACCGTCACCTGTCCAGAAGTCCCTGACCCCCCAGCCATCCGGCAAGAGCCCTCAACAGATGACCGGTCTGCTGTCATCGTGTGGCATCGACAGAAGAACAAACAGCTCACCCATTACCAGTGAGTTCACACAATAGAAAGAGATTGCGCATATAACAGGATACACAAATGAAATAACAGTTATTGGCATTACATTGTTTTTCATCGTGAACACTTGTGCGTATGCTTAAAGGTATAGTCCATTATTTGTAATTTGTGCATTTTGTTAGTTTGAAGCAACAAACGTGCTAAAAATCTACAGAAGGGTGATGAGCGACTAACCTGATGAAGTTTCAGCTCAGCTCTAGCTGTATATTTTAAGAAAAACAGCATTCTAGCATCTCGATTTCAAATCAAAAGTTGCCGAATCGTGTTTTGAATTGGGCCTGAATTCAGCATCCAAGACACGTTCTTACTGAGCCGAATGCAGCTACGCGATGTCGCGCACTGATCAGACGAATTATAGATGGCGCACATGCGTGTGCGTCGTGTCAACGCTTGTGCGCGCTTGGCTGAATAAAAAACGAACTACTAACGGAAATTTCCAACGGTGCGTCTTAAGACGCACCGTTGGAAAGGCCTTCTTTCGTTGCTGTCTTCAAAATAACAGCATGCCAGAAAGAATAATTTCACAGGGAGATTAGTCCTCTTACTATCTTTCAACCAAATGTGTTTTTCAACAATAATTACGTCAGTCGCTTTTCGGATGGCTGCAAATGATGGACTATAGCTTTAACCACCAGGAAACCATTAGTATGTTACATGTACAAGTGTATTACCTAATATCAGGCTTTCAAGTATTCCTTCTTTTCCTTATTTTTTTTTTACCTTGCTCCTACTTTTTCTTTTTCTTCTCATGAAATTCCTACTTTTTCCCTACTTTTTTGCCCCACAACTTCAAAAAATGAAATCGTGTTAAATATTTTTCATAACCGTGTTACGCACTGTCATATGTAAATCACACAATGAAGGGCTTGGGCGCAGGAGTACCGGAACAGCAGCTGTACTTCCAAGAGCTTAGTTAAGGAGCTTAGTTGAGGATGGAGCACAAGTGTTGTGAGTACAGAACATGCCAAATGAGGCTTATGGTGCTGTGGACATGCATATATATATCAACGAAAACTACTCCTGAAAGCCTGCAAAAGTCCTACTTTTATCGTGACTTTGTCTTCCAAAGTCCTTGTTTTTGTCCTACTCTTCTCCTTCTTTTTCACCTGCATCTTCTTGAAAGCCTGCAATATATTTCAGCATACGTAGGGCCTTGAAAATAATAATAATAACTTGTGTTTAACACTGTCCTTTCTTCACACAGGGTGTACATTGATAGCAAGCTGCATGGGGAGGTGAAACCTAAGACATCCAAGAAGCATGCATACCAGAAGTACACGCTGCGAAACCTGAAAGCAGACGGCCATCAATACAAAGTGACAGTCAAGGTAAATATTAGAATGTCAGATTACACCAGATAACCACATATTCACAAGCTTCCACGGTGAGTAGTAGGAATGCCAGTTTAGGCACATGGATTTATGGGTTAACCAACCTCTGTCTGATATGACTACTTAATAACTTTTTACCCATTTGAAACATGTACCAGGCCCATGCAGGCTGGACCTCCATGAAGCAGGACCAACCCACTGAAGTAACCTGTGGTGTCCTGAGCACAGAGTCCAACCAGCTCACCGTGGCCTGCTCCACAATGCTACCTGTGTCTCTGGACCTGAGACTAGAGTGCATTCACTCCGATGGCGTTGACATAGCGTGGGTGGTACCAGACCAGGACAAGGCCTCGGAAGTGCAGGTGAGATTGAGCATCACTTAGATCAACCTTGAGATTCAGGTTGGCGTGGCGGTACTTTCCGCGCCTTCCACCGCATGTGACCCGGGTTCGAATCCGCCTGGGCCAATATGTGGATTGGGTTTTCAGTCCCTACCTGATTCCGTGGGTTTTCCCCAGAATATGCTTCTGATCTTTTCCTCCCACCTCTAAAACTGTAATTTTTTCTCATTGTCTTCTCTCCACGGGTTTCTTCAGGCTTGCGAGCTACAGTGCCTAGAGCGCTTTTGAGGAATCCTTGGTTTCATTACCAGAAGTGATTAATAATAATAATAATAATAATTACTCTTTTCGCCCCAATAGGGTGACTTTCCCATAGACTTATGCACAAACCTAAACTGTCACCTAACCCAAGTTTACCTTATGTTTTTTCCACGCAATTTAGTATTTATACTAATTGGACCATGAGGAATCGATCTATATGGTTAGCGACAGCAAAATTCCTTGTCCTAAGGGTCGTTTTCATAAAAGGGCGACAGTTATTTTGTCGCCTCAGTAAGGTGTATCGCCCTATTGTGGACGGAGTTTGCAAAACCTGTCGCCCTATTACAGTAATAGTAGTAATAATTGAATGTTCGGAATATGTTTTGGAAAAGTTTATCCGAAATTTGCCCAATGCGTTTGGAATAAGTTTCAGGATTCTGAAAACTTCTCCAGAATCTTCCTGCAATGAAGTTATCAGTATTGTTTACAAGCTAATAAATTAAATGAGGGAAGATTCCGGAGAAGTTGTTCAACATTTCTGCATGAAATACTTTGCTTTCTTTGGTCTGCAGGGATTTGTCATTCTCAAGGATGACCATCCGCACAGCGGCAGTGTCCTACCTCCCAGCATCACTCGCGCTACGCTGTCTAACCTGAAGCCTGGGAGCACTCCCACGGTCCAGGTTCTAGCCGTCACTAAGCTTCTATCAAGCGATGACGGAGACGAGCCAACTACATCTGGTATGTCTGTGAGGTTTTATTTCCCTTCTGTCAACGGAAGTTCTGGCTCTGGGTCTTCAATAATCCCAAAAGGGGGGGGGCGGGGGGATCCCGGCCCAAATTTTTGACGTGGCAAGCGGTGTTGTAGTCTGATGTCTAGATGTTGTAGCAAGTGATCTAGTCTCATATCGAGTCACAAGACATCAAATCAAGTGGAGTGTCATGGCCTAGCGGTTAAGAGCACCGGACTCATGTTCTGGTGTTTTAGAGGCAACAGTGACGTGGGTTCGAGCCCGCCGGGTGGACACTTGTGCCCTTAAGCAAGGCACTTAACCATTATTGCTTCCTCCTTCGGATGGGCATGATGGGACGTTAAGCCGGAGGTCCCGTGTGTTGTATAAGGCCTAACGCACGTAAAAGAACCCAGTAACACTTATCGCTAAGAGAAGGGGGTTGCCCCGGTGTTTCTGGCCTCCTAGTTATGCTCCCTTTTGGAAGTCCTTAGGAGAAGAACCAACCAAGTACCAAGTACCAAGTCCAACAAAGACATTCCTTTGTTTACGTTCATACTCTTGTATACTTGAGACTGAATTTGTGAGTGGACTTGTGTTTTGCTTGTGATCGAACTTATGATGGACCTGTGATGGAATCCACTTGAGCACAAATGGAAATTGTTCATTCTGGAAATTTGCACAGGTTGAACACGTTTCAAATCCGACAAAGTTTGTTGTGCATGTTCAGTATATTGAATTTTGGGTCGCATTCACACTGGCATTGGTATTCTTTTATGAACTGACCATACTACATGTACTTCAGCAATACTGCTTAAAACCGACTTATAATTGTCTGCACTTGTCTACTTTATTGATGCGAAACAGTGGCCTTTGTACCAACAGTCCTTCTGATTTGAAAATCACAGGCGTGTGGAAAAAGGCACACCTGGATTTTTCTAGGCGTGTGGTTTTTCTAGGTGTGTTATTTTCTAGCAGTGTGATTCTGTGGTTCAGGGAAATTCAGGCGTGCAATTATTCACACTTCTCGGGAAGCTTTTAGGCGTGCGATGGCGAGCGCAAATTTGTATCCTTGTGGAGACATTTCCACAATGGGGAACAAAAGATTGTATAGGTCTCCACAGGGCAATTTCTATAGATGAATAGGTCTCCACAAGGTTTTCACGAAATAGATATATGGAGTCTACTCAAAAACTAGGAATTTCCAAGGTGGGTTGATCGGTCGCAAATGGAAGAGTTTTAGAAAAGGGATACTAAGTCCGAATTTCAGCCAAGGAAATTAATTCTGGTTAAAATTAGAGCATTTTGAAACTTCACTTTCAAACTCGAAAACTTTACTACACGAGAACAAAGAAATGTCTCCACAAGGATACAAATTTGAGAATGTGCGTGGGGGTGTGATTGCACGCCTCAAATCAGAAGGACTAAAACAACCCTATAATTTTGAAACTGTATATCCGATATCTTCCACTGTACCTTACCGTTTTAAATTACGGACAAGGTTTTCACGAAATAGATATATGGATTTTACTCAAACACTAGGAATTTCCAAGGTGGGTTGATCCGTCGCAAATGGAAGAGTTTTAGAAAAGGGATATTAAGTCTGAATTTCAGCCAAGGAAATTAATTCTGGTTAAAATTAGAGCATTTTGAAACTTCACTTTCAAACTCGAAAACTTTCCTACACGAGAACAAAGAAATGTCCGACTCAGGATACAAATTTGAGAATGTGCGTGGGGGTGTGATTGCACGCCTCAAATCAGAAGGACTATTAAAAACAACCCTATAATTTTGAAACTGTATATCCGATATCTTCCATTGTACCTTACTGTTTTAAATTATGGACATATTAACCTGATTTGTCTGTACTTGCAGATGAAATAGAAGAAGCACTTAAGAAACACCCGCCGAGCTTGATCCTACAGAGTCATGTAATGCGAGTGAATTATGATCGTCTGGTGCAAGCTCCATCTAGGATCTGGTGTGAGCTGGTCACCGGCCACTCATTCTTGGTGGTCTGGGATAAAGGTTGGTAGATATTCTTGTCTGATGTATTCTGCCAAGCATTTCACAAAAGTAGGTGCGACAATGCCACTGGAACACAGAATTATCATCCAGAAAAAAATTGGTAAGCTTGCTTGAGTGAGACCCAAACCTATGACCTATTGTTTACCACTCGATCACCGATGTTGCTCTTTGGTATTGTAATTTTAGTATTTTTATATAACCGACATACAGATCGTTGTCATTTGATTGGTGGAACTCACATCACATGACATTCGTTATTGCTCCCATTCACGCCGCGGCTCAAAAAGTACTATCCGCCCATGGGGAATGGGAAATACTATTCAACAGTTAAGATCATGACACGGTATTTGTGTGCAAAAATATGCTGGTGTGCATATTCAGCATTGCGCATAGCGCGTATTGTTCCAAAGAGCCAGCGCTACAGCGTTGGGTTCAAACATTTTCGTGAAGGGGTGGTTTGGAAGAGAGAAATACATTTTCCTCCAGTTTTGTATTGAAATAAAAGTTCAAATACATCAAATGACAAGGATCTAAATTGAGTGGCTTTAAATTGTGAAATGGGAGGAATATTATCGCTCGGTAAAATCTGGACTTTCCAAATTCACTCGGCTTCGCCTCGTGAAATGGAACAGTCCAGATTTTACCTTGCGATAATATTCCACCCATTCCACGCTGAGCCACTCAATATTTGTATATTAGAAGACCTGTGTATTGAAATGCATTTTAAGGTTAGCTTGATATTGGAATCATGCATTGTGTTTACACTCCACTTTCAGGAAAAAAGCAACGCAAGCATTTTGCACCTGCTGAACGATACACCATCACATGGTGGGAGCTGTCAAAGAAGTCAGGGGAACCACCTCAGAGCAAAGTAACGGCTGGTAAGCACATTGCTATCTGCAGTATGACCCCCCCAAAAAGTGGCCGTCTAAATATTTTTGAAATAACAACAAAGCCACGAAGTAAATTGTGAAAATGTATAATTGTGCAGATACTCCTAATCCTTGGGCTCAGCCCATATGAGTGTTACGTAATTTCCCTCAGCCTCACTGCCCAATGGTCAATTGATCACAACAACATTTTTGGACGCTGTGACCAAGTTCCTTGCTTTAAAGGTAAGATACAACATTTGCAAACATCAAAAAACAAAATGATCAAATATCACAAAATATTTTACTGGATTGTTCGGGAATGACAGTCCAAAATGACAGTGTAAAATTGTGCCTCCTGGTGTGCTGACATTTTCAAGAAAACTTGTATTTTTCCAACGCTGGTCGGCCGACCAGCGTTGGAGAAAACTGCTTCTAATTTTTCATATTTAGTTATTCCGCATTTTCTTTGCAATTGATTATACACCCGTGAAGGGGTACAAGCCTGCTAGACTGATTCTCTGACCTTACAATTCCCCAAAGTCTATAAATTGTTTGGTTTCATCTTAAATGGGGTCAGGGAACCAGACTATAAGAACATGGTTGGTTTTCTTGGATTTTCCAGCATCTCCGAACCCAAAAACGTGAAGCAAGTCAGTTAAAAACTATATGCTTTAACATACTAATCCTTCAAATCCATTCATTTCTGAAAATTGCAGCAAAAGCAAATATTGTACGTTCCCTTTAATCAATTTCAGTGATTTATTATGTAAGCTGTGTAAAATCCTTCGTGTTGTGAAAAAAAGGCCTGCAGTTGGGAACTGGAATCATTTGCCCTTGAGCATTAAACTGAGGTCTTGCCATGATGACTGATAGCCTGGCAGATGATTCCAATCCCCAACCACAGCCATTTTTTCACAACATGAAGGATTTTTTAAGTATCCACACAATTAAAACAAAACTTTGTGGTTTTGTTGTTATTTCAAAAATATTCAGACGGATATACGATAATTCAAAGACTTACTCAATTTTCTCATTCATAGTCAGAAAAACAGCCAGTGTGTTGTCCCTACGACCTTGGTCAAACTTCATTTAAAGATATAGTCCATCATTTGTAATTTGTGCATTTTGTTCGTTTGAAGCAACAAAAGTGTTAAAAATCTAAAGAAGAGTGCTGAACAACTAACCTGATGAAGTTTCAGCTCAGCTTCAGCTGTATATTTTGAGATAAACAGCATTCTAGGATCTCGATTGCAAATCAAAAGTTGCTGAATCATGTTTTGAATTGGGCCTGAATTAGCGTCCGAGACACGTTCTCACTGAGCCGATTGTAGCTACGCGATGTCGAGCACCGATCCGACGAATTATAGCAGGGGCGCGCGCGTGTGCGTCGTGCCAACGCTTGCGCGTGCTTCGCCGAATAAAAAAACGAACTACTAACGGAAATTTCCAATGGTCATGGTGCGTCTCCCTTCTTTCGTTGATTTCTTCAAAATGACAGCTTGCCAGAAAGAATAATTTTACAGGGAATATAGTCCCCTTACTATCTTTCAACCAAGTATGTTTGTCAACAATAATTACATCAGTTACTTTTTGGATAGTTGCAAATGATGGACTTTAGCTTTCATAACTGGCACACATAAGCATCGTGTACGTGTACTTGAGAAATAGGCCAATTAGACAACTTGAAAGGTTGAATCGTCGAGGGCATAAGAAACAAATGCCATTCCAATAGCTTTTGGGACGTTGCCTCTTATCAAAAACTTGCTATGCACATCGATGAGTTCAAATCTCCAGTCTGGTTACATGTACATTAAAGGGAATGTACAACATTTGCTTTTGCTGCAATTTTCAGAAATAAATGGATTTGGAGGATTAATATGTTATAGCAAATATTGTTACACTGACTTGTTTCAAGTTTTGGGTTCGTAGATGCTGGAAAAACCAGGAAAACCAATCATATTCTTGTAGTCTGGTTCCCTGACCCCACTTAAGATGAAATGGAGCAATTTATAGACTTTGGGGATTGTAAGATCAGAGAATCAGTCTAGCAGGCGTGTAGTCTCCACGGGTGTGTAATCAATTCCAAAGAAAATGCAGACAAACTAAATATGAAAAATTAGGAGCACTTTTTGAAAAAAAAGCCAGTTTTCTCCAACGCTGGTCGGCCGACCAGCGTTGGAAAAATACAGTTTTTCTTGAAAATGTCAGCACACCAGAGCCACAACTTTACAGGATGCTTTAGACTGTCATTCCCTAACAAACCAGTAAGATGTTTTTTTTATAATTTGATCATTTCGTTTTTTGATGTTTGCAAAATTGTTGTATCTTCCCTTTAAAACTCTTGTCCTCATAATACTCACAAATCATTATGCAGTTGTTTAACCATACAGTGAGACTACAATGAATATTAGCCCCCATTTCATTTCCTCATATACAGATGACCACTTGCTAATCGATGGGCTAGACCTCGGCACCAAGTATTGTGTAACTGTTCAGGCCCAGGGAAGGCACACCCAGTCACACAGGCATAGTGAGTATAAACCTTCAAGGGTCTATCTACTAGTAATTGCATTGTGTTAGCAAGTTGAGTGTTTCAGACACATTGGTTTTGATTTACTCGTTGAACAAGATTTGTTTTTTTGTATATCTAATATTGAGATTTGAAGGTTTGCATGGTGGAAAGATACTAAGACAAGATAAGTTTGCGGTAGCACCACTATGTGAATAAATCTCTTTTGTGAGTATGTGTGGTTTAGAAAAGAACCGGAGGGACTCAACGTTTCGAACAGTATGCTCTGCTCAAGTCCAAGTCTGATGGGTCTCCTATACCCTAGGACAAGTTAGGTTGAGTTCTCGCCTATTGTTCACCTATACCCTGAGCTCCTTCCCGTTTGCCCCCTCACTTCGTACTGACACGCTCCAGTGATCATCCAGCATCCCTCAGTCAACTTGCATCCTTCTCAGCTTCACCGGTTTCAAGCTTCACCAGTTTGCATCCTTCTCACGCCTCACCGCACCCATCCTTATAACATCGCATCATCGTTGGAATCCCTCATTATCCTGACGACGGGCAGAGCATACTGTTGGAAACGTTGAGTCCCTCCGGTTCTTTTCAGAACCACACAAACTCACAAAAGAGATTTATTCACATGGTGCTACCGCAAACTTATCTTGTCTTAATATCTGATATTCATAATATTTGATATTGCATATAATGCTTTTGCAATTCTGTGTCCTATTTTCTCTTAGAAGGCAGCCAAGAAACCAAACCCTATGAGGTTCCCATCCTGAGCCAGACCGAGTCCATCACTGTCACCACGGCCAGCCCCCCTGATCCACCCAGCCAGCTAACCGTAGCCTCCGTAGGCTCACACACTGTCCAGCTGAAATGGGATCCACCCACAGAGAAGGGAGCTGAAGTCATCGGTGAGGGATGAGATTATAATCCCATCAGTACTACATTGTATTACAGTGTATCAATTTATTCCCTTAATACTGAATGCATTAAACCTTGGTGTGCTCGGGCAGTTTGGGGCGGTACAGGAGCCACAGGCATGGTAGTTTGGGATAAAGGGACTATTATGGGTTAAAGGGAAAATACAACATTTGCAAACATCAAAAAATAAAACTACCAAATCATTTTGAAATACCTTGCTGGACTGTTAGCGAATAACAGTGTAAAGCATCCTGTAAAATCATGGCACCTGGTATACTGTCATTTTCAAGAAAAGTGGTATTTTTGTATCAATTTCCAACGCTGGTCGGCCGACCAACGTTGGAAAAAAACTGGCTTTTTTCAAATACTGGCCCCAATTGACCATCGCACTTGTTTGCAATCGATTACACACCTATGAACGGGTACAAGCCAGCTAGACTGGTTCCCTGACCTTACAATTCCCCAATGTATGTAAACTGCTCTGTTTCTTCTTATATGGAGTCAGGGAACCAGACTACAGGAAAATGATTGTTTTTCTTGGTTTTTAACCCAAAACCTCAAAAAAATCAGTGTAACTATATTTGCTATATATTTCCAACCCCCCAATTCCATCCATTTCTGAAAATTACAGCAAAAGCAAATGATGTATATTCCCTTTAAGGGAATAAATGTGTGTTTCGGAGGTATTATAACACTCTGTTTAAAACTGGTGTGAGTCTGGATGGGTAATTATCACCCATCCAGACTCCCACCGGTTTTAAACAGAGTGTTTAATACCGACGGAACACATATTTATTCCCATTCATAAATACCTTTTTGGTCAAAAAAACAATCTTTTCGGTCCAAAAATCAAAACAAGTCAAAAACTAGACGTTGTTAACCATTTTGTTCAACAATTTTACTTCATGTTTTACGAAACACCCCTCTGACTATAACATGGAATGCCCCTCCACAATGGCGTGCGCATCGCACATTCCATGAAATAATGATTCACTGGTAGTATTGTGCATGCATACGTGGGGAATTGGAGCGTTCAACCAATGAAACGTAAAAGGCACCGGATTTCATGGGAGTGCAAATTTCATGTGACACTGGGAAAGTGTTTAAGACCAGCTAGCCATGTCTTTATCATCCGTTTAAGACCAGCCATGTGACGGGCTCTCGACCAATAGGAATGCGTAAACGGTCGTAGGTATTTATGAATATGGGTTAAACTCACCACAGAAAGCCAGATTCATCTTCCACTTTTGGATTTGTTTTTCTGGTTGAACCCAACAAATAAATAATAATAAACAAATGTGGTGATTGTGTCGGGCTTATACCGATGTCGTTACAGGTTAATATTACTCCTGTACCGGTACATCAATCCTTGAGATCAATATTATGCAACAGTTTAAGATCAGTGGAACCTGTTCCTAACCATCAAAGGAAAACATTTGTACTTCTGGACGGAGAGGGGTAATTGTAGTAAATGTCTTGCCCAAGAACACAATCCTCGTCAGGGTTCAACCCTGCATACTGCTTCACTGAGTTGGAAACCATAACCATAGAACTGTGGTGCTTTACAAGTAAATGTACACGGCTTTGTGGAGGATTACAATTTCCTATCATTAGTAACAGCTAATTGGGGTGATTCACAATGCAGTGTGCCACCAAGAGTTTGCCACGGAGAGTCCATTTTTCAAGTTTACGGTCGACAAAACATGGCCCATTTGAATGAGTGTCGGTAGACAACTTGAGCTAATGTGTCATAGATTGGGGCATAGCGTTCTGCCGCCTTTGATACAAAAAAAACACCATATTGATAACAAGAAAAGAAATGGGCAAACAGATCCTCAAATCATACGCTTACGAAACCACTGACCGGAAAAAACTAACAATTTCAAATGTCCCGCGCTGCGAATTTGTCGACCATCTCCCACAATGCACTGGGAAAAATTAACTCTCCGTGGCAAACTCTTGGTGGCGCACTACTTTGTGAATCGCCCAAATTTATGTAACAATCCCCGACTGTGCTTCCACAGGGTTACGGATTTACGTCACAACGCAGAGCGACGATAGCTCCCTAAAGACGGTACAGTACCTTGATCTGCTACCAGATGCTACCTCAGCAATCATCAAAAGCCTGCAGGAATCCGCCGCCTACTCCCTGCACCTTGTCACCATCACCGACGAGTTTTTCAACGAGGGCGCTGCGTCTGCCGAAAGCCCCCGGACGAAACTGCGGAGCCTCCCAGCAGACTGGAATCTCACACCCAAGGATTCTATGTGGCTCCCGTGCATCAGCGTTGACACCACCACGACCGGTGTCTCGCCACCGAGCGACTTGAGCTGCGCTTTTGATCACGGGGACGCGGTGACTCTGACGTGGAGGGCGCCAGAGCAGAGGACAGTGACGAAATACGAGGTGAAATGGGCCGAGGTGAAGAGCGGGGAAGGCCTGGCTTCAAGCAGTGACCCCCACCAAATCCTTGAAATTCCGAACGCAGAAGGCACAACGTCGTGCGACATTGAAGGCTTAACCAAAGGCACGAGGTACTGTTTCACAGTCGTCGCGGTCATCGCAGAGCCGGACTTTGGAAAGCAGAAGCAGGAGAGCTCAAAGAAGAAAGGGAAGAGGCGAAGCCAGCATTTCAGAGAGACCATCGTTAGGCTGGCCTCTGAGCCTTATGTAGTCAGAGTGCCCGCCCCTTGCGTCGCACCGGATGTGGTGCTCACAGGATTTGGTCCGTCTTGGGCAGATATATACTGGGAGAAACCAGTGCTGATTTCCATCCTTAAAAATACAGGTAATTAAATCCTCACCTAAAATCCTTCATAATCATCAGTTAACTGTCGTTGTATTACATGTAAATGTTAACCCATTCTTCAGAATTGCTTATTATTCATGTTAACGTAAACAAAAGATATACTCTACCTTTAAACTGCACTTCATATAAATTGTTGTTGTTCAACAAAAACCTAGCCTTGGTCAAGGTGCTAGTTGTTATTCATCCCGGCTGTAGCGCGGTAAACGATATCCTCGCTAGCGCTATGCATGCGGTGCATTAAAAATACAGTGCGAACAGCGACCTCACGCGGCCACCATTTCTATGCAAATCAGTTGGACCCAATCTAGCGCCTTGATTCAATCGTCGGCAAAAGCTTATGTTTTTCTTTATTTTGCGCTGGATTTCTAGTGCATGACCTCGTATGCGAAAACAGATAAGTGTAGGCGGGGCTAATATGTGGGTGTCCAATCACACCTTGGTAAATCCAGACGTCATCAAATTGTTTGCAGCTATTCGCCTTTTGCGGACGTGACAGGAACCACAGTTTTTGTGCATTGGTGCCGTGTGCAGAGACACACAACGTGTACGTGTATGGATTATGTACGGTGCCACGTTTCACTATGCAAGTTTCCACGCAACGATTGACCAATAAGAAAACAACATTTAAGGTCAGCTAAGGCTATTAACATAATGAGCACCACCCCCAAAACCTCACATGGACGATTGAACCAAGGCGCTAGATTGGGTCCAACTGATTTGCATGAAAATAGTGGCCGCGTGAGGTCGCTGTTCGCGCTGTATTTTTAATGCACTGCATGCATAGACATATGACTGCATGCATAGCGCTAGCGAAGAGATCGTTTACCGTGCTACAGCCGGATGAATAACAACTAGCGCCTTGACCAAGGCTAACAAAAACCTTGCATGACAAGCTATTTCTGTCTTTATCTCAGTTCACAAAGCCTGAGTCAGTGTTTTTCTTTCTGTATTTCAAGCCTGGTTGGATAAGCTAAAAAAAACAAAACAAAAAAAACACCTCTTTGAACCCAATATACAAGAAAAAAAAAGTCAAGAAGGCAATTGTTTCCTTAGTTTGTATTGAAAATACATGAGCATATATAATGTATGTGAAAATCTTGAGTGTTATAGTATGGCAGATAGGTGATGGGATTGTGCATTTGATGATACAAGCATGGCATTGGCACATAGTCAGAGTAAGTCATGAGAAAGATATTTGGCTATATAGGCCATCGCAATTTTGTCCTTTGAAAAAGTAGGTAGAATAACAAGCAGTGCATGGCAGCCATTTTGAAAATTTTGAAAATTGCTTGTTATTCTACCTATATGTTTTTCAAAGGAAAAGTCTGCGATGGTCCTATAGCCAAATATCTTTCTCATGACATACTCTGTGTGCCAAATGCCATGCTTGTATCTTCAAATGCACAATACCGTCAAATATTTCCCCTATCTGCCACACTATTATTTACCCTAACCGCCCTGAATCCTCCAAAATCCTTTTTGCAAATTGGAGGAATTTGCAGGATTGAGGTTACATGGCAAAAGTGGGTTGCTGATTTCGGAGTACGCACTGTGTCAAGGTCTTGGGCCGGACCTTGTGTTGTTTATGCTCAGCCGTGCATAAATTTAGTCCTTGATTATACTTGACATCCTCCGCACTGCTCCAGGATGTCACTGCCTCTGCCTCAGCCTATTGACAGTCATAGCAAAAGGATTTTGCAGGATTCAGGCAGTGGTCACCCCTTTTATGGACCATATTCAAGAAATAACGGAGGAATTTGCAGGATTGAGGCTATATGCTATTTTTCCATGAGGCCAATTGGAGGATTTTGCAGGATTGAGGCTACATCCTAGCAAAAAGGCCTAGGGAGTTAGGGTTAATTAAGAGATTCCATCATGCAAGTTTTTTAAAATATGCCCAATACTAAAAAAGTAGCTCTGGTAACTTCCGACTCCGCGTTGATTTGGGTCACAAATGTAATTGATTGTGTATCAACCATTGGTCTAGCAGACGATGAGTCTGGCTCCAGTTGTCTCCGATGCACCCTCCTAGGCTACACGCTCGGCGTCAACGGCGTCCCCTATGCGCACCTCAAGCCCAGCACCAAGTGCTACACTGTCAACTGCTCGCCGGGCAAGACCTACGAAATCTGCCTGACAGCTGTCACGACAACGGACAGGAGCATCAGCAAGACACTGACAAGTGGGGTAGGAACCACGACCGCCTGGTCTCGGATGAGTTTGAGGAGGTATGCGACAGGGCCACCTCAGAGACGGTGACTGTCACTCTGCCGAAACAACAATCAGGTATGTGGTGATAGGTGGTGAATTATGTAAGAATGAGGTTGTACAAAAAGCTTTTAGGCAAAAAAAAAAAAAAAAGTCTTCGGTTTCTTGTGTGCGCGCGATGCCAAAATTCAAAAAAAAAATTTCAATGTTAGATGATGTCTCAAAACCGCCAAACTCACTGGTTTGACTGGAATCCTGCTGCTGCACAATTTTAACGTGTTTTTAGATGGGGTTACGATCGAGTATAAGCTTATGTGGCCTCTCTGGACTCCCATGTATTTTGCACTAAATTTAGGCGGGCACCATGTGCAGTCATCAGCCGACAGTTGAAGAAAAAAAAAGTAAAAAAAAAAGCCGCGTCGCCGCACTTTTTTTGGGGCAAGCTCCATACCAGACACCGGAGATTTTTGTTAGCAGTGTCATTAGACCAATTAGCTTACAAACTTGGCAAGAATTACACAATATCAACACGTCTTTCCTTTCCACACACTTAGAACAAAAAGGCAGATTTAAATTGGCGGCAAATTTTCCCGCTGGTGAAGAGAAAAGTTCAAATTTACATGTTTTCTCTTGAAGACAGACCCACACTTCTGTGGGGAAATTTATGTCTGCATGTGGAGGTAATGAAGATACCTAAAAGAGTACAGTGTTAAAAGAGTTTGAAGCAACAAAAGTGTTCAAAATCTAATGAAGGATGCTGAACAACTAACCTGATGAAGTTTCAGCTCAGCTTCAGCTGCATATTCCGAGAAAAACAGCAAATGTTCTAGGATCTCAATTTCAATTCCAAAGTTGCTGAATCATGTTTTGAATTGTTTTGAGTTGCAGCTATACGCGATGTCGCGCACTGATCCGACGAATTATAGCAACTGCGCGCGTGTGTGCGTCGTGCCAATGCTTGCGCGTGCTTCCCCGAATAACAAAACAAACTACTTATTTAAATTTCCTACGGTGTGTCTTAAGAAGCACCGTTGGAGAGGCCTTCTTTCGTTGATTACTTCAAAGTAACAGCATGCCGTAAAGAATATTTTCACAGGGAGTTTAGTCCCCTTACTATCTTTCAACCAAGTATGTTTTTCAACAATAATTATGCCAGTTACTTTTCGGATGGCTGCAAATGATGGACGATAGCTTTAACCTTTTGTCCTGAAACTTTGCTCACTGTCAAATATTTATGATTTGTTTTTGTTTCAGGGAATATCATAGAATTTGAAGCCAAGTTCCATCCCTCGTCAGAAAGACAGAGTGAGGATTCTGATGAAAGCAAGTAAGTATCCATTTTTTTAAAATTTTTATACTGCATTTTATTTAGTTATTTTTTTATTTATTTTATTCCTTTTTTAAATTTTATTTTAGAGTTTTACAGTGTTATTTTATTGTTAATGTTTCAACCATGTTTCAACCATTTTCATAATAATTCATACATTTCTTTACTGTTAAACGGAATGCACAACATTTGCCTTTGCTGCAGTTTTCAGAAATAAATGGATTTGGAGGATTAGCATGTTACAGCAAATATTGTTAAAATGACTTGGTAAAATATTGTTAAAATGGCTGGTAAAACCAAGAAAACCAATCATTTTCTTGTAGTCTGGTTCCCTGACCCCACTTAAGATGAAACAAGGCAACTTATAGACTTTGGGGAATTGTAAGGTCAAAAAATCAGTCTAGCAGGCATGTACCTCTTCACAGTTGTGTAATCAATTGCAAAGAAAACGGGGAATAACTACAACTGCAAATGTTGTATCTTCCCTTTAATTCTGTTCATTGCTGAAATGTGTCAATCTGATTTTGCCACTCAAATTGTATGAAAAACTCGAACAAATCTGAATTTTAATAAAACCTACAGACAACTGATAACCAACATTGAAATAGTGTAATTTCTTACAGCAACCTGTAAGCATTTCAATGTCTCGTTTGATAAAGAATTAGGTGTCGCACATGCAATTCCCTTGAATTTTGAGGTGTTTTTTTTCATCAGTGATCTGCAAGGTGATATTCACTTGAACTGGGCGTTGCAGGACTGCGGAACAGCTGAAGAGCAAGGCATTGTTGGATATGACATCACTTGGTCCAATGACTTTGATGATGCGGAGCGAGTGGCCACCCTGCCGCCCACTGCCACCAGCTACGACATTCCAGTCTACCATAACAGGTCAACACCAAAAAACGCTGGTTTTATGGAGTTTATCCGTGCCAGTCTATAAGTCAATGGACCGATCCAGTAAGCTCCGCCCAGTGCGCACGTGGGCAAATTAACACGTGCCACTCTCCAATGCCACACTGCATTTTCCTGCCGCGTACATCATACGCGCGTGCACGCATGTCGGACATTAGTGCACGCACGTCGGACATAAATCACGGCTGTGATTGGTCAGAACACCATGGGGCGGTGCTTACTGGATCGGTCCATGGCCGGTTTTCACGTGCAACCTCCACGAGAGAACACGGCGAAAAATCATTAAAAACGGGCCCTTTTTCACATCTGTCGCCACCACTTCATCATTTGACAGAGTGTACCTTAGATCTTACTACAGAATGACCCTAACAATATACTCTTTCTAGAAAATGAAAGAAAAACTGAATAAAACACTGATTTTCACTCGGGAAATGATGTTAAACACTGCATTTTTAGTCAAAAATCTCCCTGTTTTGGTCCATTAACATCATCACAGCGTTAAATAGCGCCACCTGGGAGCTTTTTGCTTCGTCTCGTCAACTTTCCAACAATATAACCTTTATTGTGATTGGTTGAGGTTTAGGCTCGCGTGTATTCATTTACAAAAGAATTGTTCATCTAAAGTCCAATAAAATTTGCCGTTGCTCATGGTTCAGCGCGTAGGGTCTGTTTATTGTACACGTGCTAGGCAGTGCTAGTGTATATACACAGAGCCTGGGAGCTCTTATCTCTATGTGTCCAAGGTCATCTGGCTGTGCGCATTTGGCCGGTTTACATGGGGTCTTTTTGACTTCAAAGGATTTGATATGCCATCACAAGTCCACTCACAAGTCAGCCACAGGTCAAATCATGAGCCAATGACCAGACAAATCCAAAGTCTGTAACAAGACAATCACATGTAAGGCCACGAGACAAATCACAAGTTTAAGTCTGCCTAAGTCAGATTTGTAATCCAGCCAATAACGAGGTAATTCTGATTCAATTCACATTTCAGGTCACAGGTAACAGAGGATAAACTATAGAAAAATAGATTGGCTTTGTCACATCGGATTTGAATAGTTTGTGCCCTGATGACTTGAGACTGGGGTGTGTTTTTTGTTCGGTGTCTTTTTTTGAGGGGGGGGGGGTTGTTTGTTATTGGTGGGTTTTTTTTGGTGGGGGTAGCATTTTGCTTCTTTTTCTTAATTTCATACTGAAACAAAGTTCATGATAATAACCTTTTACTCACTGTAGCGCCCAAAACCGTCCGAGCACTGTTATGGTTTTATTGATTTTTCAGTGAAAAAAGACATTGTAATACAATATTGAAGGTGCTAATGGGTTAATCAATGAATGCAGTGGAAGTGCTTAACTCTAATTTAGCAATCCATCCCTAACCAGAGATGGTGCTGTGGTCCAATGGTTATGGTGTGGGGCGCTGTGGTCCAATGGTCGACTCGTGTGCCGTGGTACATGGGTTCGAATCCTGACCATGGGAACATGGTGCTTGTGCTCTTGAGCAAGGCACTTTACCATTATTGCTTTGTCCTTCGGATGGGTCGTTAAGCCGTAGGTCCCGTGTGTTGTGTAATGCACGTTAAAGAACCCAGTAACACTTGTCGCTAAGAGAAGGGGTTTGCCCCGGTGTTTCTTGCAGTGGCAGCAGTTATGCGCCGCAGCACCTAGCAAAAAGGTGCTACATAATGGGTCTCATATAATCATATACTTCGTTTACCTGTCTTTGGTTGCATTCTCCCCCAGTGCTTTGTATCCTCAGGCAAAAGGGGCTATATAAATACAGTTATTATGATTATTACTAACCAGAAATTCTGTCTACTCCTACATGTAGGTGCATATACAAGATGACTCTCCACGCCAGCCAGTACGATGACATGTGGCAGGACGAGCCTAGTCCCAGCATTCAGTGCGTCATCCCTGGACCCCCGGACCCGCCTGCGCTGTGCTGCACCTCGGCCATGCAGGAGGAGTTTATACTAGAGTGGGGAGAGCCTAGGATGTATGGAGGGGTTGGCATCAGGGGTTACCAGGTGTGAGAACAGTTGTAGAATCACCATCAAGTGGTCCAATAAATGCCCATTTAAAGAGGTTGTGGAATGCTGAAAGTCGTTTTGTTTTTTATATTTTTTTATTGTAGAGTAGACCCATATATATCATAATAACAAACTCCCATTCTTTTGTAATGTGCGTTTACATGTTTATAAAACTGAAATTCATCGAGTAATTTGTTGGTCGGCGAGCGCATGACTAAAATCAACAGTCGTCGGGTTCTTCGTAAAATCAGAAAAATCGTGACGTAATAAACAGGACTAGTTTATACTACACTGCATAGGGAGTCCTGTTTATTACGTCACGATTTACTATGTTTTGTTTGCTGCCCCCAACGACGAGTTTTACACAAATTGCACGTTCGGGTCGAAACAGGACCTGAAAAACAGCTCTCAAAAGTACCTTTTGTACTCATTTCATGACAGAAACAATAGTCGTTTTTAATTCATCACACCTTAGGCTACATATACCCAAAAAATGACGGAAATGTCTTCAAGCATTCCATAACCTCTTTAAAGATGTACATTTCCGTGATATCTTCGAGTTTGATTCCCCCCCCCCCCCCAAAAAAAATGTTTTCAAATGTTTTTTTTTCTCCCTAGCAATACAAAAGTTACTCACATCTAAATAAAGAACATACACTTCAAGGTTTGTTTACAAAAAAAAAATGTTGAACAGTATGGATAGTACATGTTAAATTGCAATAAATGCAAAACATTGATTTTGGTCGAAAACTGTGGTTAAGCAAAAGCTTCAAATTCTTTTCAATCTGTTTATATGCGTAATTTAAGCAGTTTGTATAAAGAGAATTGCTTACAATCTTCGACAGGTTTACATGAATGACAAGAAGGTCGGCCAGGAGCTGAGTGCATCTCACTACAAAGCAGCCATCCCCTGCCGCCCCAACAGGTCGGTTCTCTCTCCTCCTCCCCCCCCTCCCCCTAATTGGTTTGCCTCAGTGCACACCTCTTGCAAATTCTGTTACCACTTCAGCACCGATTTCAGCGATGCGACGCGTCGTATCTCTACGATGCGTCGCAGCTGTGGCGCGTCCTGCAATCCATTTCACAAAACACGTTGTAAGTGCGACGCGTCGTAGGTGTATTTATAGCACAACTCGGTGACTGTTTTATGTATTTAGTCAGCGTACAGTAAATAGTCGTCTGATGTTCAACAAAGAGTCGTCGGATCTCAGCTCGAAATTTGTTAAAACGTAAAACAAACTGGCGGCCGTGCGATGCAGTTTTGAAGGAAAACAAGCTCTCAGTGGACTGTATAGCTTTTTTGAAATTTCAACTGCAATATTCCAGTCTAATTCATAATTGTTCAAGTAATTTTCTATTTACAACTTTTAATACACACATTGCCTTCGTATTATAATCTCGTTTATGTATTGTTTATGGCATTTAACTGGCTAAGAAAGAGACTCTTCTTATTTTGCGATGACCACTAGACACGTCGTAACTTGCGACGAGTTTTAAACTGTTGTCAAGGAACGTACGACGCGTTCAACACATCGCAGCTTTCGTGAAATGGATGATACGATTCGTAGCGAGTTGCAACGTGTTACACGTCGTAACTCGAGTTGCGACGCGTCGCAGCGCTTCGTGAAATCGGGTGCAGGCTTAGTTTTGCAGAGCAGGACACATACTAGTTCACGAGGAATAGATCTTAGTCATGTTTATCTGCTGTACTGTAGTTTTAAGATACAATTAGGTTCACAAAACGTTTTGTGGATACACTGTGGCAAGTTTCTTTCTATAAACGACAGGTGATTCTAAGAAAAGAACCAAATGTGTAAATTGCCTGTGTGGGTCTCTATGCTCTACCCATCTTCAAGAAAATATCAAACCTCTATCTAGACAGGGAATCTGACAGAGTGTTAAGTCAGCATCTAGGATCTTTCTCAGAACCACTTCTCTTTTAGGGGTAGTCCCTTCATGAGGTGTATCTATTAAAATTCTTAAGAGCTGTTCAATATGAGATGTAAGCCTCACATCAACAGTTCTCACAAGTCCTCACAAGTCAATAACAAGTCAATCACAAGTCAATCACAAGTCCATCACAAGTCAATCACATGTCAATCACAAGTCAATCACATGTCAATCACAAGTCAATCACAAGTCAATCACAAGTCCATCACTAGTCAATCACAAGTCAATCACAAGTCAATCACAAGTCGATCACAAGTCAATCACAAGTCAATCACAAGTCAATCACAAGTCAATCACAAGTCAATCACAAGTCAATCACAAGTCACCCAGTCCAAAGTCAAGCCACAAAGCTATTTGAATAAACAGTAACAAGGCATCCTTAGGTTACTATTATCAATACTCTAGATTTTTTTTTTTTTGGGTGAAGGGACTTTGTGTAGGACTCATGATGGACTGGACAACACTACACATCAATCATGTTTCTGTTTCCATTTGTTTCAGAACCTACCACATGAGCATCGTTGCCCTTAGTGCCAACCCCCGCTACAGGGATTCTGACATATCAGATGAGGTCCTCATCACCTGCTGGTCCCCCGAGGCCCACCCCGCGCACCCCTCATCGGGCACCGCCGCACAGAGGGGCCAATACCGTGGGCAAGGGGACGGGTGCAGTAAGGGGTTGCTCTGCCCAGAGGATATCTCTGTTGGTGTGCTGGATCTGACAGAGACGAGCATTGTGCTGGAGTGGAGGCTGCCGCTGATTGGATGTGAGGGACTTGTTTTTGTCTGTTTGTTCATTTCCATCTGTCTGTTTGTTCATTTCCCTCTGTCTGTTTGTTCATTTTCATCTGTCTGTTTGTTCATTTCCATCTGTCTGTTTGTTCATTTTCATCTGTCTGTTTGTTCATTTCCATCTGTCTGTTTGTTCATTTCCATCTGTCTGTTTGTTCATTTCCATCTGTCTGTTTGTTCATTTCCATCTGTCTGTTTGTTCATTTCCATCTGTCTGTTTGTTCATTTCCATCTGTCTGTTTGTTCATTTTCATCTGTCTGTTCGTTCATTTCCATCTGTCTGTTTGTTCATTTCCATCTGTCTGTTTGTTCATTTGCATCTGTCTGTTTGTTCATTTGCATCTGTCTGTTTGTTCATTTCCATCTGTCTGTTTGTTCATTTCCATCTGTCTGTTTGATCATTTGTGACCTGTTTTGTCAAAAGCAGACGCTTCTGGGCAGAGGTTGAAATTGAGATAGGGCCAAAACAACGCTGTGGGGGTGATTTTTTTCAATTTTGAATTTTTTGCATATTTGTAGTCCTGAACATGCTTTAAATATACTATAAAAGTTTGAAACCCTAATTTGAACTCTAAATATAGTATTTTTGATGATTTGTTAAGGTATATCAGTTAAAGAAATTACTGTTTTGTGACGTTCGAGGCCATTTTCTCTGTTTTCTACTTTTCGACACAATGAACTTCAAAACAGCACAACTCTGCCCAGGAATGACCGGTTTCAAAAATTAAACCACCTATTAAAAGGAAAAAGAACATATCTTAACAATATGCAAAAATATCATTTTTGACCTTGTGCCCAGAAAAGTCTGATTTTGACAGAGCATGTCACATTTTATTGGAAAGTTTTTACATTCTTGTGTAAGCATGTGCATATGGGCTTATACTTATCCAGAACAGTCATCTTTTGTTACTTAGTAAAAAACAATGGCAGTAAATAATCCTAAAGGGTAGCTGCATCGAAATCAAATGACATCTTTGATTCAAGATCACAACAGTCCACTGGATGAGTATGAATGAAATAGAAACTAACAGACTCCAATGACAATTAAAAAATGAACTGTGGAAATTGAAGGGAGTGGGGTTCTGCATTCTACACAACCTTGTGTTAGGCCAAAAAAAAAAGTCTCCGGTTTCTGGTATGGAGCTTGCCCAAAAAGTGGTGCGGCGACGCGGCTTTTTTTTTTTTTTACCTGATTTTTTGGCTTCAAATGTGTGCTAATGACTGCAAATGGTGCCCGACTAAACTTAGTGCAAATATATGGGAGTCCAGAGAGGCCACATAAAGCTTATTCTCGACCATAACCCAATCTAAAAACATGTTAAAATTGTGCAGCAGCAGGATTCCAGTCAAACCAGTGAGTTTGGCGGTTTTGAGACATCATCTTTCATTGAAAAAAAAAAACTTTTTCATTTTGCCGACGCGCATGGCTACGGCGACGCGCGCGCATACCAGAAACCGGAGACATTTTTTTGGGGCCTTAGTTTGTTTCACGTTTTTCTTCCTGACTTTTTTTTTTTTTTGGAGGTATGTACATGTAATTTGTGGCAACTTATATAAACCTGTTTCTTTAATTGATGTTTCTGGTTTTTCTTTCCCATTTGTATACAGTGGAGAGTCAGGAGCTTGTGGATCGTATCAAAGTCATGTGGAGCAGTGTTGCAAAGCCTAAGGTTTGTATTGCAGTCCTGGTTTGAAAATCACTGGGGTGTGGAAAAAGGCACACCTGGATTTTTTTAGGCGTGTGATTTTTCTAGGCTTGTGATTTTCTAGGCGAGTGATTTTTCTAGGTGTGTGATTCTGTGGTCCAAGCTGGGATATTATTTCATAATATTCATCTTGGTTTACAATTAAGCCATTTTCTCTTCACTGATGTACTTTATTTTTCAGAAATTATAAAGTATAATCAAGCTTTAAATGTATGCCGAGGTGTGCGGTACTGAGGGATTCAGGCGTGCGATTATTCGCACTTCTCAGGAAGCTTTTAGGCGTGTGATGGCGTGGAGGTGTGATCGCACGCCTCAAAACAGAAGGACTGGTATTGGGCTATTTTCTGCCTACAGCATACGTGTATTTACACTGAGAGTTTTAAAAATAACCTATTTTTTTTTTTTTTTAATCTGTGCAAAATTGAAATTCTCAAAAACAACTAGTGTTGACAGAACCACAATTCACCAAATGTTTGGCTATGTGGGATGCAGAGATGGTATTGGGCAATTCGGGCGATTCACAATGCAGTGCGCCACCAAGAGTTTGCCACGAAGAGTTCATTTTTCCCAGTGCATTGTGGGAGATGGTCGACAAATTCACAGCGCGGGACATTTGAAATTGTTCGTTTTTCCAGTTAGTAGTTTTGTAAAGGTATGCTTCGAGTATCTGTTTGCTCTTCTGTTTTCTGTTTATCAATGTGGTGTTTTTTTGTGAGGCGGCAGAACGCTATGCCCCAATCTATAACAAATTAGTTCAAGTTGTCTACTGACACTCATTCAAATGGGCCATGTTTTGTCAACCGTAAACTAGAAAAAATGGACTCTCCATGGCAAACTCTTGGTGGCGCACTGCATTGTGAATCGCCCGAATTTATTGGTCGTTTCTTTTACACACATGAATCAGTGTATTATAAAATTGTGCAAGAACACCTCTCATCAGCCAATGTGCAAAGAAATGAAATACATGTATGCGAGGTGTTTCGGCAAAATGAGATGGAACTGAGCACAGGTCGTAGTAGTGAAAAATTCAAATTATACCAGAAGGAGGGTGATTATTGCGATTTTCTAATTTTCAGATATTTGTAATCTTTGATGTGTCTACTACACATGTTTTAAAGGGAATATACATCATTTGCTTTTGCTGTAATTTTCAGAAATGGATGGAATTGGGGGGTTGGAAATATATAGCAAATATAGTTACACTGACTTTTTTTGAGGTTTTGGGTTCGAAAATGCTATAAAACCAAGAAAAACAATCATTTTCCTGTAGTCTGGTTCCCTGACTCCATATAAGAAGAAACAGAGCAGTTTACATACATTGGGGAATTGTAAGGTCAGGGAACCAGTCTAGCTGGCTCGTACCCGTTCATAGGTTTGTAATCGATTGCAAACAAGTGCGATGGTCAATTGGGGCCAGTATTTGAAAAAAATCCATTTTTTTCCAACGCTGATCGGCCGATCAGCGTTGGAAATTGATACAAAAATACCACTTTTCTTGAAAATGACAGTATACCAGGTGCCATGATTTTACAGGATGCTTTACACTGTCATTCACTAACAGTCCAGCAAGGTATTTTAAAATGATTTGGTAGTTTTATTTTTTGATGTTTGCAAATGTTGTATTTTCCCTTTAAAGAAAGAGTGAATAAAACTTGTAAAATGAAAGTGTTTTTATGGAACACCAATTGGCATCTTTCTCTTTCACGGCTACAAAACTCGAAACTTTACAGGCCTTTTTCTCAGTATACTTTCTCAACATTTCAATAAATGCAAACTCCAAACAGCCATAACTTTAGTAACAGAATGTCCAATTGATGTGCAGCAAACAGTATAGTAAGGAGAATTTTATTCTTCTCTGTCCTTACACCCTAAATTGTATTCGCTTTCCTAATAATAATCTGTTTTTGTTTCTTTAATGCCTTATATCCTTTAATGCCTTATATATCTTTGTATCCTTTTGTGGAGTGCCCTGGCCTGGCGTGGTCTGGGGCATTGACTTTGTGGTCTGCTGGTAATTCTGCAGGTTGTGGGTTCGAGTCCAACCTGGGGTTATGGTGCGTGTGCCCTTGGGCAAGGCACTTTGTCTTGTCACTCATTGCTTCTCTTCACCCAGGAGTCAATGTGTACCTGTGAGGGCAGAGATGGTTATTGTGATCGACTTTAGCTGCCTTGCGTCGAAGTGGCAGCATCGAGCTGTATACTCCCCAGAGAGCTGAGATGGTATTCGGAATGTCATTGACCCAATGGTCAGGGGTAATAATAAGGTAAAGCGCTTTGATCCTAGTTAAAAGCGCAACATTAGAACCTATTATTAATTCTTCTTCTTATTATTAACATCTTATTTGTAGGAGCTGGAAGCTTTGCTGAAACCCACGGCCACCCAGTACACCATCAGGGGCTGTGCGCCTGGCACCAATCACTTTGTGGCAGTGACGGCCATAGACAAAGCTGACAGGGTGTTGCACAGATCCCGACAGGTCACTATACAGACTACGGCACCGCTCACTGCGCCTCATCTCAGGATAAGGTGAGTAAACGGTTAGGGCCAGTGATTTTCAGTGGGGCAATTCCACGGTTACTCACGTTACATTCGTAACGTGAGTAACCGATTTTGTGTGTCTTGTTTATCATACATAACACATTTTTCTGGATGTCATCTTTGGTGCTTAGGTAGGTCTATGTCTACTCTCTCTACCATGGGGATAACAGTTATTAAACCTTTTCAGTAAGGTAATTACAGCCCAAGGAAACTCAAAAGTACATCAAAAATGTAACGTGAGTAACCGTGGAATTGCCCAGTGACAAAATAATGGAAATGAAATAATTTCTGTTCACTTTTTCAACCCCAAACGTAATGCTTTGGGTGGTTTTATCCAGTTGGAAATCTATGTCCGGTCAGTTTAAAGGCATATAGGATCATTTGCATTATTCCCAAAAGTAACCTACTGAACTGAAATATCAAGATGGTACTGGTAACTAAAGTGGCAGTCAAATGACTGATTTTGCAAGTAAAGAGTGCTATTGGTGAAATCGTGTTCAGCGATCAAAAGGTTGTGCATGTTTTTTTTTGTTTACCATGTTATCGAAAATTCATAAATACTTGAGACAGTTTAGCCATTTCTATTGGTCGAGAGCCTGTCACGTGGCCGGTCTTAAACGGATGATTAAGACATGGTTAGCTGGTCTTAAACACTTTTCCAGTGTCACATGAAATGTGGACTCCTAAAAATCCAGTGCCTCTTACCGTTTTATTGTTTGAACGTTCACAGTCCTCACGTAGGCATGCGCAACACAACCAGTGAGTCAGAATTTTGTAGTTCTAAATTCAAAACGCAACGCCCCGGGTGCGTTCTGCGCGACATCGTGCAGAACGTGCCACGTGCGCGTCAATCTCCATAAAAGGGTTGTTTACATCTTAATCGCCAGCTGAACACTCCATTATTAAGCTAGAGGGATTTTTCAAAAAGCATGAAGTGCACTTGTTGAACAAAATCGGGATTTTTTGACCAAAATTTTATAGTTTTTTAGACCGAAAAGGTATTTATAAATGGGTGCTAATAATTACGCTCGCCTCCGGCTCGGGTAATTATCAGCACTCAGACTCTAAGCGGAAACAGAGTGACTAAAACCTCACGAGCACACATTTATTCCCTTAGTGTAATATCCAATAGGTTAGGTTTTAAAGAGGTTGTGGAATGCTCGAAGACATTTCTGTCATTTTTCGGGTATATGTAGCCTAAGGTGTGATGAAATGAAAACGACTATTGTTTCTGTCATGAAATGAGTACAAAAGGTACTTTTGAGAGCTGTTTGTCAAGTCCTGTCATGCCTGTTTCGACCCGAACGTGCAATTTGTGTAAAAGTCGTCGTTGCGGGCAGCAAACAAAACACAGTAAATCGTGACGTAATAAACAGGACTCCCGATGCAGAGTAGCATAGACGAATCGTGTTTATTACGTCACGATTTACTGTGTTTTGTTTGCTGCCCGCAACAACGACTTTTACACAAATTGCAGGTTCGGGTCGAAACAGGACCTGAAAAATAGCTCTCAAAAGTACCCTTTGTACTCATTTTATGACAGAAACAATAATCGTTTTTATTTTATCACACCTTAGGCTACATATACCCTAAAAAATGACGGAAATGTCTTCGAGCATTCCACAACCTCTTTAAACACTCTTTTTTGGATTTTGAGTGGTGTTATCATTGAAATTGAACAAACTGTACGAAGAGCAAATGATTCTTTGACAACCACAGACGGTTGGTCTTGCTTCTCATGCCACCTCAGCAATGCAAACTCAACCTCAGAAAACTGTAAAAATGAATGTAACAAAATGTTGTATACCCGGTATACGTGTAGAGGCAGAGATAAAACTGCTGGAATTGAAGTGAACGATCCGGCTCAGAGTCACAAGTAGATATACACGTCAGAAGTTAGAAGTCTACTATTAAAGGGAATGTATACATCATTGGCTTTTGCTGTAAGTTTCAGAAATGAACTATTTGAGGGGTTAGTATAATAGATAACATATTGTTACACTGACATGTTTGATGTTTTGTGTTCGCAAATGCTGGAACAACCAAGAAAAACAAAAATGTTCAAGTAGTCTGGTTCCTTGACTCCACTAAAGATAAAATGGATCCATTTATAGATGCCCGAAAATTGTAAGGTAAGGGAACCAGTCTAGCTGACCTACACCCGTTCATGAACATGTAACCAATAGCACACAAAATTTGCACTGAAAAAATGGTAAATTTTGAGCAGTAGTTGCTAAATAGTTAGGTTTTTCTAACGGTGGTCGGCCGACCACCGTTGGAAATGTATACAAAAATACCATTTTCTTGAAAATGACTTCACACCAGGTGCCATAATTTTACAGGATGCTTTAGACTATAATTTACCAACATCCTAGTACGGCATTTCGTAAAAACTTGGTAGTTTTATTTGTCGATGTTTGCAAATGTTGTATAGGCCCTTTAACTAGATATCCTTATTGCATGTTGGATCTCGTTGTCACGTTGATTATTTTGAAATTCCCTGGGTATGCTCAATTGCAAGTATGTTAATTTATTTTCCTGTTTGCATTCATACATGTAGGTCCTGTTTACAAGTATGTTAATTTATTTTCCTGTTTGCATTCATACATGTAGGTCCTGTTTACAAGTATGTTAATTTATTTTCCTGCTTGCATTCATAGGTCCTGCACCTACAGCGGCTGCATCTTGGAATGGGACAAGCCCACGCAGTTTGGCAACGCCCACTTGGCCGGTTACCAGTTGCAATTGAATGGTAAAGATCATGACAGGCTACCAGCTGGAACGTCCACATATCTGTTCACATCGGGCAAGATGTGCAAACAGTACCGCTTCACAATACAGGTGTGTTATAATTCACCTATCGCCGTTTGCGAGTCAGCCACGCCCCTTAGACAACCCTATGACATTTTCTATGTTCAATTTTTTTTGTACATCATGTAATTTGACAATATGTGACTTGTTCTGTCAAAATCAGACTTTTCTGGGCATAAGGTCAAAAATGAGATTTTTGCATATTGTTAAAAAAAGTTCTTTTGCCTTTTAATAGGTGGAATTAAGTTTTGAAACCGGTCATTCCTGGGCAGAGTTATACTATTGTGAAGTTCTTTTTGTTGAAAAGTTGAAAACGGAGAAAATGGCCACGAACGTCATAAAACAGTAATTTCTTTAACTGATATACCTAGCAAATCATCAAAAATACTATATTTAGAGTTCAAATTAGGGTTTCAAACTTTTATTGTATATTTTAGACATGTGCAGGATTGAAAATATACAAGAATTAGAAAATCCAAAAAAAATCACCCCCACATCGTTTTTTTGCCCTATCTTTAATATTTCAACCTCTGCCCAGAAGCGTCTGCTTTTGACAGAACAGGCCACATATTTCAAGAGCTGTGTTGACGTGATGCTACCGCCATAGGTTAATTGATCAAGCATCCAAGCTGTACTTGCAGTTCCCAGTTAATAGTATACAAATATTGACTGCTTCAAGTGTTGTAAAATGAGCCTCCCTAGGTGATCCATGGAGCGTTCTCTCAAAATAGAACACTCCATGGATAACCAAGCTGATAGCGGAGGTTAGCTTTATTATACCTGGTGTTAAAGAGGTGGAATGCTCGAAAACATTTCCGTCATTTTTCGGGTATATGTAGCCTAAGGTGTGATGAAATAAAAACGACTATTGTATCTGTCATGAAATGAGTACAAAAGGTACTTTTGAGAGCTGTTTTTCAAGTCCTGTCATGCCTGTTTCGACCCGAACGTGCAATTTGTGTAAAAGTCGTCGTTGGGGGCAACAAACAAAACGTAGTAAATCGTGACGTAATAAACAGGACTCCCTATGCAGCGTAGTATAAACGAGTCCTGTTTATTACGTCACGATTTACTATGTTTTGTTTGCTGCCCCAAACGACGACTTTTACACAAATTGCACGTTCGTTTCCAAACAGAACCTGAAAAACAGCTCTCAAAAGTACCTTTTGTACTCATTTCATGACAGACACAATAGTCGTTTTCATTTCATCACACCTTAGGCTACATATACCCGAAAAATGACGGAAATGTCTTCGAGCATTCCACAACCTCTTTAAAGCAGTCAGTATCTGCTTAATAAGGCCCAAGAAAAATCCAAATAGTAAAGCCAAAATCCAGTACGAGCGTACTTCCATTGTAATTTGAAATTTGTTAAAAATGTACGTGCAATTTACCCAAACTATCCCTTCGTGCAATGTTTATACCAAAGACTTTTTAGCGTGTGGGAAAATTGTACGAAATGCACACACCCATATTCGTGTGAACATAGATTGCCAATTGCTATATGTTGGTTGCTATGTGGATAGTATTTTCCCAGAGTGAGACTGCATAGTTTTTGAGCCACGCATAACAAGATGATAAAAATAGCATATACATGTACTATGTGACATGCTCTCGGCCAGTCAAATTAAGGATGTGCGTGAGATGCTAAAATAGACAATATTGCTTTAAAACGCTGAACGCTTAGGAAAAAGAATTGTAAAATAGAATAGAACAGCTGAAACCAATCCAAAGTATTTGATGTCCTGTAATTGTTGTTTAAACAGTAACTGTCTTGCTTAGCAAATGGATTTTGTTGTTTGCTATTTAATAAAATAGTTATTATAGTTAAAGGGAATGTAGATCATTGGCTTTTGCTGTAATTTTCAGAAATGAACTATTTGAGGGGTTAGTATAATAGATCAAATATTGTTACACTGACATGTTTGAAGTTTTGTGTTCGAAAATGCTGGAAAAACCAAGAAAAACGGAAATGTTCAAGTAGTCTGGTTCCCTGACTCCACTAAAGATAAAATGGATCAATTTATAGATGTCGGAAAATTGTAAGGTAAGGGAACCAGTCTAGCTGGCCTGCACCCGTTCATGAACATGTAACCAATAGCAAACAAAATTTGGACTGAAAAAAAATTGTAAATTTGGAGCAGTAGTTGAAAAATAGTTAGGTTTCTCCAACGGTGGTCGGCCGACCACCGTTGGAAATGTATACAAAAATACCACTTTCTTGAAAATGACTCAACACCAGGTGCCATAATTTTACAGGATGCTTTAGACTGTCATTTACCAACATCCTAGTAAGGTATTTCATTAAAACTTGGTAGTTTTATTTTTCGATTTTTGCAAATGTTGTATATTCCCTTTAAAAGATACTTATTGGATTTCCTTTCTCAGGCCTTGTGCAGTATTGCCCATCTTCACAGTCAAGCATCGGAGCCGGCTGTTGTGACCTGGCCAGGGGTCGTGCCCCCTGCCTTACACCGAACGGCTACCACCAAACTCAATGCCATCAAAGTTACATGGCCCGAGCCTAAAGCCACGGGGGGAGCTAAAGTGCAACACTACAAGGTTTGTTGTCCTACAGGAGGCATTAAGTTGGAGTTCGTACTAGAAATACAAAATTTGTTTTCAGAGAACAGAGAATTTACAGCTGTGGTCCAATGGTTACGGTGTTCGATTTGTGTGCCGTGGTACATGAGTTTGAAACCTGACCGTGGGAACATGGTGCTTGTGTTCTTGAGCAAGGCACTTTACCATTATTGCCTCGTCCTTCGGATGGGACGTAAAGCCGTAGGTCCCGTTTGTTGTGTAATGCACGTACAAGAACCCAGTGACACTTATCGCTATTAGAGAAGGGGTTTGCCCCGGTGTTTCTGGCAGTGGCAGCAATATACGCCGCAGCACCTTGTCAACCCTAATAAGGTGCTACATAATGGGTCTCATATTTTTCTTATACTTTATTTACCTTTCTTTAATAATAGACATAATAACTAGCGCCTTGAGTACCTAATTGTTGGAAGATACGTGCGCTATATAAGACTCTGTTATTATTATTATTATTATTAGAATATTTTCCTTTGTTGGCTTTTTTACATAGTTGGGAAAAAGTTGGCTTTTGTTATGCTTTGTTTGCCTTTTTTTCTTCTTTTTTTCATCTTTTTTCTTCTTTTTGTTCCATCCCGAATCCCATAGACTTTGTACACGATTTTTCTGGCTGCCACTTTGGACACTGTCAATGCTCCAATCAAACTTAATTAAAAGCAAAGGCCATATAGATCAAATATGTTTCGCTAACATGGGTATCATTATGACATCATCACATTTCATGTGACGGCATCTTCAAGATGTGTATTTCCAAGACTTATATCTAGAGAACTACAAGTCCAATTGGGATGAAACTTTGTATGTGCATAGACAGGGATGTGTTGTAGGTAAGAATTGATGTGACATCATGATGACGTCAGCATGTTTTTTATGGAAATTTGAGTTTTCAACTATTTTGAGTATATCTTATAAACGAAACATACTGATTTGTCTACTATAAATTGTCAGACTAGTTTGGCTGCACACCTTTATGAGAGGGGTCCTAGGTGGTTTCAAGGCTCTGAAGACTTGATGTTCAATAGACCTTATGCGTTAAAGCTATAAGTCCCATCATTTGCAGCCATCCGAAAAGTAACTGGTGTATTATTGTTGGAAAACATACTTGGTTGAAAGATAGTAAGGGGACTAAACTCCCTGTGAAATTATTCTTTCTGGCAAACTGTCATTTTGAGGTAATCAACGAAAGAAGGCCTTTCCATAGGACAATGTAAAATTAGTAGTTCGTTTTGTTATTCGGCGCAGCGCGCGCAAGCCTTGGAACGACGCACAGGCGCGCGCGGTTGCTGTAATTCGTCGGATCAGTGCGTGACATCGGGTATAGCTGCAATTCAAAACAATTCAAAACATGATTCAGCAACTTTTGATTTGAAATTGAGATCTTAGAATGCTGTTTTTTTTCCGGAATATACAGCTGAAGCTTAGCTGAAACTTCATCAGGTTAGTTGCTCAGTATCCTTCATTAGATTTTGAGCACTTTTGTTGCTTCAAACGAACACAATGCACAAATTACAAATGATGGACTATATCTTTAAGGCGGAGTTAGTGGGCAGTGGTTTTGTACTGGATAGCCATGAGTAAACATGTTGTTCAATTGTTACTAATTAAAGGGAATGTACATCATTGGCATTTGCTTTAATTTTCAGAAATGAACTATTTGTGGGGTTAGTATAATATATCAAATTATTGTTACACTGACATGTTTGAAGTTTTGTGTTGGAAAATGCTGGAAAAACTAAGAAAAACAAAAATGTTCGAGTAGTCTGGTTCCCTGACTCCACTGAAGATTAAATGGATTAATTTATAGATGCCGGAAAATTGTACGATAAGGGAACCAGTCTAGCTGGCCTGCACCCATTCAGAACATGCAACCAATAGCAAACAAAATTTGGACTGAAAAAAAAATGTACATTTGGAGCAGTAGTTGAAAAATAGTTAGGTTTTTCCAACGGTGGTCGGCCGACCACCGTTGGAAATGTATACAAAATTACCATTTTCTTGAAAGTGACTTCACACCAGGTGCAATAATTTTACAGGATGCTTTAGACTGTCATTTACCAACATCCTGTTGTGTATTTCGTAAAAACTTGGTAGTTTTATTTTTCGATGTTTGCAAATGTTGTATTTTCCCTTTAAAGGGACAGAAAAAGTCACAAAAAACGAAATGATCAAATTATCACGAAATACCTTACTGGATTGTTAAGGAATGACAGTCTGAAATATCCTGTAAAATCGTGGCTCCTGGTGTACTGACATTTTTAAGAAAAAGTGTATTTTTCCAACGCTGGTCGGCCGACCAGCGTTGGAGAAAACTGGCTTTTTTAAAAAACTGCTCCTTATTTTTTATATTTAGTTATTCCGCATTTTCTTTGCAGTTGATTACACACCTGTGAAGGGGTACAAGCCAGCTAGACTGATTCTCTGAGCTTACAATTCCCCAAAGTCTATAAATTGCTCCGTTTCATCTTAGGTGGAGTCAGGGAACCAGACTACAAGAACATGATTGGTTTTCTTGGTTTTTCCATCCACAACCCCAAAACGTGAAACAAGTCAGTTTAACAATATTTGCTATAACATACTAATCCTCCAAATCCATTTATTTCTGAAAATTGCAGCAAAAGCAAATGTTGTACATGTACATTCCCTTTAAAATGACAAAGAACACCTTCTCGGACATCTGAAATGCATAAGGTCTATACAGAGTGACCATTTGTAAATAACACTGATGATCATTTTTCTGTTTTGCAGGTGATGTGTATCGAAGACTTGGGCACCGGCCACAAGGCGACACCTCCGAACCGACGCCAGCCCCTCAAGACCCTCGGCCCCTTGCCTCCGGACCAGCGCTGGGCCGAATTCCCCCACCTCTCTCCCCACGCTGCCCACACGATCCTGCTGGACACCCACGTGGGTGGGATGGGCAAGGCCCTGCGGTCCCGCCCACTGAGCAAGCAGTACGTGGCGCGGCGGCCAGCGCCCCCTACAGTCCGGGTGACGGTCAGGGGGTTGGAAGAGCGCCGGGCGCTTGAGATCGAGGCCTGCCATTTGGTCAATGTCAGACACAGGTGGGTTTGATGGGGCTTGGCTTGGGGTTGCGTAGATTCAAACCGAATTTCCTTTTTTTTTGGTTTTATTGGATAAAATGAAGATTGATTAACATTGTACATTTTGGGGAATAACGAACATAAGCACAGCCTGATACTGGTTCTTTCAAATTTGGTTAAAGCTATAGTCCATCATTTGCAGCCATCCGAAAAAGTAACTGGCGTATTATAATTGAAAACCATACTTGGTTGAAAGATAGTAAGTGGACTAAACTCCCTGTGAAATTATTCTTTCTGGCAAGCTATCATTTTGAAGTAATCAACGAAAGAAGGCCTTTCCAATGGTGCGTCTTAAGACGCACCGTAGGAAAATTTAAATTAGTAGTTTGTTTTGTTATTCGACGCAGCGCGCGCAAGGATTGGCACGACACGCGCGCGCGGTTGCTATAATTCATCGGATCAGTGCGCGACATCACCTATAGCGGCAATTCCAAACAATTCAAAACATGATTCAGCAACTTTTGATTTGAGATTGAGATCCTAGAATGCTGTTTTTCTCGGAATATATAGCTGAAGCTGAGCTGAAACTTCATCGGGCTAGTTGTTCAGTATCCTTCGTTAGATTTTGAACACTTTTGTTGCTTCAAACGAACAAAATGCACAAATTACAAATGATGGACTATATCTTTAAAATGAGATAGAGGCGTTTTTATAGCATGTGACTTTACACATTTGTTGCCCTTCAAACAAATGAAGATGGGTTGACAATCGTGCATTGTTAAAACAAAAAAAGTGGATCTGAATCTTCATGAACATTAGCACAACTTTATATTGTATTTTGGGGGGTTGTTTGTAAACTTTTGTGAAAAACATTCAATTCATTCATATAAATGTTTCACGGTGCAGTGATAGATATCGGTACCATAATATATTTGCAGTGTAAGGCCAAAAAAAAAAAAATATTCGGTCTCTGGTCAGACCAAAGTTCCGGAATTGACGCGGCCACGCGGCTTCTTTTGCTTTTTTGGTGTCCTCATGTACATTGGTGTCCTCCATAATTTGCCTTGGTGCAATTTCCCATTCCTTGGTGCTCTGGGGTAAAAAAAATTGAGGAGGTGCGGAAATAGAGGGCGCTGTTGGAGCTATCGCGGAACATTTTGAAAAAAAAAAGATCGACGCGCATGATTAAAATCGACGCGCGCGCTGACCAGAGACCGACTTCTTTTTTTTTTTGGCCTAAGTTGTTTTCTCTAAAAAAAACGAGGAGAGCACTGAGCATTCATATCATATGCATTTAACAGTACTTTTTCAAAGCTCAACCAAGTTTGAAAGTTGACATCCTTTCCTGATGCAAATTTCCAGTGAAATGAGAATGTGTTGTTTATAACCCCCAGGCTGCTTCAAGAGTTGATCAGCTATCAGCAGGCAAGTAACCCGGGTCTACCGCCAGGTGACCTGGAATATGCAGACCATACAACAGAGGTAAGCCCTATCAGAATAAGCCTTTTCGGAGTTCCAACTGCGCGCATTCGTAACCTGTGACAACGCACATTGTTTGTCTCAAATGCCCTTTGACAGTACCCACAATGCACAAACAGCCTTTTTGTAAAGTCAGTGGCGCGATGATGTCAAAGGCCATTTGAGACAAACAATGCGCGTTGTCACAGGTTATGAATGCGCAGTTGGAATTCCGAAAAGGCTTATTCAAATTGCTACTTCAGAATTGAACCTTACATGTGAATTCCATAGAAAATGCAAACGTTCATTGACTGGAGTTGTGTTCTCTGTTCGGCTGATTTGTCTCATGGCAACTTTTATTTTGTTTTGTTAACCCTCCTATGGAGACGTACATTCTGAGCCTGGTTATACTTGGGTCAATATTGGTCAAGACCCTCATTGGTTTGCTAAGAGTATGCCGGGGGGAGAGGATGGAATTTTTGACCATTGACCTTTTAACCCTGCGCAGAGTTACCTCTGTACCGTTGACCATGGGTACGCAGGTGACCGAATTTTTTGAGAAAAAAAAATGAGGGTCAATGACGGTCACCTTCCATCTAATCCTCATTCAACCCTTGCCAAATCAGCTGGTTCAATGAACTTTGCAGCCAGGGCTTCACCCAGGCCGTGTCAACAAACTTTCGACCAGGCCTCCTGCCAAGTCTCATTGAAACATATACAAACACCTGTAACTTGACACAGCCATCTCCCTTCATAGCCGCAAACCACAGCCGCCAACCACAGCCGCCAGTTGTACTGTCTGGCAACTGCCTGGACACTGTCTGGCACGTGGCTTTTTGTTGTTTTGACATGAATAGGGTCTTGCGTAGTGCGGGGAAAGTACCGGTGGCCCAAAGGGCCGCCGTTGGCGAGTTCTGATAAACATTTTTTGTAAACGCTGCGCAGGGTTAAGCAGCAAGAGGGTGAATGAAGTGAAGTTATTTACTGTGAAGGCTGTCGGCAGAGAGTCTCTGTTCAAGGATGTTCCCTTTCATTTCTATTCTCATTTCTGACCTACTCTATTTGGGGAGCAATAGAATTTCTGTCGAAACTGTTTTCTTTGTAGTGAAAATAAAATAAAAGAAGAAGTAAACTGAAAGGAAAAAGAAAATGCACAAGTCACATCAAACGCGTATGTTATTCCTTCCTTTGTACAGATTTCGGATGCTTTATCAGCTCTGGCAGAGATTGAAGATCAGCTGTTTCAAGTCCTGGAAACACTCCTCCCATACACAGGTATCCATCAACATGATGATACATAATTGCAACATTGACAGCATACAAGGCATTGCATAGCATTTTTTGTTTCAGGGTAATGTCACCCTAATTTGCAGTAGTGTGTTTGCCAAGTATTGTGTGCATACATTTGTGTCTGCTCAATCTTTTGGTTCCCCTTAAAGATATAGTCCATCATTTGTAATTTGTGCATTTTGTTGGTTTGAAGCAACAAAAGTGCTCAAAATCTAATGAAGGATACTGAACAACTAACCTGATGAAGTTTCAGCTCAGCTTCAGCTGTATATTCCGAGAAAAACAGCATTCTAGGATCTCAATTTCAAATCAAAAGTTGCTGAATCATGTTTTGAATTGTTTTGAATTGCAGCTATATGCGATGTCGCGCACTGATCCGACAAATTATAGCAACCGCGTGCGCCTGTGCGTCGTGCTAATGCTTGCGCGTGCTGCGCCGAATAACAAAACGAACTACTAATTTAAATTGTCCTACGGTGCGTCTTAAGACGCACCATTGGAAAGGCCTTCTTTCGTTGATTACTTCAAAATGAAAGCTTGCCAGAAAGATTAATTTGACAGGGAGTTTAGTCCCCTTACTATCTTTCAACCAAGTATGTTTTTCAACAATAATTACGCCAGTTACTTTTTCGGATGGCTGCAAATGAAGGACTATAGCTTTAAATCAACACTGTAACCACTGCATTGTCTTCGCATTTTACACCTAGCGATGGAGGTGTGGACGATCGGGTCATATTAGATTCAGATGTGAGTTACTTGATGTTCCATAAGGGAAAACAATTACTTTTCCTTCAGTGGTGCTCTCGGCCTATGTTAAGGTTGGAAGATCTGCTCTTTTTCTCGTAGGCACTGTAGCAGTGGATGTGGAGTGGAACCCAGTTCATGAGAACAAAGACGTGAACCTCTCTGGCTACAAGGTCTTGGTCAACGGCAAGCAGAACGGCTTCCTCCTACACTCAAACATGGACCGTATATGTCTGCAGGTCAGTAGGCTTTTCTTCAATCAATAACATTCAACTTAAAACTTATGTAGGGTTTGATCTAAAGTTCGAACATTTTTCATAATTTACAAACGTGGTTGACTCAAGCCGACTCAAATTGGCTTTAACAGTTGTCTTGAAGCAAATGCATATTTGTGCAGGAATGACATGGCATTTATTTTACAGCCTCATTTTTTTTCTTAGCATTAATATTTTTGACATGTATAAATCGGGATTACTGTAATGTTTTGCTTTTTGCTCGCACTGTTTTGTTTTTTTTTGAGGGGGGGTTTGGTGTCATTTTTTGTGTACTTTTTTTTTTCTTTTCACTCCCTGCTTTTTTAGGTTTGCTGGGGGACTCCATGTAATGCCATGTAATTTTTTCCCCCCCCCAAATCAAGAATACATATATTTAAAAAAAAAAAATTATTTACTTTGCAGATTTTTTGGGTATGAATGTGCAATAAGTGTTTTTAATGCTCTCTGTTAGTTTTTACTCATACTGTATGTTTTGTGTAAAGTTTTTTTGTAAATTCTTGGTTTTTTTTGTAATTTTATTTTCTTTTTGTTTCATTTTGTTTCCATGTAATTTTAATGTGAGGGCTCCTTTGGAAAGCAGTTTTTTGAAACTGAAATGGACTACCCTCGTTAAAGATTACAATTAAATAAATAAATGACAAAAGATGTTTTATCACCGTTTTGACGTTTGTATTCACAATGGCAAGATTTTTTCTCATGGCATTGATGAAGGTAGTCCAAGTATCACCCGTTGTCCAATGGAGCCCTCTATGTCTCTGGTCCAACGTCTGATATGTCTAAGTATGCAAATTTATGCGACCTCTCTTGCCAGCCAATCTGAGTCAACGTGGCGTCATTTCATTCCAAAATGTGGACTAAGCTGTTGAATGGTCAATTTGGAGGCCATGTTTTTGTAATAAAACAACGGGCATAGAGATCTAATAAAACCCAATATTGGCTATCACAGCGGGTTACCGAAGACCCGATATAGAATGCGCCCGCTGAATGGTTAGAATCTCGAGGTCAAGATGCAGTCTAGTTGCATCATTAATCACCAAATCTGCTCGTGTATCATAGACTAAGATGAAGGTGGCAATACGTAGAAAATAATCTAATCATTGAAGTAACAGTCTAATACTTGTAAAGGGTTTGAAATCATCATACCGTCTGATTCATTCATTAGACCTAGCTGAATCATTAGACCTGAAACAAGGATTAAACTAATGGTCAACCATTAAGAAGACACATTACCCTCCGAGCAGCTTATCAAAAAAAATCACACAGTGGAACCACGTGGAGAATTTAATCACCACATGTGTTTATAGGTCAATAACCCTGGCATGCCTGTACATGCACAAGATATAGGTCATTCACATGTCCAGGGATTGTTTACAACCTGTCTGGGCTCCTGGCGGCACGAGGGGTTGACACAAAGGGATCGGTGGCACTTAGGGGTTGGCCACTAAGATCTCCCATTACTGCACAAAGGCATTGGGCACCATCTTGGCTTCTGTCTTTCAACACTCCTTACTCCGGAGTGGGTAGGGTCTGGCCAATGGGAGTCTACAGGCTTGTGGTGTATAGAGGGGGTGAGGATTACATGGAAGCTTGGCCTTATTGGCCCATTGGAAAATGTGGAGAATGAAATCACCACTTCGCTGCTCGGAGGGTTAAGAGAAAATAGAGGCATTGTGTCCATTGTGTTCTTCAAGGCTATCTGTTCATCCTTATCTATTTATTGTGCTATGTCTATTGTTTGCAGTTGAGTGCTTATGATGGCCTGCATAAGATCTGCGTGGTTGCCACCACCGACCATCCAGTGGGAAACAGTGAGCCATCAGATGTCACCGTCGTAGACACTAGTCCATTCCTGCCGTTCACCAGCTACTGCCTGCACTCAGTGCATCGTAAGGACAGCAGGTAGGAAGAGCAGAGCAGTGTGTGCTATCTATGTGTTAATTGTTGCCGACTTTGCATGGGCGTGTGTCATTTCTTAAAGCCAGAGTCCATCATTTACAGCCATCCGAAAAGTAACTGGCGTAATTATTGTTGAAAAACATACTTGGTTGAAAGATAGTAAACTCCCTGTGAAATTATTCTTTCTGGCAAGCTGTCATTTTGAAGTAATCAACGAAAGAAGACCTTTCCAATGGTGCGGTCTTAAGACGCACTGTAGGAAAATTTTAATTAGTAGTTCGTTTTGTTATTTGGCGAAGCGCGTGCAAGCATTGGCACGACGCACACGCGCGTGCGGTTTGCTATAATTCGTCGGGACAGTGCGCAACATCGCATATAGCTGCAACCGGCTCAGTGAGAACGTGTCTTGGATGCTGAATTCAGGCCCAATTCAAAACATGATTCAGCAATTTTTGATTTGAAATTGAGATCCTAGAATGCTGTTTTTCTCGAAATATACAGCTGAAGCTGAGCTGAAACTTCATCAGGTTAGTTGTTCAGTATCCTTCATTAGATTTTGAACACTTTTGTTGCTTCAAACGAAAAAAAAATGCACAAATTACAAATGATGGACTATATCTTTAAGCTCGGGGTCATGCCTGCTTCAGGAACCTCAAGTCACTCACAAGTCAGTCACAAGTCAGTCACAAGTGTGGACATAGCGGTACATGTAAGTAACAGGGTGATGAGTGGTTGTCACAGATAATTTGAATACCTTGTGACCTGACTTGAAACTGGATGACTTGTGATGAACTTGTAACTGTGGCTATTACACTGCAAAAGCTGTGGTTTTGTAACCAGTGTTGAGGTCCAGTCCATAACTAGTCGTTGCAAGTTCATCACAAGTGCTTCAGTCTCAAGTCAAGTCACTAACTATTCAAATAACTGTTTGTGTGCATCCCCGTGTTAATGTATGTACCTCTGTCATTTCTGTTTTAGCCTCTGAAGAAGAACTTGCTAAGTTCGCAACGTCAGGCCACATTAATTTTAAGATTTATTCAAATAACTGTTACAAAAGCATTTCTGTGTCGTTACTCATCCCATTGCTTGTGAAATGACTTATGAAAGGACCTGTGACTAGACCTGTGAAAGTACTTGTGATAGACTTGACTACAACACTGGTTGTAACTAAAGAAAGGTTTGCGGAAACACCATGTGCGAATAATTTCTCAACTAAAGAGAATGGTACTGAAAAGAACCAGAGGTATAAACTCGACGTTCCGGTCAGTATGCTCTGACTGTCTTCAGGAGAATGTTCAGGATTCTCCTGAAGACGGTCAGAGCATACTGACCGGAATGTTGAGTTTATACCTCTGGTTCTGCATTTTTCAGAACCATTCTCTTAGTTGAGAAATTATTCGCACATGGTGTTTCCACAAACCTTTCATGATTTAGTATCTCCACCATGCAAAGCCTCAAAAACACTGGTTGTAACACCTCCTTCATCCTCCTAGCTAGCAGTTGCCTTGCATCCCGCTTGTGGAGTATGGGGGCCTGGTGTGCATATTGGTATAAACTCATCAAACTTGGCACAAATAGTCATTAATGCTTGACAAAGAAACCTGATATTGAGTCACTTCGTCCTGACTTGTTTTTTGTTTCTCTTGGCTAATTAACCTTGTTGTGACCAAACCCATTAAAATGAGGCACAAGTCGCCGGAACTACTTAAAGTAATTTGTCTTTGAAAAGAATTTCACAAAATGGAGATCCATAGGAACGGCAACCCTTCTCACCCAAATAATATCTGTATGCATTTTGAGTCCCCACCAGCAGCTAGACCCGGAAAGCCTTCGCATTCCACCAGCCCTGGTCACCCTCATTATCAATCCCCTCTTTTTCTTGTGAATCTAGGCACCCCCAGGAAGGCTGCTGCAGCTACCAGCAGACCCTAGCCTCGGAGGTCTCCCCTGGATCCTCATCCTCGGCCCTGATCATGGGTCTCCATCAGCAGCTTGACCTGGCCAGCCGACGCATCCCGCCGGCCTCGGTCACCGTGCTGGATGTCTTTGACCGGTCCCCGCACCTCCTAGTCCCCACCAAGCTCACCAACCGCTGTCCAACCCTGCTACTGTTCTGGACACGCTGGTCAGTATATGCTAGGCTAACATCCATAGCTGAGTGCTATCACAGATTCTTGAAGTATGTAGTGAAATGTACAGTCAACGTGTGTGTTGGTGCTGTAGTTAGGTACTTTTCAAAGTTACTATAAACTCGTGAGCTGCTTGGCATTGAGCCTTAGAATCCAGAAAGTGAGTATTATGAATTTGATTGTAGGTGCATGGAGGGTCTAAAATATTTGGAAAGCAAGGAATTCTGAAAATGTTGAAGTATTCCAAATTTCCGTAACTTGAAAAGTACATGATTGGACTCAAAGGTATTTAGCAATAACGTTTTTGGTTTTTATATTTTCACTTTTCTACAGGTGTCTTGCTTCAAAGAAGATGATGGACTACTTTGTAGACTATGCCAAAAACAGAGCAGGAAAGGTACTTTGTTCTTGCACTGTAGATGTATGGATATTGGTATGGCTGTTTATAATAACATTAATTATAATAATAAAAACAAAATGGTTATACAGGGTGAGTAAAAAAAAAACGAAACCCAAATGTCGGGATCTTTATTTTAGTGAAGTCCTGCATTTAGCCCTTTCAAAATCTAGGATATGAAAGCCCAATTCTTAAGCTTTCTTTTAGTACAAAAATCATTCAGATCACTCATGTACCTTTCAAGTTACGGAATTTTAAACACAATCACTGTTTTAAAGTTCTGTCCACGGATCACAAAAAAAGGTGTGCGTTCTTTCAGCAAAACAAAAACAATACACACACATCCCTATGTGATTTGTTTTCATTTTGCTAAAAGAGCACTTACCTACTTGTGATCCGTGGACAGAACTTTATAACGGTGGTTGTGTTTACAATTTCGTAACTTGAAAAGTACATGAGTGATTTGAATGAATCTTGTACTAAAAGAAAGCCTATGAATGGGGCTTTCATATCCTAGATTTTGAAAGTGCTACATGCAGAACTTAAATAAAACAAAGGTCTCGACATGTGGGTTTCGTTTTTTTTTTTTTTTACTCACCCTGTATAGCACTCTATACCAAAGGTCTTAAGTGCTTCAAAATTATTACCCCAGACATGCCAGATCATCAGGCCATGAGACCAGATTTAGCGACAGTTTGAGTCAGCGCATTGTGGCCTCTGCCTTAACAGGTACACATTTATACTCCATGGTGGAGAGAGGTAATTTTAGTAAAGTGTCTTGCCCAAGAACACAAGCACCATGTTCCCGTTAGGGTTGGAACCCACGTATCAAAGCAAGAGTGGAACACTGTAACCATTGGACCACAACACTCCAATACGATTTTGCCTTTGGGAGTTCTAAATTATAACAAGGGGAAATAATGCTTACTTCTCGTACCTCGGGGCAAGTGCATGCATGGAATCATTCTATAGACCGCTTGCACGTGAAGGTGCGCGACGCCATGTTGTGGGACAAAATGTGCATGAATAGATATACGCTTGTCCCACAACATGGCGTCGCGCGCCTTCGCGCGTAGCACATGGCTGCGCCGGTCGGGAACGGGTGGCCTCGTGAACGATCCAGTGGATAAAATCATTATGTTGTGTGATTTTCGGAGGTTTCAGATTTAGTTACAAGTACAAAATGCAATGCTTTAAAAATCATGATGATTATCTCGAGAATAGCGAAGAGAGCATTTAACATTTCACTGGCATTTGTTGGAAGAGAAAGACGATAATGCCTGATTTTTCCCCACGTACGAATGCAAGTACATGTACGTGGAGTAGTGGTGTTGTGTGGTTGAATCATTGTCATGATTGAAGCACCATGAACGGTGCCCTTGTCTTTCGGACTTTTCCCTCGACTTTTAAAGTAAGAAGTGAACTTCTTTGTTGATGACTCCTTCACTCTAACCGTAATTCAGGCGTTTTATGCAATGAAAACACTGACCATTTTTTTTGTCATCGTAAAATTTTGTTTGAATCAAAAATAATTAAGCTGGAGTTGGTGTCTGAAAATTGGGCATGAAGTGTATTGTACATGCATGTACATGTGTGTAACTGCAGCGCGGCCCAGATTTCGGACACGTATTTTTGTTCGACGTATTTTCCGATTTTTTTTGCCATATGCCAGTTTCTTCTCTGCATTCAGTCTCGAGTCAAGTCACAAGCCCTTCACATGAATGGAAGCAAAGGCATTTATTGGTCATTGGGACCTTTCTTCCGATTGACTTGTGTCGGACTTGGCTACAACTCAACATGGAGAGCTGTGGCCTCATTATATGGAGCATTGAACTCGAGGGCCGCAGGTAATTCTGCAGGTTGTGTGTGCAAGTCCGGCCTGGGATTTGAGACCTGTGTCCCTGGGCAAGACACCATTGCTTCTCCTCACCCATGAGTAAATGAGTACCTGTGAGGGCAGAGATGGTTACTGCGATAGATAACTGCTTTGTACTGAAATGGCAGCATCGAGTTGTACACTCCCCACGGAGCTGAGATTGTCTGTGGAGTGTTTTATGGGCCAACTGAGTGGAAGTTATACTGATGTACAGTACCTTAAAGATGTAGTCCATCATTTGTAATTTGTGCATTTTGTTCGTTTGAAGCAACAAAAGTCTTCAAAATCTAATGAAGGATACTAAACAACTAACCTGATGAAGTTTCAGCACAGCTTCAGCTGTATTTCCGAGAAAAACAGCATTCTAGGATCTTAATTTCAAATCAAAAATTGCTGAATCATGTTTTAAATTGTTTCGAATTGCAGCTATACGCGATGTCGCGCACTGATCCGACGAATTATAGCAACCGTGCACGCCTGTGCGTCGTGCCAATGGTTGCGCGCGCTGCGCCAAATAACAAAACGAACTACTAATTTAAATTTTCCTACGGTGCGTCTTAAGACGCACCGTTGGAAAGGCCTTCTTTCATTGATTACTTCAAAATGATAGCTTGCCAGAAAGATTAATTTCACAGGGAGATGTCCACTTACTATCTTTCAACCAAGTATGTTTTTCAACAATAATACGCCAGTTACTTTTTCGGATGGCTGCAAATGATGGACTATAGCTTTAAACATCAATACTGGTGGATATGTATACTGTATAAAAAAAACCATTATCATCTGAATATAACTCAAGACAATGCATCTCTGACCCTCAGGTGATATGTCTTGCGTGCTGCTGTAACAGCAAAGAGTCCCCAAACTCTACCCACCTCCAGACCCTGTCACAGCAGATTGTAATGCAGGGCTGGAAAGATGACAATGTGATTCGTCACAGCTGCAGCTGCAGCACCAGCGATACAGGCCTGATGCCTGGCAGTCGGGCAAGCTCAGCAAGCAGCTCTGATAGAGGTAGGGTGTTGTCGAAAGCTGTAATTGTAATCGAAGTATAATAAGTCACAAACTAGAGGTCAAAGTCTGTTTGAAAACAGAATATAGGGCTTTTCTGCATTTAGTTTATGAGTATGTGCTTTTCTTGCCGTTCAGATATTGTACTAGTTTGCTAGTAGCCAAAAAATACAAAAGTTTAAACATTTATTAAAATCAGTTGATGATGTCAGTTTGAAGTCACTTCCCATTTTGCATCTTAATAATTATTATCCAGATACGGCAAAGAACTTAAAAATGTCAAAAAATCCATATGTAATATTATGATGACGTTATCATGACCTCACCTCAGTTTTCATCTATAACACATCCCGAAATGTGTACATACAAAGTTTGAACTCAATCGGTCTTGTGGTTCTCTAGATGTAGGCCATTGAAAAATGCACCTGTAAAATGACGTCATAATTTATGACACATGATGACGTCATTATGACGTCATGATGACATGATGAGTTTATTACAAGTCATCACAAGTGAAACCAAGAAGTCAACTCAGAAATCAATAACACGCAATCACAAGGCAACCACAAGCCTCGTCACAAGGAAGTTGTCATAATCAAGTCATTACAGTTCACCACAGCTCAGTCACAAATAGATCACAAGTCAGCACAAGTCAACACAAATTACCGTCACATAAGTCCATTACAAGTCGGTCTTGAAGCATCACAGGTCATCTTAAACCATCACAAGTCAATCTCAATTGAGTGACAAGCAAAGCTGCTCATTTGGACTGAGACAAGAGCCTTTGAACCGATTTCAGCACTTTTTAAAACAATATTTTTATGATTTTCAATTTACAGGACAGAGTGGAGAGAAGGCATCTGGTAATGAGGGGATGCCAGTTGGCTCATTACCATCTTCCGTTGTCAGTGTTGCTGAGCTGTTTGGTGTCCTAGCAACACCAACGATAATCATCCTCCATCCTGAAGGTAACTCAACGATCGAAACTTGTTCCCTACAATCTCCCTTCTCTAATCTAGCCTTGGACAAGGTAATTGACGATAATGTCCGTTGATCCACAGATGGCTGCTAACATACATAAAACAGTGCAATGTACTATGCACTCACACGTACTGTACAAAGCACGAACAGCAACCTCATGCGGCTAGTGCACAGAATACTAAGAAGTTGATGCTGGTCAAACTCATTGGAACAAGTCTCGTGTTGGCCTATCTTTTTCGGGCAATTTTGTCGCTGGAGTTATATTTGGTCTGTAGACTCCAAACTTCTTGGAGAATGTAACTTTCCTATCTGATCTTAAATCGCATATGAGGTCATGGCTGGAAATTCAGCCAAGGTGAACAGTTGTTCCAAGGTGGTCGTCCGGCACCAGTGATTTGCATACTGTAGCCTAGCCGCGTGAGGTTGCTGTTCGCGCTACGTACAATACGTGTGAGTGCATAGCACCCGGCTACTGTTTTATGTTAGCCGCCAAATTTCGATCATTGGACACTTTCGTTGATCGCCTTGACCAAGGCTGCCTCTTATCCCGACCCCTCCCTAAGGTTTGGGCAGAGACTTCATTTTGTCAGGTATCACTTGTTCATTGCACCCCGTCCGTGTTCGTGAGTCAAATGCAGTTTTCTCATTGGGCAGTGTTTCATCACATGACATTCATCATCCCCAGGGTATCTGGCCTGGCAAGGGTGCTTTGCAGCCTGCGATCGGAGCTCCTTCACCACGATGATAGATGAAACCCTGGACTCTGTCGTCAAGACCTCACGAATGTCCTCACCTCGATCAAATTCACCCAAGCTTCCGTCTCGATCCACATCAGGTACTGTCCACCTCTCACAGGGCATCTCTAGAGCTATGTCATTGTACGAAGACAACAGACAAATTCTGTTGGCACTTATCCTTCTTTCTTAATTTTTTTTTTTTTTGAGGGGGGTGTCCCATTTGCATTGTGGATATCTTGCCGGAATCACCTGTGATTATTGCCTGTGATGAAGGCAGTCATGATGCTGCAAACCGGTGTGGCTTGAAATTTATAAATTATAATAGTTAGGCGGCACCGCTGTTTCAATCCTGCCAGCATTTGTTTAAAGACAAAATTTACCAAACTTGTAAACAGGCATGCAACTCTTAATAATAATAATAATAATATTTTATTCGGCAAATTCACATATACACAGAATTACAGAAACAATACATAAAATTGGATATTAAAACAAAAGGATAAAAAATATTTTGAAACAAAGTAAACACTACACACGAAAGACACAACGTGGACAGTGTAGGGTTGCCAAGCAGAAAAACAAAAGTGAAACAAAACACTGTCGCCAATAGCGCATTTCTCTCCAACCCTGCACAATGACAAACACATTACACAGACCAAGCACAAAACAATAAAAAATACCAAAATTTGCACATGGGAGGAAAGGTCCAAGGGAGTATAATATGGGATTCAAAAAATGAGCAGGCCAGAGGAGGCTAAGTAAAGGAAGTGGATAGGAGAACCGGGCAGTACCACAGAGGGAGTGAGATAGGGAAAGGAGAAGAGAAGGGGGGGGGGGGGGAAAAAAAGGGGGGAAAAAGGAAGGGGAGGGTTAAACAGGGCCAATAGGAGGGGGAGGCATAAGACCGGAAATAAGACAGGAAGAGAAGCAGCAAAACCAACTGTGGAGGAGAGGGCTGTGAAAAGGAGTATGGTGGAGGAATTTATCCAACAGAGCAAAACAAAAACAATCATGAGCAACCAAGACAAGCATTAAGATTGTCTTAAAAACAGCAGCAGAGTATAAAAAGGTTGTTTCATGTTCTGTCCAAGTAAAAACCCAAGGATGAAATTACAGATTACAGATTAAGACACCGTTTTAGTTCCTGCAAAACTCTTACTCCGATCAACTGATTTTCTTTATTTTTTACTTCCGTATATTGCCGCTGAAAATTAGAAAACTCCGCAGAGGGTTTTGTAAAGCTTTAAATTTACTGTCTTTTCTGTTAATTTGAAGTTGCATGCCTTTGTAAATTAAACTTGTCTTACCCATTGAAAGCAAACATCACAGTCCTTCAATATTTCATCATGCAAAGCATTGTATCAATTTTGACAAAAATTTCATAAAGTTCAGATGTACCGTTCTCACAAAATGACAAAATTCAAATACAGGGTTACAAAGTACACTACATGTATAATAAATGATAATAATGACAGTTAAAGTAACCATTTTATAAATCACCTGATAACGCATAATGACTGGTTCATTTTTGTTCCAGTGTCCTCGGTCACCGTCAGCAGCTTAGCCCCTCACCAAGCCCCGCCCCGCCAGTGGGCTGAGCCTCAGTCATCCTCATCTCGCACCCCGTCCATCTCCACATCCACCTCCTCCACCGCCTCCTCCCAGCTGAACGGCGCTGCCCCCAGGGCAGCGTCAGCCCCCCGCCACCGCAGACGCAGCCCAAGACAGAAGAAGATGCTCAGCGTGGACCGCAGGCCGTTCTCGGCGAGCAAAGAAAACGGGTCAGCAGGTGGAAGAACGAAATCATCAGTGACAATATAGGCAGTGGCGTCGCCAAGGGGGGGCCAGGGGGGGCACGTGCCCCCCTGGAAAACCTAGTGCCCCCCCGAGTGCCCCCCCATCTGAGATTTGGGTTGGTAAAAAAAATTCTGCGCGTTGTTAAAATCATTACCTCGAAAATAGCAATTTCTGGAGATATCTTCAGATCGAATTTAGCATCAAATGTGGCACCATTTTGCATCTAGCCCATCCTCCGTATGCGAAAATTTTCCAAAGGGGAGGGGGGCACCCCCTCCCCTTAGACCCCTCCCCCAGGACGGCGATCCGTATCCACCTAAGTGCCCCCCCCCCATCAAATGCTGGTGCCCCCCTGTGCCCCCCAGACTGAAAAGTCTGGTGACGCCACTGAATATAGGGACTAATTTAGAATCTTGTTTCCTGAGAGTGATACCAAATTGTGGCCTGTCACCACGAAATGACAGTTTTGATATTGACCGGACCCGGGCGCTTGATTGTTTTCACGAACCTCATCAGGCCGTAGCACACCCTGATATTTCCAGCCTCGCTCACTGCGAGCAGGTCGCTGACAGATATTTCCAGCCTTGCTCTGTGCATGTTTATCCGTCATCCGTTCCGAATACCGCAAAACTTTTGCGTGTACACGCGTCATCTGACATGCCCTGGTTAACCTTTACGTCCTGTTTTTACCTTTATCCAAATTTTGTTTTGTTTGTAAAATAGCTTCAAAACTTATTTCACCCCATCTATTTGACTGCATTCACACAACTGCAGGATTTTTAAATACAATTTTCTCAAGGATCAGTTTTACAAGGTCAGGTAATTTAAGTGGTCGATATTTCTGTTACTGAACTCCCCTTAATATTGTAAACCATTGAAAAGCTCTTGTTCTGCAGCATCAAGATACATAAATATCTCAATTCTGAAAAAAGTCCGACTTCAAGCTCATCTCATGATGACAGGTCACAAATGATATTAGCCCACCTGTGTTTAGGCATTCAGAATGCAATTCAGAAATACCTTCTCTAAACAACTAATTTCAGTCGGAGGCTGACGTTAATTCAGTTTGAATCAGCTCAGCATGAAAATCGTTTGGCAGTTGTCTACAAACAGATGTCGACATTTTCATGATGCATTGCAGGTAAAGAATGATTTTTGCCCCAGTAATGGTTGCTTTTCTGTATGAATGTCTCAAATGCCTCTTCTACACATATTCTTCCGTCCCCAGCCATAGCACTAAAAGAATTTTTGTCGCATAAAAATCTATAAGAGCAAAGTTAACAGTGGTCAGATGCGAGTCATAAACATTTATTCCACCAATATGTTCGGGAGATCAAGGGATTTCTTCTCATTTTATGTACATCGTATGTCAACAGACCAGCTGTGTTAATTTTTTCCCATTTTGCTCATGACGCATTAATATTGTGTCGTGTCTTTACATAAGAATGGTAAAAAAACGAAACATTTTCAGGGTACCATTGGCCAAGTTCGCGCAAGGACTATAGTTGACCAAACTAACCTTAGCCCGAACTCTGTCTAGTCGACGATGGTTGACTACGCTAGTCGACTATTTGGAACCAGCCTACTGGGGTTGGTTGCTTCGCTGGTAACCAATAGCCGCGCGCATTCATAACGCTAGCAGAGAGCCAGGATCCAGAAGTTTTGCGATGACATTTTGACCAGCGTTTGACTAGAGACGTTCGCACGTTGCTATTAGTGCGCAGGCGTAAGGTACGTCACAAATCAACCACTAGTCGACTAATGGTCCTTGCCCGAACTTGGCCTTAGTTTATGACAAGTAATTGTGGGCTCCGTGCGCCAACAAAAGAGGGCACATTTTTAATCACTTTTGAGAGCCCCGTGGACGGGACACACAGCGTGTGCGTGGGTACTGCGCTGTACTGGTTTGTGCGCAATAGCTTTGGCACATTCGGACCTGAATGTGCCAAAGCTATTAGCCAAAGCGTCTTCTCTCCATCTCCATTGTTTAAGTCAGCAAAATATCCTGCCGGATACATCAACGCTAACTTGCGCACTGCGTGTGGAAATAGACTACTGGTGGATGTTACTGATATGTCCCTTGAATTCAGCTAGTGTTGCGCTGTTCACAGCAGCCGAGGAGAGTGAGTTCCAGTGTTTAACAGTTGACACGAAGAATGAATCTTTGAAGGCCCTAGCTTTGTGACTGACTTGAATGAACTTTTGGTTGTTTCCCCTCGTATCTCTGGTATTAGGCTGAACATAGTTGTGAGGTGGAATGTCGACCAACCCATTTTTCATCTTGTAGAGCATACATAATTTCTGTTGATTTCTTCTGTTCTGTAGTGTGTCCCATCCCAAGTCATCCAGAAGTTTAGTAACAGTTCCCGTATCCCTTTGGTAGTTTCCTGTGCAAAATCTAGCTGCTTGACGTTGAACTCTTTCAAGTGAGTTAATGTTCTGCTTTGTTGAGGGGTCCCATGCGGATGCAGCATATTCTAAGAGTGGTCTCACTAAGCTCAAATAGGCAGTTGTTTTCACTTCACTGTTACAGCTCCACAAATTCCTTCTTCGCATGATCGTCAGGCGTCGTCGGTGCGAATACGTTCAATTTTACTTGCGATGGTCTCACAGACTAATCCCCACCCCCAAAAACATTGGATCATTCTAAATGTGCAGTGAATGGACCCGGAACCAGTCTAGGCCTCTTATTCTGGCCATTAAAGGAGTACTTGTTTACGGAGCCCATAATGCCGACTCCGTTCAAAGTAATTGTCGTTTATACAGAACTAGTCATTCTCTTGCCATCTGTTAATATTTTTGCCCCTCTAAAGTGTTAATACAGTTTGTTTGTTTAATAAAATGACAATCACCTTGCAGTTAACATAAGTAGATTTTTTTTTTCTCATGGGGGTTATTATTCAAAACTAAAGATTTGTCATATTCATTAAAATGATTGAAATAATATGCTTGTTGCAATGAACACAAGAGTACTTTAAAAGGAGCATTTTATGAACAAAATAGTAGATTTATATAAGAGTGTTTTTTTTTTAAAAGTATTTTCTTTGTACATATTGACATGTATTCTTAAGACTCTTTTGTGTTAAAGATAGAGGCACAGGTCTTATGCATACATGTAATTACTTATGTATTTTTGAGAAGACTGTTTAGTGTTTAAGATAGGCACAGGTCTTATTCAGTATTAACAGAAGTGTTTTACCTCCCAAAGTATGCTTCTGCTGCCGTTTCTGTCCATAATCACAGCATTACAGCCGAAAGAAATACAAATACAAACTTATTTATGTTGTCTTGTAACGAATAATGAGCGTATAGATGATACATCCTTTCAAGAATTCCTGTGCTTGTTATTAACAAAGTTGTTGATTTTTATTTACAATAGTCCATGTAAGAACTACTGTTCTGTACACTGCAAAAACTGGAGTGTTAAATTTACACCATTGGTATCTATATAGGACCATCTGGTGTTAAATTTTACTGGTGTTGTCCTATATAGATACCGAATGGTGTTAAATTAACACTACAGTTTTTGCAGTGTACTGTGAAAAGGCTGGTCAGATTGATTTTTCTTTACCATAGAGATACAGAAACCCGCTGATTGCCAAATTACAGTGATTACACATTCAGAAGACTTGTCTTTAAAAGCACAACCTTTCTTGCCAGCTGATCAAATACAAATGTATTGGACAATCTATGTGATTCTTCAAATATTGTTTCACAAGCACAGATGTATAGTTATTTATTAAAAAACTATAAGGTATAGTATTACTGTACAGTTATAGACTTATTTGAGCTTAGAAACCTGTGTATAGGGAGAAAGGAGCAGTGACGACTGTTTGTGATAATTGTACATAGAAGTTTAGTTTGTGTTCTTTGCCGTTGTTTGCAGTGCACTTGGTGTATTTTGCCATGCTATCTACTTTTTGCTGCAGTTTTAAGTTTGTCCAAGCATGACTTATGTATTTCACTATACACAGTATTTTAAATATGTTAAAAACATTCTAAAAAAGTTATTAAATTGATAAGCATATTATATTTTAGAGTCTTTACCACTAAACAACCCCATCTTCTTTTAGTTTTTCATGTTTAATAGTTAAATAGTTTCTCGTTTTCTTTCTACTTTTCTTTTTTATCTTTGTACGATGACAATTTTTAAACAAAGCACCTTTTTTTCAGCTGACTCCCATAGTGGCTTGCCCGGGTTGTGGATCAAGGCGACAGCGCGTTCAACTTTTTCTATATTGGGTGTGAGAACTGTAGTAGTACATCAATGCAAAAGGCCCATTTTATTAGGGGATGCATGCATATAATCTGCCAGCGTGATGCATTTTCAGGCTATATCCAATTTACGATAAGAATGTGGTGCTTATAAAACGCTTTATACCAAAGGTCTCAAAGCGCTTCACAATTGCCTCTGTTGAGCAGGCCGTGATGCCAGTTTCTGCAGCAGCTCGAGATCGGCGCATTCTGGTCTCTACCCTCACAGGTACCCATTTATACTAGTGGTTGGAGAGATGCAGTTGTAGTAAAGTGTCTTGCCCAAGAACACAAGCACCGTGTTCCCCGTCGAACACCATAACCACTTGACCACGGCGGTCCGTTTGTATCGAGTTTTTATTTCCTTTCCAAATTTCGTCAGATGATAATAATAATCAGGCCAAGGGGTATTTATGCATTCGACATATTTACATTGAATGAAACACATTTTAGGCTTCTATGCATAAATGCAGTGACAGTTCCAATTTGCAAGCCAACTTTCAAAATTGATATTGGCGCAGATCCGTAGAAGAAAGTTATCAGTTCAAAATTCTTAAGTGTGCATGAAGACAATCTGTACTTAATTCTATTGGACATGGGTTTTAGGTATCCTGTTATATTCCTATTGTACTATACCTTAGTTTGTGTTATTATGTTGATCAAAAGTAATGAGCTACTGCCATTCAACCTACTGTTTTTTCCAAAAAAAATTGAATCGTTTGCCCAACAAAGGCATTTATATTTTATGAATTATATTTGTTTGATTATATTGTTTTAAATTGGAGTGATAGCAAAGTTAATTGCATATTTGTTTTGAGTAAAATTGTTTGTGTGAGTTATAGAATTTCAAGAGTTTTGAAACAAAAAGTTATAAATATATATATTTGAAGCAAATTGTGGACTGAGTTTCCTTGAAGTCTTTGAATACAACAAAAACAAATTCGAAACGGAAATGTCATCTTAATTCGAAGGTTTAAAGGTATTGTGCAAACATCAACAATACACTTCTAAATTATTATGAAATATCTTACCTGACTAAGTGAATAGTAGTTTCAAAGCATCCTGTGACGTCATTGCACCCATTGTGCAGTCACTTTCAAGAAAAGTGGAATGTTTGCATCAATGGTCAGCCGACCATCGTGGGAAAAACGGCTGCAAGCCAGCTAGTCTGGTTCCCTGACATGACAATTCCCCGACGTACATAAATTGCTCCGTTTTGTTTGAATCAGGGTCAGGGAACAGACTACAAGAACACTACTTTTGTCTTGGCTTACCCAGCATCAATATGAACACGAAACTTAACAGGTCAGTGTAACAATATCAATTAATCCCCAAATCCATCAATTTCTGAAAATTGCAGCAAAGCATTTTTTATACATGTGTAATAGCTTTAAATGATGCGACATTTGTTAGACGCTCGCTTTGGCGACTAAATACATCAGAGTATATGGGGAGGTCTCAGATTTCAAAATGAGATTTGGAAACGCGCAGTTTATTAGGGCAGTTTCGAATTTTGTCAGGCCATCGCGACTCGGGCCGGCACTTGACGCCGTTAGCGACGACGCACGACGAGTGACAATGCCAGGAGGCCTTTTGCACTTGCTAAAGCCCGGTTCATACTCGGCGCGAAAGCGAAAGCGAACGCGAATTTGGGACGTCATGGCAAGTATTCGCGCTGCGAATTCGTAAAAGTTGAACACATTTTAACTCGGGCGAATTTCGCAGCGAACGTGCCATGACGTCAAATTCGCTTCGCATTCGCATTCGCGTGGAGTATGAACCGGGCTTGATTCTTTTAATTTGCGCTTTTTATTCTTTGTCATTCCGCTACCCTTGTGGAAAGAGAAACTTATATCAGCATACATTTTTTTTATGTAAATAGGCAGAATTAAGTCGCAATCGCATATCACCTGTGATTATTTGTTCCATTTAAAGACATTTAATTGGACATTATACAAAAGATGAATAATATGACACCAGATCACCCTGCGGTTTTGACTGAAACAAAGGCAAATACCAGGTTTAAAATAATTGAAACATGTTATGCTCCTATTTCCTGTTCACGTTACCGTGGCCTCAACATTACAGCAGGCTCAATAATGACTATAATATACTAAGCGAGAGTAGAGGTCCCTAAACTGTGACCGAAAATGTTGTTATTTCAGGCAAGAATTTCATGACCGGGCGACCGGGTTGACCAACATGCTGCACGCCACAAGTGAAATAGACACTTGATGTAACAACGCATCCCCTCTATCTCCTCTCGTGAAAAATCAAGTCGCGGAAGTGAAAGATTTGTGCGATGCTTTACCGGGTGGCAAGTCGCCCTAAACCGCTCCAGCGCTATCATGACGAGGTTGTCCGTCGATGTCACATTGACGCACCAAAGGAAGAAATCTAAATACACCAAGCGACATGAAAGATACTGACGTATTATTATTTTTGTTAACTTTCGATGACGATGCAGTGCAAGATGAACATTACCCCGGCAACAGAGTCAACGATAGTCTGGCGAAGGATATGAGACAATTTGGGAAGGAGAACACTCGGCGTCTCACCAGCATACCAGTGATACCGTTACCAAGCACAATCAGGCAGGCGATAAAGTCGGCGCACACCTTTCCAATTTTACTGCAAAGTTTGCATGTTATTAGTGCTAAATTCAACTTGGCAGATGACACTATTTAGTTCGATTACAGAGACTATAAATCCTTCTAGTGAAAGGATGATTGTTTTGAAATAGATTAAACTTCTATCTATTGCAAATTGCGAGTAGACCTACCAGATGTACGGAATGCTTTAGGTGGCATCCGAGTTTGTTTTAGTTTTTAAACTTGGCCTGCTACGTGCATAGCTCTCAGATTAAAGTTTGTAAAAGGAACAGGGAGCCGTACGCACACAGCAAATCGCTAGTCTTTGATTTGCAAAAAGTGAAGGAATGAGTGTAGAAGCGACTGTAAATATATGAAGATAGGTACTTCAGACAGGAAATAATTGTTTGTGCTAATTCACTTGTGAACTAGCTCGTAGGAGGATTGCCGTTCCCGTCACCTACTCGGTTTCTTCGAAGTAGTTTCTGGATGAGTTGTCGCAACTCAGAACGAAAATGATTGTACTTGAAGAAGTAAATGATCGGGTTGACGAACATGTTGCAGGCAACCAGGGTGGTAAAGGGATCGTACAATGGAGTGCTCCAATCTCCTGAAAATTGTTCATAAATGAACAACACTTCTAGTGGTGTCCAGCACACCGCAAACATTATGCCTATCAGCATTGTCGTAACGAGGATGTTTCTCTTGGCTTTATTTACGGCATTCTGAGGACCGTTCATTGGTGCAGATTTCTTGGTAAGCGTGATAATTATCCGGCTATATGTGTAGATCAAAATGGTAAATGGCATCAAACACTCAATAACCACAACCATTGTGGCTTCGAAAACCTTCAAAGCTGTTTCCATTTCTATGAATTGGCAATACCCTTGGCGCGGTTCAAACATAAATATGATATGTAAGCCAAATATGAAGCCTATAGCCCAAGCAATTCCGACTGCAAACTTCAGCTTAGCTGCAGATGAACTATTGCGATGTTTCACCGGGTGGCAAGTCGCCATAAACCGCTCCAGCGATATCATGACAAGGTTGTATGTGGATGTGATATTGACACACCAAAGCATGACATCTGAATACACCAAGCGACAAAAAAATTGATCAGTCATGGAACCCTCGACGGAAACTGAAATTTGTTTAGTTTTTATAACGACAAGATGCAGGAAGAATATAACTCCAGCAATTGAATCAATGAAGGACTGGTGCAGGATGAGACGATTCGTGAAGGAGCTGAACACTCGTCGCCTGAGCAGCATAACGGTGATGACCATGCCGTTAACAAGCACAGCCAGGCAGGCGATGATTGTGTTGACTGCATCTTTTAGATGGGTAGGTGGATTCAGCGTCCAGTCTTCTATCGTGCTGTTTCCGAGTTGTGCCATAATTTTCTGCCAATTGTTTATGGGAAGTTAGATGTCAGTTTTCAGTCTTGTATGGATCTCAAAGATTGTGATGTAAGGCTGACGTGAACATATTTTAGCCCGTAAGAACTACCGTGTGATGCTCGCCACCTCATCGTACAAAACGCGGTTGGAATGGTTGAGGGCCAAACACGCGAATGATATTGCACATTTCTCGTGAAATGAGTCGTCTTCGTTTGAGACATCATTTAGACTCCTGTTGGACTTGATCACTGACAGTAGCTACATCAACAATATCAACAAAGCAATATCAACAAGAGAACACATTAAGGAACGCTCTTTGAAACGCCGATTCCTCTGAGATTATACCTTTTTCTGATTTTAGTTACCATGGAGATACATCCGCTACATCCGAAGCGATTACGTTCAACCAATTATTGAATCATGTTCACTGTTCCTTTTTTGGGGGGATCGAAATACGGTCTAAATTCACCATGATGTTCACAACTGGATTGGATCAAATGCCGATACTAAATTTTAGTGCATGTCTGCATTACCATTATTAGTAGTAGCGGCGATGTTTTTTCAACCCTCTGAAAATATGGTTTTATTTTGGTTTGCTTTTGCGCACATAACGCACAAGGACTAAAATAATATTTCTCAAAAATGAATATGTAGGCACATGTCACTACATGTCGGCAATCCAAGCCAATTTCATGAAAATGTATACAAAGTGGGATATGGCAAAGAGCTACACTGATCTTACACCACACTATGGATTCAAGAAATTTCAAAATCGAACAATGAGAATTAATGCCTACGTTACATGAGAGATTGGAATGAAAACAAACATGGCTGCCCCCAACAGAAATGAGAATTTCACAAAAATCATGGATAAGTAACAATTGGATAATCATAAGTTACATAAAGGATCAAGCAAATTCTAACAAGCTTACTGGGAATTACGATTAGAGCGGAGCACATATTCTTTACCTTGCAAAGATAAAAAAAAAGAGAGAGAAACTTCGAGATAAAAAAGGAGAGTATAACATCGTCAGTCATTAAGTGACAGGTTTGTAGAGATTTAAATTTCTATTTACTGCACATATTTTTTTAAAAGTCATTACACTAAATTTGTGTAGCAGCCAGCTTTTTTACTACCGCATCATGACATGGAGGAAATAACACCATATCAAACATCAACGCCTAATGCAAACCATGAAGCAGAAACAAAACGTATACTTCCGTGTATTTTATCATGAACGAGTCATGATGAAGATGAAGATCAACATGAACTAGTTCTACATGTATTTGCAATGGAGGACCAAACATTGTGCTTAAAAGGTAACATAATGGTTAAAATTTCCTTCCACTTCCCAAGGTGTACTTTTAACAAACCAATGGGTTACTTGACCAATATTGACCCAAGTAACAGCAAGGCTCAGAATGCATGTTTCCATAGGAGGGAGCCTACATTATATTACACGATTTGGGTATAATATGTTGCAACTACAATGATTGAACAGCTACATTTGTGTTAACTCTCGGGGCAGCAGCTGGCATTGGAATTGCATTCCTGTCCTCCACTCGGTTTCTACGACACCTCCTGGTGATCAGGTTTCTCAACTCCGACCGAAAATGCTCGTACTTGAAGCAGTAAATGATCGGGTTGACGAACATGTTACAGGCCAACAGGCTGGCAAGCGGAGCGTAAAATGAATTGCCCAAGTCTCCCGAACCACATTGATAAATATGTAAGGCTTATACTGGTGTCCAGCACACCACAAACATAATGCCTATCAGCATTGTAGTGACGAGGACGTTCTTCTTAGCTTTATTCATGACATTCCGAGGACCGTTCGGTGGATTAGTAGATTTCTTGGTGAGCTTGATGAGTATCCGGCTGTATGCATATGTCAAAATGGTAATGGGTACTAAGGACTCAACAATCAAAACCAGCGACGCTAGGAAAACTATCAAAACTGTTTCCATATCGATGAATTGACAACGCCCCTCACGGGGTTCCAACATCAATATTAAATGTGAGCTGTATATAAAGCCGGTGCCCCAGGCAATTCCAATAGCAAACTTCAGCTTGGCCACGGACAAAGAGTTGCGATGCTTCACCGGGTGGCAAGTCGCCATGAACCGCTCCAGCGATATCATGACAAGGTTGTACGTGGATGCGACATATAATCCCCATAGCAAGAATTCTGAAAATATCAAGCGACAAGATAATTGATCAGTCATGGAACCCTCGAAGGATACTGAAATTTGTTTAGCTTTTATAACGACATGATGCAGGAAAAACATAACTCCAGCAATTGAATCAATGAAGGACTGATGCAGGATGAGACGATTTGTGAAGGAATTGAACACCCGTCGTCTGAGCAGCATAACGGTGATGACCAAGCCGTTACCAAGCACAGCCAGGCAGGCGATGATTGTGTAGACTGCATCCAGAGGGCCATGGGCCTTTTCGATCCAAACATCATTGGTCTCATTCCCAAGAGACATGACTGCCTAGATAAAAGTGCACTCTCATTCGGCAGTTATTGCAAAGCAAATGACAGTTATCATCTTGGTTCTAGCCTATACTGAGTTTGCAACCGGTCATTGCAGAATATATTTAAATGTGTTGAGGGCAACACTTTACACTGCACAGTATCAAACCAATGCCTCGAACGAAGGGATACAGTTTATGCCAAGCTTTTATTCCATTAGGAGGAAACTTGGATTCGATTAAGGCAACGTTACCATGGTAAAATAGTAAGTAATTAGATTTAGTCACCGAAGCAACGAAGAAATGGGTCGTGGCCGTTAAAGTCAATATTTCTTCATTATTGGGGGAGGGGGAGGGGGTGACAGCGCCTGCTTGATATTTAAGCTTCGGAAAAATAGAAATATTGACAGCCCATACATTTTAAAGGCACCGCATGACACTTTATTTTAGTTTCAAGCTTTTACATTTTGATCGTTTCACATTCGAAAGGTTTACAAAATGTATTAAGCACTATCATGCCATTCGCCCGGAATTTGTAAAATGTTACAACATGACATTAATTTGAATGACTGCTATGTTGAGTTGTGTAAATGCAGCGGGCACGGAAATAGTCTCAGAGTCTTGAGAACGATCAAGATGTTGCAGCCACGATTCATGAGATGTTGCACTCTGCAGAATCCATTATAGGTCGTCATATATGAATTCCTGAAATATATCACTTGGTAAGCACTGCCTTATCAATGAAATTATACAATTTTTTACTTGGGATATAAATGTGTGCTTGGCCGGTTTATGTTTAAGATTTTGCTAAAAAAAGTTTACTTCTTGGTTTTTAAACACCCTTCTAGCTATGTTATGGTATGTGCCTCTCACGAGTTGTTGTAATTAATTTCTTATATGGAGATTGGCGCTTGCGTTGTGCAAACTGCTCGATCTGGCGCAGAACGCAGCTGTGCCAATTTAGTGAGAATTTAGGAGTATGAAATATGGACTCATTGGTAGTATTGCTCATGCCTACAACAGAGGGTTTTAAACGTTTAAGCCATTGACCTCCATGATATATTTTTATGTATAATAGTATGAAATATGGACTCATTGGTAGTATTGCTCATGCCTACAACAGAGGGTTTTAAACGTTTAAGCCATTGACCTCCATGATATATTTTTATGTATAATGGAGATCAATGGTTCAACCAATAACAGGGTAACTTACCCTGTTATTGGTTGAACCATAGATTTCATAGGATCCTGGAAAAGTGTTTAAGACCAGCTAACGGGAGTTTTATCAACCGTTTAAGACCGACCGAGTGACGTGCCCTCGACCAAAGGGAATGCGTAAACTGTCTTAGGTATTTATGAATAAGGATTAAGAATACAAATTTGAATATCTAAAGTACGGATAACTCAATGGTCATAATTGTGGGTTTGTTGTTTTTATAATGTCTGTGTGAACAATGAACAGTCACTTGACTAATGCAAGTATCGTTACAAGCTGTTTCGATGGAACAATTTACATTGACAAAATATGATAACATCATTTGTGCAAATTAATGTGGGTGTCGGTCGGAGCTTTCAAATTGAAACCCACCCTCTCCGAAATTGTTTTTGGAAGAGTTGTCTCAGCTGAGATCGAAATACTCGTATTTTAAAAATCGTACATCAAATGTTATACCAGCCAATTTTGTTCCGATACATGTGCATCATGACCTGGACGAAAATATCACAGTACCAATCATCTACGCCTAAAGCAAACAATGAAGCAGTGCAATAAATTACGTTGTGCCAAGCTTCACCGACGTATAAATACTGTATACTTTGTGTGTTACCTCCCGAGTGAAAGTTTGAAAAAGTGCAAAACCTAATTTGATTTACATACCTGACGCAAAATTCCATCTTATGAATAGTTAATGCGGTACCCGCTGCTATGTACAATCAGATTCGAACAAGCAACCGAGTCCGTTCGCTCGGTGGTCAAGTGGTAAGATATCTGCAGGAGGTCGTTGATTTGAGTCCCACCCGATTTTTTTTCTGTTTCAAACTTTCACTCGGGAGGTATCACACTTGGTATACAGTGTTTTTTACGTCGGTGAAAGGCAAAACCTGATATTTACATCACTCCGACGCAAAGTTCCATTTTATGAATAATGAAGCAGTACATCGATAAAGGAATGATAAACAGGGAAAAAATACACTTGAAGTAGACGTATTATTTGAAACGGAGGACAAAACATTTTTTTTAAAATGGCTTGTGCAACTACAAAGATTGAACAGCTAAATTTGTGTTCATTCTTGGGGCAGCAGCTTGCATCGGAATTGCGTTCCAGTCCTCCACTCGGTTTCTACGACACCTCCTGATGATCAGGTTTCTCAACTCCAACCTAAAATGCTTGTACTTGAAGCAGTAAATGATCGGGTTAATGAACATGCTGCAGGCCAAGGCCGAGGTAAATAGTGCATACACGAAGTCACCCCATTCTCCTGCGATGAATGCATCAACGTGAGAAACTTCCGTTGGTGTCCAGCATACAATAAACATCAGACTAATCAGCATTGTCGTAACAAGAACGTTCTTCTTTGCTTTATTCATGACATTCTGAGGACCATTCATCGGATTGGCAGATTTTCTTGTTAGCGTCATGATAATTCGGCTGTATGTATAGATCAAAACTGCAATGGGCGCTAAATACTCAATAAACATCGCTGCTGAAACTTCCAAAATCTGCAGACCAGTTTCAATTTTCGTCAGTCGACAACCTCCTTCATGTGCTTCAAACATAAGTATAAGATGTGAGCCGTATATGAAGCCGATGGCCCAGGAAGTTCCTACAGCAAACTTCAGCTTGGCTGGGCACCACGTTTTCCGATGCTTCACTGGGTGGCAAGTCGCCATATACCGCTCCAGCGATATCAAGACAAGGTTGTATGTTGATGTCACATTGACGCACCAAAGTTCAATCTGAATACACCAGGCGACAAGACAATTGATCAGTTATGGATCCCTCAGTGGATATTGAAATTTGGTAGGTATTTATAACGACATGATGCACGAAGAACAAAACTCCAGCAATTGAGTCAATGATAGACTGATGCAGAATGAGACGATTGGTGAAGGAGCTGAACACTCGTCTTCTGAGCAGCATAACGGTGATGACCATGCCGTTACCAAGAACAGCCAGGCAGGTGATTGTTGTGCCGATTGCATTCATTAGAAGGTTGGATGGATCTGGTGTCCAGTCGTCATTCGTGCTGTTTTTTTGTGTGTCTTTCAAGATTTCCTGCAAACCGATCGAAGACATGGTTCTGTATAAAAGGTGATTTTATCAGTAATTTGCTGCAGCTACAATAACCGTTTTCAGTTAACTCAACGAATTGGTTGTGGTCCTAGACCGGCAAATGATCGCAAGTGATGTTGGCAAAGTGTATGAAATACAGACTGTAACACCCATGGAGAATCCCGGTTGCAAGGGCAAAAATAATCGTTGACGTTGTCGGATGGTCGGAGTTATTCTGGTTAATGGATTATCATAATGATTGATTACCCTCTTTGAGATAAGGGATATCTCAACTATAAGATATATTGCCAGTCTACGATTGTAAACTAACCTGGCCTGCCTTTCAAAACCAATTCCTTTTGATTTTCTGGTAATACAAGCTCTTAACAGTCTCCCCGATATCACCGATGCTGGTCAGCTAAAACGCTGATCCATCAGACATAACAAGATTTCTGTGTTCAGCTTAAACCACTTAAATTCGGTAGCTGTGAGTAACCCCTTAGTTACCATGAGGATATCAAGTCTCCAATCAATATTTGCTGACGTTGTGCGAGGGTCCGATATTGGCTACCAAAAGGTCAACGTATTTTCAAAACCCTCGTGCACCACTTTTCACTGCTTTTAAAGTAAATACATCCACACGGATTTGTGATCTTTTTTTATCGCCCTAAATTGACTTACTACTGCCTTGGTTCCCCTGTGAGTTTAATATGTCGTCCATTGCTTTCATTGTTTCTGGATCTATTCTATATATCGAAAACATGTTGGCAGTTCTTGAATTTATAACATTCGAGGTAGTGGTTTGAGTTTCCATAACCATATCATTAGACCCGATTGTGATATAAAAAAAAACTGAAAAAAATTGGGAACAGAATAACGAAAAGACAATGGATATAGCGCCCGTAAAATGAGTTTGGAAAGAAAAGTTAGTTTCGTGTACAATATTGTATGGTTTAAAGAACATGGAATACTTGATTTACTTAAGTGTCCACTGTAAAAAAAAAAAAAAATAATTGAAGAGATGAAAGAGCTTGGGAGTAAGTACTAAAATACACGTTTAAAACCTATACCAGGCAAGTAGACACGATTAAAGACCGTTATGTTCATTAATGGTCATAGTGTTATTTCTCATATACAGTGTTTATAAAAAAAAATGCAAATAAAAATAACGGAATGCCATACGTAGAATGTGTCACCAAATGGTTTGAAAGACACGCCTTGCTATTTTAAAATGAGACATCAAACGTCCAAATCTAATAAGTTTTGATAGAGTTATCAGTAATTTACCAAGAGAGATCAAATTGACCATGGGAGCAAGTTTCCAATTTTTTAGGCATTGGGACAAAGGTAGCGTAATGCCTCTTTGTGGATATTTGCCTGGCCTACAAAAAATGTGTTTAGTGGGTAAACACAATTCTTAACACTATTCCTGCTAAAACACCTAATGCTAAAACTGTTTAGCATGTAAACATGTTTACAAATACAAACTATCATGGGCTGAGGCAAACAGGAGTGCATCAAGATAGGAAGTGGATTGGTCATGTCACAGTCTCAGGAGAAAACCGAGTTCCTTCAGAAGAACGCGACCACTGGCTGTAGTCTCAATAGAGGGAGGACCCAGCAAGCACAACACAGTTCTGCAAGACATCGGGTTTCACCTCAAAAACATCTGGCTCCCACTCCGTCAGACTGATGGGTCTCCTATGCCCTATGTCCTCTGTAATCACCCAGGTCTAACAGGTCTCCTTTACCCGAGGTCCTCCCTCTACTGAGACTGCAAACCTACTGTTCCACTTCAGTGGGCACACCAAGCTTGCTCTAGGCTCCCAGCTACTTTGCATCCACACAGGATGCAACTACACACTTCATCGATTTCGCTTTTTGCTACTTACGTATTTACTTTCTTAGAGTTTAGGCACTCTCCTGAAGACGGTCAGAGTATAACTGACCGGAAGGTCTAGCTTATACCACTGGTTCTTTTTAGAACCATTCTCTTACTACAGAAATGATTCACACACGGTGTTTCCGCAAACCTTTTAATCAAAATTTCCGACAAAAATAGAATGTAATAAAGAAAAAAAAATCTGAAAAATTTCACCCCTGATTAACACAAAATATACTTGGGGGAGGGTGGGGGAACTGCGAACGTCAAGTATGTCGACAGTTTACCAGAACAGTAAAATCCTAATGAAACACAACTGGACTATTAACTTTGTGTGTGTTTCATGTACATGGGGTTTGTAAGGATGGAACCACTGATGCGAAGTACAGAAACTGGGGACACCAGCGACCGAGCAAAGGTACCAGTGAGGATTGTGCATTGGAATGATGTAAAATGTGAGAATCGCTCTCCTGTCATCTGCGAACGACCTGCACCACAGCTGCACTTACCCTGGGCGGAATGACCTGATGCCCCTGGGGCATCAACAAACCCAATTTTTTGAATATATTTTTTTTAGGGCCAATAACGTTCACCTCCTATCTAATCCTCATCCAACCCTTGCCAAATCAGCTAGTTCAATGAACTTTGCAGCCAGGGCTACACCCAGGTCGTGTCAACAAACTTTCGACCAGGCCTCCTGCCAAGTCTCATTGAAACATCAACAAAGACCTGTTACTTGACACAGCCATTTCCCTTCATAACTGCATACCACAGCCGCCAGTCAATTATCTTTCCAACGCACTATCTGGTAACTGTCTGGACACTGTCTGGCATGTGGCTTTTTGTTGTATTGCTATGAATAGGGTCTTGCGAAGTGCGGGAAAGTACCTGTTGACGAGTTGTTGTAAAGTTTTTTTGTAAACGCTGCGCAGGGTTTAGTGACAACAAACACCCGTTACTCATCAACTTTAAAAAAACCAAATCAAATAGGAATCATGTAGAAGTACCGTGAATATACAATTAAACCAGTTTAGTAGCGATTTTTGGCGTACCATTTTAGAAGACGAAAACATTTTTAAAAAGTTGATGCATGTGGCATTCGTCTTAGACTAATTGGTGCTACAAATGTATTCGTTTAATATGTGCTTTTGGAAAGTAGTTTTACCTAATGATCTGTATGTTTCTTTTAGTTTCAAAGCTTTTTAATTTCCATCTCAATTTCTAAGATAAAGTTAAAGGGCCTCAGGTTTCGATTTTGATAGGATATTTCTCAAAGGCAAATCTCAACTTAACAAAACTTACTGGTTACAATAAACTCAAACACATCCTCTGCCATTGCTACGATGAATGAATACAGATTTTTTTTCGTAAAAGGGGTAGCTTGGAAGAGAGAAATACATTTTTCACCAATTTTGTTTGAAATTGAAGTTTATTCCAACTGTGTTCAGATTTAAATGATTTAAAATATCAAAACCAAGCAGAATCTGTGGGTTATAAAACAAATATTGAATGCTTCATCTCGTGGTGAAGTAAAGCTAGCCTCCGTTGGTGATCTGTTCAGCCTTCACTTTCTAACAAGAGCTTATAAGAGTTGGTCTGTATGGAAGTGATATTATGGTAACCATGGCTTCGCCTCGGGAAAATAGATTGTCCATGGATATCTCGGGAGGCTAGTTTTACTACACCACCACTCGAAGCATTCAATATTTGTATACTTATGTTGTTTTATTAATTAATTAAAGTTGATCATTTGTGTAGGCTTTTTGTGGTTGATACAGTTTGAGATTACATATACTGGTAAAATGTTATATGATGAAGAGTTGTGCATCCTCCATGAGTTTTTGGCCTAAAGTGTGGAGGAAATATGTCTCCAGATGAGGAGCATTGATGACCGAGGGAGGCAGTTTATTCGTGTTGAATTGTTGATGGATAAATGCTTGTACTGTAGATCATGCTATGGGTCATATGTCGGTGGTATGAGAACTGGCGAGGCCTTCTATGTGATCTTGTTTGTATCATGAGGGTATACAGGAATTTGCAGTAGCCTCCATCTAGCTTCACAACATATCACTGTACGATATTCAGCATCATGAAGTAAGTTTTTTTTAATGACTTGGGGTAAAATCAAATGATCAATATTGCATTTGCTGAAGGCTCGTCTGCCAAAGTTTTTTAATGAAGTGTGGTACAATCAAATGATCAATAGTGCATTTTCTGAAGGCTCTGCCAAAGGTTTTTAATGACTTGGGGTAGAATCAAATGATCAATATTGCATTTTCTGAAGACTCTGCCAAATGCAGTACATTTTCCAACCATGAGCCCCACGCCTCTATTCATGGAGCAAAACAACAGATTTTTGGATCAATATCCAGCCTTCACATTCTAACCAGAGCTTATTAGAGGTGGTCTGTATCGAAGTGATATTATGGTAACCATGGCAATTCCGATAAATAAGTATCAGATACCCGTTCTAATGGCACGGGAAAGGCATGGTTCGTACCGTATCCAATTTGAACGATTCTATTTGCGTGCATTCGGGCAGTATTGCATCCTGCATGAGTTTTTGGCCTAAAGTGTGGATGAAATATGTCTCCAGATGAGGAGCATTGATGACCGAGGGAGGCAGTTTATTCGTGTTGAATTGTTGATGGATAAGTGCTTGTACTGTAGATCGTACTATTGGTCATATGTCGGTGGTATGAGAACTGGCGAGGCCTTGTATGTGATCTTGTTTGTATCATGAGGGTATACAGGAATTGGCAGTAGCCTCTATCTAGCTTCACAACATAGCACTGTACGGTATTCAGCATCATGAAGTAAGATTTTTAATGAATTGGGGTAGAATCAAATGATCAATATTGCATTTTCTGAAGGCTCTGCCAGATGCAGTACATTTTCCAACCATGAGCCCCACGCCTCTATTCATGGAGCAAAACAATATATTTTTTGGATCAATATTCAACCTTCACTTTCTAACCAGAGCTTATTAGAGGTGGTCTGTATCGAAGTGATATTATGGTAACCATGGCAATTTCGATAAATAAGTATCAGATACCCGTTCTAATGGCACGGGAAAGGCATGGTTCGTACCGTATCGATTCAAACGATTCTATGTGCGTGCAGTGGGGCAGAATACATTTACGGCATCGTCAAGCGCAATAAACTACACTTATAAAGGACAGGTGACAATAATACCCTTCAATTTACCACAGATGACGACCAGTGTGGTAACATCTGACAAAGATGTTGCCTAGACATCCTATGCCTATCGTTAACTTGATAAGCCTTTGTCTTATGATCAGATTCACTAGTGGTAATGAGAGGTGTGTGGCCTCCATTAGAGGGGCGTGTCCTCCTGCTTGGATCCAGTGGGGGGACAAATGCTATAAAGCCATCATTAAGCCCCTGACGTGGGATGAGGCAAAACATGAATGCATCGAGATGGGAAGTGTCTTGGTCATGCCACAGTCTCAGGCGGAAACTGCGTTCCTTCTGGAAAACCTGCTCAGCTTCTACTGGATCGACTGCAATGATCAGCAAGTTGAAGGTTTGTCAACTTTTATTGTTTTAACAAGGAATTCCTTTTGTTGTTGTTGATAAAGTTTTCTCTCGGCTTAGAAACAATTGTAAATTCGTAAGACATATTAGTGGGGCGGATATGGGAAATACCTGGGGAATTGTGCCTTTCTGGATACCAGCATGGAATTTGACACACATTCAGAATATGTCATAAAAAGATATTTGGATATACATGTTGAGTCATTACATATTTGTCCTTTAAAAAGTATAGGAACACTAACAAGCAATTTCCTAAAATTTCAAAATGGCTGACACTTCTTGTTGTTCTACCTTTATATTTTTGAAAGACAAATCTGCGATGACCCTATAGCTTACTATCTTTCCCATGACATAATCTGTGTGCCAAATTCTAAGCTAGTATTATAAAAGACATAATCACATCACCTATCTGCGGTGCGGTACTTTATCAAAACTTTAAACGTACATTATTCTTACTTTTTAAAATATAGCATGACAGCAAAATTCAAACCAACCGAAACTGACACTTACACTCTCTGTGTATTAGGTGAATGGGTGTGTCAAGATGGCACTACTGATGTGGAGTACCGAGAGTGGCGGGTGGAGACTGGTGAACCTAATAATAGCAAGGGAAGAGAAGATTGTGCAGCAGCTGACAAATCTGGTTGGATTGACATATCATGTGAGAGTCTCTTTTATTTCATTTGCAAACGATCTGCACCACAGTTGCACTTTTAAGTGACAACAAACAATGATAGAAAATTAATTTGTTTTTAAAGAATGTGAATATGCAATTGAATTCTTGTACAATCACAATTTTGGGCATACAATCTGAGAGAACGAAAACAACTTGACTAAAACAGATCTCAAGTTTAATACTGTTATAGAGTGCTTGACATTTCGATTTTGGCAGGATATTTCTCAAAGACAAATCTTAAGATAACAGCGATGACGTGTTATAATGAGTCTAATACATCATCATTGATGCAATGAGTGAACGCAGATGACTGTGTTTGCCAATTGTCGTATCGTGCCGTAGACCCGTGTCTTTCCAATTTGGAATTGACATTATTTTATTTACACGTCGTATAAAATCTCCACAAACAATCATTTGTGATTATTACCAATAACTAGCAGATTAATAAATAGCGTTTATAGTATGTCATTATTCTCTGCAGTAGTTGATTGTATTTTTAAGCAATGTACATGTACTCTAATCTATGATATTTAACTTTCATTGACGTTGTCATATCACACGATGTTGTCATTATTACATTTATGTTACTTCTTTTCAGAGCACACAAACTTGAGGCTTGCAATGGAAAAAAAGCAAAGATTGGGGCATCAATTTTTCGAGTATTGCAACTTTACATATTTTTCAATACTTAAATGTTTATGGCGTTTATGTAGTAAAATGTTTGGGAAATAACTAACTACTGGTCTACTTAGCAACAGACCACATTAGTTGTCATTGTACCCAACAGCAATATTGGTGACCATTTGATATTGAGGCCACTTTTGTTTCACTATCACTGTCCACTGTCAATGTCAGCGAGGCCTCAACATTATATTGGGCTCGCCGATATGCACTCGGTTTCTTTGGAAGCGTGTGAGTACGAGGTCCTTCAACTGCGATCGAAAGTGTTGGTATTTCAAGCAATAAATGATCGGGTTGACCAACATGTTGCAAGCAACGAATGAAGCAGATACTTGATACATAAACGTATGTCTCCTTCGGTCAAAAATCAAATAGAGGATGTGACCAATTTGCGTTGGTGCCCAACATATGACAAACATGATGCTTATTGTCAGGGTAGTGATGATGAGATTCTTCTTAGCTTTGTTCATTACATTCGGAGCACCATTCCCTGGATTAGCAAGTTTCTTGGTTAGCATGATGAGAATCCGTGTATACGAGTATAACATAACGGCGATTGGTAACAGGTACTCGACTGTAATGGGTACAGCGAAAAAAGTACATCATTCCAAGCTGCAGATCCCTGATCTGACAAGACCCCTGATGTGGTTCAATGAAAATTAAGAGCGGCACATTTTCAATACAGCCTATCATCCAGACAGTAAAAACTACAATCTTGAGCTTAGTGTTAGATCAAGTGTTGCGGTTGTAGGTTGTAGGTGGATGTCACATTGGCGCACAGGAGGAAGAAATTTGAATACACTAGGCGACATAGAAACTGATCACTGACGGTACTCTTGATGGATACTGAAATATTTTGAGTCTTGATAATGACATGGTGCAAGAGGAACATAACGCCAGCAATAGAGTCAGCGATGGACTGATGTAGGATGAGACGATTTGTGTAGGAGCTGAATTTTCGTCGTCTGAGCAGCATAACGGTGATGACCATGCCGTTACCGAGCACAGTAAAGCAGGCTATGATTGTGTCGATTGCATCCAACAGTAGGCTAGATGGATTAGGTGTCCAGTCGTCATTCGTTCTGTTTCCGATGACTGTAATCATTTCCCGCAATCCGATCGAAGACATAATTGTGTGTATGTCTTTTTTTTTCTTTTCTTTTTTTAACAGTACTCTTTCGTTGTTAGACTTTTGTTTTCAGTGAATTGAACGGTTGGATGTAGGGTCTTATAATTCGAACGGCGTCCGGCGTATTTAACTGGAACTGATGTAGACCGAATGTATCGATGCACTTCGTTACGTATGCAACTTCACTGCGAAGAATACCGGTTGCTAAAAGCAAACATCTTTGACATTGTTAAATGTAAGAAATTAATTGTAGTGTTATTTAGTAGAAAGGTTGAAAGCTGACTGCGGACTTTCTTATGATTTATTAGACTCCTTGAGATAAGATAAGACATGTCTCAACCATATCGTATTTTGTCGTTGTGCGATTGCGTACCAACCACAGGACCCCCCCCCCCCCCTCCACTCAAACCTCTTAAAAATCTCTCTGTTGTTAGCATCGAACCTTTCAGTTAAAACGCTGATCCATTAGACATATTCAGGTTGCGGTGTTCAGAAAAAAACCCACTTAGATTCGGTATCTTTGCGTGGCCTTTTAGTTACCATGATGATTTCAATCTGTAGTCATTACGCTGACGTTTTGTTAGCGTTCGATAATAATAACTGAGGGTAATGTAAAAGCCAACGCATTCACACTTCATCATACGCTACGTTACTTGTTTCAACTTTGAATGATCATTCGAAATACGCAGTGGATGAACCGGGAACCAGTCCGGGTCTCCCCTAAGTTCTAGTTGAAGTCCGAGTTCTAGTTGTTGAAGGGGTACTTGTGCACGGAGTGCAAAAGTTCCGATCACAAGAACCACTTCAACGACCGGAAAAGGAGAGTTGGGGGAGACCTAGACTGGTTCTGGATCCATCCACTGCGTATTTCGAATGATCCAAAGTTATTGGGGCGGAGATAAGTCCGGGAGACCTTAAAATTCGAAACAGCTTTGTACCACAGAGCTGTATCAGGATAAATAAGTCGGCATATTTTGTGCGCGAACCCAGAGATATAAAATATTTATGCGCGAACCAGTACAGTACGCACACGTCTAACTGGAAGTTCACTTCGAGAACAACTAAACGAGGCAGGGATTACACTGTAGAAACAAATTCAACGCGTAAGCACTTATGACGGTACCTTTTGTTACTTATTTTTCTAAAAACAACTCCTTTAAGCTTTTTTTTTAGCCAAAAAAGCGATTCGTTCAAACAATAGCTGTGTATTCATTTCTTTCTTCTCACCTGGACCCAATTTCATGGCTCTGCTTACCGTTATGGAAAAATCCCTGCTTACTGTAGCAGAAAATAATACGGTAAGCATATTTCACTGTGTAGCGAGGATTTTGGCTTCTGCGCATGCGCATATCCTGTAACAATGGATTCTGTGCTTACAGGGTTAGGCCAAAAAAAAAATATTCGGTCTCTGGTCAGACCAAAGTTCCGGAATTGACGCGGCCACGCGGCTTTTTTTTTTTTTTCTTTTTTTTTCTTTTTTTCTTCAAGCTTGGATTGTACAGACAAGGTAGGTACTATTTTGCTTTTTTGGTGTCCTCATGTACATTGGTGTCCTCCATAATTTGCCTTGGTGCTTTCGATCATTTGCCTTGGTGCAATTTCCCATTCCTTGGTGCTTTTTGGTAAAAAAAATTGAGGAGGTGCGGAAATAGAGGGCGCTGTTGGAGCTACCGCGGAACATTTTGGAAAAAAAAAAAGATCGACGCGCATGATTAAAATCGACGCGCGCGCTGACCAGAGACCGACTTATTTTTTTTTGGCCTTAGCGCAGATTTCTTTTTTCTGCTATCGCTGTTAGCAAAATGATGGTGATCGTAAGCGCAGAGTTCCGTGGTTAGCAGAGCCATGAAATTGATCCCTGATCATAGGTTCGTACGCGCCTGTGTATTAAGGTTCGAATCCTGGCCGTAGATCGCATGTAAGTAGAGTTGTGCGTTGGTTCTCTCCTGTGCCACGAGGGTTTTTCTCCGGGCCCTCCGGTTTTCTTCCCTCCGGAAAAATAAAACACTTTCGATCTCAGGCTGTGCTCCATGGTCATATATGGGTCGATGTGGCCGGCAACCATAGGCGCCTTTACGTGCCAGCGGCCCGACCACGTTGTAGCCGCGTCCTTCGCAATTCAGCATACCAGCTGCGAGTAAGGATGATTAGCCTCCCAAATTATTATTATTATATTTTAGGAATTAGCAGCAACAGTTTTGTGAGTAAACCTGTGAAATGTTAATTGTGTACATTATTTTTGGTAGTCACGAAGTAAATCTAGCCGAAACCACACAGTCGACGCAAGTTTATATATAACTGCACGGCTTACTTTAGAGTAAATGGTAACAAACGATTAGTTGCCAACACTTAAATGTGATATTAAGACACTCACGCTGCTTTTGGTTTAACTTCATTAACACAAATTTTACGTTGAACAAAACACTATTTAAATTTGAAATTAATCCAGATATCCCAAAGTCTAGTATCGGGTAACTAGTTTATTTGCAGACCAAAATGACACTCTGTTCTTAATTCTTTGCTATTTGCGGGTGATTATTATTGCTTTGTATTTATTTTCATTTTAAATCCTAACATAATCTTAGATGACATCACAATGCTCCGATTATCCATTTGGTGCTCGAATTCCCTCTCTTTGATGGTATTTTCCATCCTCCACACTTATATATTTATTTATTTATTTATTATCCACATCCAACAGCAGAAAAAAACCACAAAAAAATATTGATACTTTTACACAAAATGTTAGTAATGGAGCTAACTCCTCAAAAGTTTCTGCGGAGAAATGTAACGTTTGTTTAATATTTTGGCATGACTCATTATTATTTCAGGAACTAAAAGTATATTTATTTATGTTGCTTTAATTTTAACAATCATAACCGTCGGGGGCGTGGGCTCTTTGGTGTCACAGCAAGGCAGGGTTGTGACACACACGGGTGTCAGAGGGCACACGGGTGTCGGAGAAGCTGCGTTGACGCGATTCTATCGTGATTGGTTAAGCTAATAATCCAAGTTATGGAGTAACTGTTTTAATTTAATAGATACACAATATATTGCATTTCAGTCAAATTAATGGACATATCAATTACATGGTTCATATCCACTGTCCACGTTAGCGAGGCCTCAACATTATAGCGGGCTCGCCGATATGCACTCGGTTTCTTCGGAAGCGTGTGAGTACGAGGTCCTTCACCTGTGATCGAAAGTGTTGGTACTTCAAGCAATAAATGATCGGGTTGACCAACATGTTGCACGCAACGAATGAAGCAGATACTTGATAGAGTAAAATATTTCCCTGTCGGTCGCATATTAAATGTCGGAAGTGACCGATTTGTGCGGGTGTCCAACACAGGACAAACATGATGCTTATTGCCAGGGTAGTGCTGATGAGATTCTTCTTAGCTTTGTTTATTACACCATTCACTGGATTGGCAAGTTTCTTGGTTAGCATGACGAGAATCCGTGTGTACGAGAATATCATAACGGTAAGTGGTACAAAGTACTCGATTGCAATGGGTAAAGCGAAAAGACACAACTTTCCAAGCTGCAGATCCCTGATCTGACAAAACCCCTGATGTGGTTCAATGAAAACTAACAGCGGCACATTTTCAATACAGCCTACCATCCAGACAGTAAAAACAACAATCTTGAGCTTAGTTTTGGACAATGTGTTGCGATGCTTCACCGGATGGCAAGTCGCCATAAACCGCTCCAGCGATATCATGACAAGGTTGTAGGTGGATGCCACATTAGCGCACCGAAGGAGGAAGCTTGAATAAACGAGGCGACATAGAAATTGATCACTGATGGCACTCTCAATTGAGGGTGAAATGTTTCGAGCCTTGATAACGACATGGTGCAAGAAGAGCAAAACTCCAGCAATAGCGTCAGTGATAGACTGATGCAGGATGAGACGATTAGTGAAGGAGCTGAACACCCGTCGTCTGATCAGCATAACGGTGATGACCATGCCGTTACCAAGCACAGTAAGGCAGGC